ACTAGTAAAATTAAAAAAAAAAAAGGCAGCTGTGCATTTCCTGTTTAACGTGCTCTTGGTTTGCATACTGGTTTGCAAGCTCGCTCCCAGGTGGCGTGGTGAACGCAAACACGCTGTAGAGAATTAAATGCTGGTGACGCCATAGGAGAGGCTGGCGATGAGAGAGAGAGAGAACCTCGATAAATAATGAGTTTAACAGTATACGAAGGATGATGCAGTTTCAATTAGCATTTAGAAACAATCAAACGTTTATGTTTTATATAAAAAAAATATATTCTAAAACAGTCAAATGTTTTTCATTTTGTCGTCTGCTATCCGTTCGTGCATCCCTCCTAGCCGTGGAAGGCGCGTAGAAAGGAGCTAACGAATAAAAGCCGACAAAATTAATCAAACATTCTACTGCCTTAGAACTGATTTTTTTTTATTAAACAGAAAAGTTCGCTTGTTAAATGCGACTGAAACTACATCTTCGTTCATATATTTCGTTGAAATAATTATTTATCGCGGGTATCCCACTCGTCGCTAGCCTCTCCTGTGATGTCCTCAGAGGATGGATGAAATGATGGATGACTGGATACGGCTGGACCCTTTTAATAGGGGGGCGACTTGCGCCACCTAGCCAAAGCTTCTAAATCTAACAATTAACTAATCCGATTAAATTTTGATTTAATGGAAAGAGGATCTCATATTGCCGCTAAGCACAAGCATTCATCTACCATTTTCCACAGCCGATACTTACAATACGTGTGACGGTTATGCCTCTTCGCAACCTTGAGCGCGCGCTTTTCGCATTACGGATTGAAAGAAAAAAAAACAACAAAACTTTATTTTTCCCTCGACTTATGCCAGCAGTCCGATAACCTGTGTTTTGTGATCTCAGCTTTCCCAACGTCTACTTTTCTGTCGCAGCCTTTAAAGCCTGTACTAAATCGCTATCAGATTGAGCAACTGTAGGGTGAAGCCTTATACAGTAAGGTAATAAGTGTTCCACAAACTGGTTTTTTTTTTCTCTCCACATTCTCCACACACCGTATCTACGTCCTCATATTTCACTGTGTACACCATAGTTCGCAACACCCCTATCTTGGCCTTAAAAAGATGCTGAACCGAAATTCGGATTTCACAAAATAAGCTCGCAGAAGTGTTCAACAGGGCGCCATAAACCACGAAACATCACTCATATAGCCACATCTCGAGCGGCTGGCCGTATTTCTGGAAAATAAAGAAGATAATGACGAAGGAGAATGTTGACGTCATCTTCTCGCAGAAGAGTTGAGAAGGAGGAGAAATGGCCTCGCTCCCTTTCCTCTCCGCGCCCTCGCGAAGTCAAAGCGAAAAGAGGAGGAAACGAGAATCGCCAGGTGGTGTTGGAATCGCGAGGTCACTCGTCTTTTCGGCCTTGTGCGAGCGCGCTTTATGAGTGACGCTTTGGGATTTGTAGCGTCCCGTTTATCGATTCTGCGTTATGTTCTGAAATTTCTGAAATTCATTTCTCGGTTCGGCGAACAACGAGCTTCTCCTAGAATTGTCATAGATACTTTCCTTAGCAATCTCCATCTTGTATTTTCCATAAGACACCAGAGCCGATTTTGTTTGCATCCTTCCTTCCCACATTTCCCTCTCCGCTGCTTTAGCTCTCCTGCCGTTTCCTGATCTGCGTACCTATTATTTTCCAAAACTTTCTATCTGAGTTTTCTTGATGGCTTCCTTACTTTTTTATCGACGCCCTTCATGTCCAAATAGCTAAAAACTCTCCGTACACATCGTTCCTCCTTCATGTCTCTTAGTCTCTCTACAAATTCAATTATACTACTATCTTCCCTGCCCTCAAATGATGACCATTTCACCCTATGCACTCTCAGAAAAAAGGGTGTATTCTTACACCCTTTGTCCCATATAATACACCCCAAAACCTCAGTTCGACGTACAGCGCACTGACGTCGATCTGTCGGTACAAAACTTTCAAGAGAGTCGATAGCCGTGTGGTACAACTTAATAAAATAGCCAATGTACGTGCAAAAAAAAATAATAATGGGTTATTTTTTGGTTTTGCTGCAAAACATCAGTGTTTTCTTTCTGTGGTTTTTGATACGTACTTTAGCTCTTTAATAAGTTATATCGCACCATTATCAAGTCCCTCGTAACATTTGTGGACGTCTGCATTATATGGGACAAAAGGGTGTAAGGTGATACCCTTTTTTTAAGAATGTGCCCCTTGGTTCGGTGTTTTACCATGTGCTCCCAACGCCAGCCTACCCACGCCGTCTTGCTTTACTTCTAACCTTGCTTGGGTATCAGATTTCATGCACAGGACTGCGTTGCCAAAAATTAAATTCGGCACCAGAACTTCGTTTCAAAATTCCCTCCCCTCTCCATGCCTGGTATAATCCAACAAAGCTCTATTCTTTAGTCTTATGTGAATAGTGGAGTTTTAGTTCGAAGCGAATTCGAAGCGAATAGTGGTTTTGGCCGAATATTTTCGATTCGAATATCGAATAGTTTTTCCACGCCTTTCACTACCATTGCATAATGCTTAGACGAAAACCCAGCTAAGCCTGTGAATGTTACTCCACTTGTTCATTTATAAGCTAAGTTTAATCTATCTATACTAATGAACTGTGACCTCAGAAGGTCTGATGTCTTGGGATGACAAGTAAATGACGGATTTGACATAAAATGAATCCTATAGAGATGGCCAACTATACCAATTGAGTTAATTTACAAATCTTGCTATATAAAACATTCTTTCCTTAATCTCGAGTTAAAAAAGAATGAATCGCGCATGATGAACTCATGTTGTGAAAGCATCTCTGCCTAACATAGTATACTCTTGCATAAAAGTTTAATTTTGAAATTTTTACTACAATGTAGATATACACATTCACAAAGTTTCCATTTATTTTCAAATACAGTCGGCACGGGTGCACCATCCCGCTTTGAATGTATGTTTTTCTTCCAAGCACGCAATTACGATATTGTTCATCGCGGCGGGTTACCCCGTTAAGTCCGCTTCTTACCGAGCACTATTGTAATGCAGAGAAGCAACACCCGGAAAGCTCACTTCCACGAGTTTAGCTTCTCCGCAGCGCACCAGTGTTTGGTAAGAAGCGCACTCAACGGGGCTAACCCGCCTCAATCAACATTTCGAAAAACGTGAATAGTGCAGTTCTTTTCGAAATTTCGAATATTCGCACAACCCCACTATTCTTCATTACAGCTGCATTTCGGTTGCCCTTAACAAGAAAAAAAAAAAAGATGTCATTGAAAAAATGATGTCCTTGAAAGATGTCCTTTTCCCGTTCTCGTCCTCGCTGTTTTATACTTTCAAGTTTTGTATCTATTAACCAACACGCTCGTTTTCAATTGCAACTGCCCTTAACAGTTACATATTTTTCATGTTCGCTGCGATAATTCGCAGTGTCATGAATTCATACCCATCGGTACTTATATTTTTCTACTCTGGTAACCACAAATTCACGTATTTTAAATTCTTCCTTCTCGTCGTTATTAAAAATCATGACTGCTGACTTACTCTTACTAAATTCTAGACCTTGCATTTTCCCCTCAGTATAACGTCTATTCATTCATTCCAGCAAATCTGTACTGTTATCAGCTCTTAGCACTATTGGGGAGGAGGACTGACCGTGACGCCCCAAGCGGTTAACTTTAGAACTACACGGTTGGGGACAACAAATACAATGACTCAGCGCTCGGCCGACATAACCGAACGCAGCGTCAGCGTTCGGCTGGAGTTTGTGTTCTCCGGTGAGGGGGAGGGGGGAGGGGGGAGGGGGGGGGGGGGCTCTTTTGTCACCACTCCGGCCTGCATGAACAATGCAGCATGCACGTGCCCAGCTCAGCACAAAAGCCTAAGTGGGTCAAGTTCGCATTCTCTGACCACTGCTTTCGGGATAGATCCGGCACTTAACACCACTTCGTCAATTGTTAGTATTTTTTACATTACACTGTGCACCGCGATCTATTGTAGAAGATGACATGAACATCCCCATAAGGCCTGCGGGCATGTGCACAGGCCTTGAGTTGAGTAAACACCGAGGTGTGGGGAAACTAATCATCCGCGTATATAAGAGCTGGCAATGACTGTTTAATCGTTTGGCCTCCCCTGTAGTGTGACAGGTCAAAACCACGACCACTATTCTCCAGCTTTTTCTCTAGTTCTTGTAAGTACAACATGAACAGCAACGGCGAGAAAAGGGGTCTTAATTGCCTCAATTGGTTTTGCGTTTTTGAGTTCACCACGTGACCTGGGGACGAGCTTGCAAACCAGTATGCAGACGAAGAGCAGGCCGGCATAGACCTTTCCAATGAACCTAGACTATAAATGTCAAGGCACTTGGCCGTAGACGCATGACATTCCGCAGAAGATAGCTACTGTGCATGCTCAGAGCGCATTCCACAGCTCAGTAGACAAAGACGCGCAGAAGGCGATTTGCGTAAATAGGTCATCCACAGCCGCCGTTTTTTTCTATTTTTTATTTTTTTATTTAACTAGCTTTGAGTTGAGCTCTGAAAAAAATAGACACAACACTTTTTGCGAGACGACGTTAGGGGGCCCAGTTTCAGGTATGTGCGTTTGGACTTCGAATTTTACTAGGCGTGCCAATCGTGCTGGTCCTTACGGCCGCACCCTGTATGCTAAGGCGATGGTTCACCAGTATTCGCGCTCGAGTTCGAGTCGAATGTAAGCTGCTCCACGATCTAAAAAAAAAAAAAGGAAATGCAGCCCATGCAGAACGTCGATCGAATTCACAAACCCGGGAAGCACGACACGCAGACAACGCCGTCCGCGGCGTTTTACTTTCCGCATAGCCAGTGTGCACCTCTGTCCAGTTGTGTTGTAGACTTGGCCATGGTTGCTAAATGGCCGCAACACGGCGGAACTCGTGTTCTCGAACTTGGTGCTAGAGGAATATGTGACCGCTAGTTGATACCACCCACTCAACTCTGTGATGATTTTCGCGTGTCTTTTTAATTAGCAGGTCGAGGCAAGAAGCAAGCTCAAAGAGTGCGGTGAGTTCTTTGAGCGTGTTGTTAGAGAGCTTAGATTAAGTCCATCTGAAATCATGGGGAGCGTTTGCGATTTAATGGCGGACGCCTTCTGAGGAGTCACAAGTGCGCACGCGCTACGTTGTCGCGGGGCGAGGAGAAAAGCAGGCGGAAAGGCGGATATCTTTGCAGACGATCAACGCTGCCTCCTCGCAGCTCGTAATGCGAACGCGGCCCATAAACCCCGTGAACCCGATCGAGCAGTTGGAAACTCTCTAACATAGGCTCTTTACATGTTTCAGAAAGCAGCAACGCCTCACGGAGGATTGTAAAAGCCACTGATCTCTTTGACAATTTGTTGGATCGCGCATCCCCGCTTGGTCGCTGTAGCGCAAGTGCGGCCACCGGAAGTTCCGTATCGGCCATCTTGAGGGTACCGGAAGTCGACCTTTTGGAGCGTTGTAGAGGCTGGGAAGCAGCGTGCTGGAAGACACGTTCTCTTCTCGTTTGCTGTCATTCGTCGAAAAAGATTAAAAAAAAAAAAAAACTGTGGGATTGTTTTGCCTTATACTGTGCCCGATTCGATCAAGCCACGCTCTAGTCGTTCCCAAGGAAATCGCACAACACAGCAAGTACAATCAAACTGTTTTTTAAAACTCACATTTCGTCGCCCCAATTCACGTTCTCCTTCGGTGGTGCAGCCACGAGGACTTCAGTCAACACCCTCTACTAAAGGCCATCTATGAGTCGAGATTCTCTCGACTCAAGGCCTCCGATGAAACCTCCTGGTAAAGACCCCATGAAGACTGTCCCTCAAAGACTCCTAACTCAAGATTGTCAAATCATGACTCTCAAATGAATGTCGACTCAAGAGAAGACTCAAGTGAGAACCGTCCAGACCCCCGCCTGCTACCTCCTTATACAGCCAGCCCGACCCCGTTGTCTTCCGCCCCTCTCGCTCCCACTGAGAATAGCATGCCCATAGAAGGACAACGGGCGAGCTTCACGGCGCCCGTCTGGCGAGATCAAAGGGTCCCGTGGACTGGCGGGGAACGTTGTCTTTGGCACTGTATAGAGGAGTCAGCAAGTGTTCCCACCGGCGGGGAATGTGGGCTTCGGCACCGAGCACGTGGAGGGAGAGCCAAAGGTTCTCCACAAACCTTGTATAAACGGTCGTAGTTACCTTTGAGAACACGTAGAAATTTTTACGGAAGTGCAGCACCGCAGGAAAAGGGCAAAACTCGAACGCAGGTCTCGCGGCGTCATTAGAGGACAATTGGCACGCCGAAGTGCTGCTTCTCTGCACTTGCGAAAATTAAAAACAGCGCGAAGATGTACGAGGGACGAGTAGTTGCAAACAGACAGAGCGTTGACTAACTACTGTTATTTTGTTGGAAAGACACAAAAGATTGTTGTGATACTCAAAACATTCACGAACATACACCGTCATCTATTTTTTAAAACGTAACACAACGATCTTTTGTGTCTTTTCCAATAAAATAACAGTTGTAAGTCAGCGCTCTGTCTGTGTGCATCTACTCGCAGGTCGTACTGCAGAACCAACTCGCCCAAGTTGTAACGCTGCTGCTTCTCTGCCTTCGCACGCTTGGGTATTAATCAAGAATCTACGCCGTATGGATGTGTTAACCCGCCGGAAAAGCTGTGAGGGTTTTTCGCGCGTAGATGTCTTTGCCGTATACATATCGGTCGCGGAGTTCTGGATCGTCCAGCTGTTCCGGTGTGCTGCACTAATCGGTGTTTGCTATTATGAACCATTAACAATGTTTGAAATCTACTCGAATAAATCCGAATCACTCACGTCTCATGGAAACACAGATAGAGCAACGCAGTTCAGTCTGGGTTACAAACCACATCGCCAGTTTTGAACAATGGAACCAGGGCCGTCTTAAGTGTTCGGGAGATGGGAGGATCGAGAAAGATATATTTCCGCTCCCTTCTACTGAATTCGTTGCTAGAAATGTCTCAAAAGCAAAAAACAATCTAAAAAAAAAAAATGGAGCTTCCTTTATTGGTCAGCCGACCGTTTGTAACCGCTGGAGGCAGCTTCTCGCGCCGGTAATTTCGGAAGTCGTAATTTTGTTTATTGTAAGCGGATATCACTAAAGTCACTGAATCCTGGGAAAGTAGCACCATTTCCTTCTCTGCCTGCTAGCCGAACAGAAACAAATACGAACATTCAGACGACCAAAGCGATTAGGCGATTAGGTAATCGGTCTCCGTTGCTATGGAAATTGCCATTTCGGCCCCTTCAAACCTTCGGCGCTTCGAGAGGGTCGTTCTAATCCAGTCGCACCAAGATCATCATGTAGCATCATCGTGCTGAAGGCGTTCCTCGCCAATATGAGCGTCTTTGGTACTGTGTATGCTATCAACTTATCCATCATGCCCATCTTCACGGATCTCTTACACATATATTGTTGTTCTTGCGTATTTTAAAACAGAAAACTTATTTTTCAGTGCTTGCACCGACATAGCATGTGGAGGTGGTACGAAGAGGTACGCTTGCTTCGCCGGAGTGTGGATAGCGAAATCTCGGTATACAAGAAACGTCTTCATAAAGCTACCCGTCACCAGCGGATTTAGATCGGCTCACCAAGAATGGGGGGGTCAAGAAGAAATTGCTCCTTTTCATGAGCCAAACTGGCGACCATACGGGGAGCTTGGCGCTAATTTCCCATGATCCAGTTATTTTAGATACCACGAGGGCGCCACACAGCTTTTATTTCTCTGTTGTTGTTTTTTTAACGCAGCCTGTGAGAATGTAAAGGTGTCTAAAATCACCGCGTGTAATGTATGGTACGATATACGGACCTGTGATTGATTCGGTTTTTATGAGTTATCCTAGTTTAACTTTAACTAGTACAATTTCACCAGCCTAACTGTGTTTCGTTTTCTGAACCTCTAGCATTTCCTCACCGGCACCATGGCGTCCCAAGAAAAATCAGGTATTATCCAAGGATTATGATGCCGACATTTTCTTCAGTTTTCAGTATAAAAAAAAACAATGATGTTAACTTTGTTCCCAGTGATGAGCCTTTTCTTTTTAGAGAAATAAAAAGAGCGCAAAGATGAACACAGGAACAAGTGTAAAAGACACAGACAAGGAGCGCCGTTTGGCTTCTACTTGTCCCTGTGTTCATTTTTGAGCTATTTTTCATCCTCTAATCATGCACCGGTTCGCCCATCGTCATAAAAGGCGCTAATAATTTGCACAAAATTTAGAAGAAATAAGATCTATCAAACACGCAAATTTACGAGCATCTTAAAATAAGGCAAAACAACCATCTAACGCACTGCTCTTCTCCGAGCAAATATCACTGCACGCTCAAGATCCTTCTCCAAATTAAGCGCCGACCAGTGGCAGACACAAAAAGTCCAGTGCTTCTTCGTAAATTGAAAATTACGTTTCTCTTCTGAAGAAGACGCATTTGAGCGCTGCACGCTTTCGCGGACATTCGAACTGGGCGGTGTGCGCGACGCTTTTCTCTGGTTGCCGACTTTTGACGAAGGGTTCATTGAGCCTCGATTGAGCGCGGTAACAGTTGTGGTGTATGCAACACTGGTGTGAACGCACGTCCAGGCTGCGGACCGGCCCCGCCGTATGGGTGTCAGGCGAGGCGTCGTCACCGAACGTCGTTGCAGCACCCAAGCCGCCAGTGCCGCGCCGACAGCCAGCCATGCGGCAGCTGGAGGGACCCCACGAAACCCCGCAGGGACGGGCACCAGCCGCGGGGCGAGCGAAGTCTCGTGGGCTGGTTCGCCCCCTCCCACGACCGAAACCGCACGTGCTGCCTCCTTCACCTGCAGTGCTGACAGGCCTTTCCGAGCTGTCGCTGGCTCCAGGGCCGGATGCGAGTTCACCAGGAAGGTCAGCAGTGAGGACACAACTCAAGCCGGGACCCGGTCCGAATTCGGGGCTGCCACTAAAACCAGTGCCCCGACAACTACGGCCGCCCAGGTCGCCACTGACGAACCTTCGGCTAGCAAAACTACCATGGAAACTCCATCGACCTCTTGGAGCAGCTCGCGTAATATTTTGTTCCGCGACGAACACGGCACACCACGCGGGTGTAGGGATGATGCAGCTGGAAGACAGGAAGTGACTCCTATGCCGAGGTCTTGCAGGAGCTCGTTCTGGGGAAACAAGAGTGGCTCCATGGAGCAGCGCGAGGGTGACAAAGATTACCCCGAAGGCGAAACGAGCAGCTGGCTGTTCGGCTCGTCAGCGTTCTGTGAGTAGTTTCATGAGGGACAACCGTGTGTCGAGTTTTCTCAACACTGTATCGGCGTCGGCTCCGAGTAGTCACTGCAAGCGTAACCAGGCGTCCGTATCTCCCAGTGTCCAGATATTAACGCCTCGGGAAGCCGACGCCAGACCTCAGGGCTGCCAAAATCTGTTTACCAGTCTGGGACCCCTCCACTGCAGTGGAGGGGCGAAACGATTTTGAGGATCTAACTTGGCGTGCCAGCACGTGGAAGCAGCAGGCCAAAGGCTTGTTCCGTGTGTTTCGTATGAGTAGATGCCAGAGAGGTGAACGCGAGTCTGAACGCCGACGCAGCGCTCGTGTCTCGCGCTGGACTAGTGACGCGGCAAGAATTCCGTCTCCACGAGGTTGAAAATGTACACTGGGGTGCAACAGGGGGGAAAAGGTGGGGCACAGGGAGGGGCTCGAGATTTAACATGTTTCCTCTCTCATAATGTGTTACCACCTCCATCCGTTTACTTTTTTTTAATGTTATTATATATGAACAAGAATTGCTACGCTGGTTCACAGATTTGCCACTGCTTATTACTGGAGAGGCTTAAAACCCCGTTTTGTGCCCCTCTGGCCATTAGCCGTCTGAACTTGGCTTTCTCAGAAGGTGCGTAATATATCTCACGTTTTGTTTTCGTTTTAGCAACGTCATCGGAGGAAGAAACTATGCGCTCTGATCTTCAAGGTGAGAGGGTCGAATGCTTGTCCCCGACTCTGACTCATGCACCACTCCACGCTTTGGCGTTTCAGAGGGCCAGTCTTCCTTCGAAGGGGACCCGAACAACACCACCCTCATGGGTCCCCTGAACTCTACGATGGTCAGCGGCGGCCTGGATATATACTTGATGCCCACACCGACGTGTAAGTGTGTTTCCCTGCTGCTGATTAGCCCATTCGGTGCTTAGGGAAGTTCACTCGTGTGCAGTTCCCCGACATCGGCCTCAAGACGACGCTCAAGAAGAGCTCGAGCAGTCGCCGGTCGGACAATTGATTGAGGTCCCTCTCGGACGCGTGTCGTTTGAGCAGCAGTCTTCCAGAGAAGAGCTTCTCCTGCCGGTCGCCGAGGTACTCGCCGATAAGACATCAGCCGACGAGCAAAGTAGCGACGAGGTGCCTGCCGACGTGCCTGGCGACGATGTGCCTGGCGACGATGTGCCTGGCTACGATGTGCCTGTCGACGATGTGCCTGTCGAAGATGGGCTTGTCGACGATGGGCCTGTCGACGATGTGCCAGGCGACAATGTGCCAGGCGACAATGTGCCAGGCGACAATGTGCCAGGCGACAATGTGCCAGGCGACAATGTGCCAGGCGACAATGTGCCAGGCGACAATGTGCCAGGCGACGATGTGCCAGGCGACGATGTGCCAGGCGACGATGTGCCTGTCGACGATGTGCCAGGCCACGATATGCCTATCGACGATGTGCACGGCGACGACGAGCGTGGCGACGACGAGCGTGGCGACGACGAGCGTGGCGACGATGAGCGTGGCGACGTCTTACATGGCGGCACTGCGTGTGTCCAGGGTGAGCGCGCCGGACCTTCACATCACGTGCGCAAGAAGCTCGTCTACGACGTCAACGACATGCCGGCCTATTCACTGCCGGTCCATCATTCACACAGGCGACCGAGAGAGAGCACCCCACGTCCGGTTCCACAAGGTGAGTTCATTACTTTCATTTTTTTTTTACTTTCGAGTACTTAATTAGTTTTGAGTAATTCTTAATTGTAAATAATTAGTTTTGAGTAATTCGTAAGTGTAATTCATTACTTTCGAGTAAAAGCAATTGTGCATGTAATTTAAATACATTTTATACTCGGTAACAGCAAAATTTGAATTCCAGTTACGACCACTGGTTTTGTCACGCTGGAGCTTCGTTCCATAGAGGCATTGATAGGCGGAAATGCAGTCTGCCTCATAGCTCTTTCGGCAACCCGTGGAACTTTGAACGCGACGAGACTGTGCTATGGGCGTCGACTGCCAAACCCACAGCACTCGCAGACGGCCGCAGGACGTGTCCCACATAAAGTGCGAGCGCCTTCTATTGTCAGGATGGTGACAAAGAAACGGAATAATGTGATTGCGATGTGCACGTTGAACATTTTATCACGACTCCTGTCGGTTGGTTCCGGAATAATTAAAGTATGAGCCTTTATTCGATTTTTCAGTGTATATTAATAGATTACTTTCAGCTTGAACCGCATTGAAAAAAAAATACATTAACAATTTCGGTGCTCCTACAAAATATTTAAAAACAAGTGACTCGTATCATAATGAAACTTCAGTTCCCATATCACGTCATTAATGAAGTAGGTGAAACAAAGGCACAAAATGTGACGAATTTAAAACGCTGTGTAATGAATCCTTAGCTTTCGAACGAGCAATAAACAAATGTGGCTCAGTGTGGAACATATCGCATTAACATAATTGAAGTAGCTCTCAAAGGAAATTAATTGCAGAGTATAATCACATTACTTTCTGAAAGTTACGCTTAACTTTAATTACCTAGTTGTTGTGATCTAGTAATCTGAATTGTAATTAATTGTCTTGGAGCAAAGTAGTTGTAATTTTAATTAAATTACATCTCCAAAATAATTTAGCGCACTAGGGTGAGTTCAACCCAGAGTTTTCCGTGGAGGCCATCGGCCGAGAAAGCAACTCGAATATTGAAACAGCGCTTGCGTAGGTCAAGATGACGTGCGTGTTTTTAGGAAGATGGGGTTTCCAGCAGGGGAAATGTGCACGGATTTTGCGGTGAAGCTTGGTTTTAAAAACTGTAACGCTTGCGTTTTTTTTTTTTTTTTCTTTTTTTTTTAGCACGACGACCGAATGAAGCGCATGGCGCACGTTTTTACGTTTCAAAGAAATCTTGAAACCCTACTAATACCTACACTGACCCGCAGAATACTCTCGACTAGCTCGGCCATCTGGCTGGTATTACCAATACGGAACTAAAACCAGCAAGAACCAAAGTAGAGCAAGCACGTACAAAGTCGCAGTTCATAGATGATATGTGTGTTGCTTTCGGCTGCTGCGCCAGAACTCAGATCCACCAGCGTACAAGGTATCGACTAAATCCACCCAGAGCTACGGTGCCTTAAACTGAGGGTTTTTTTTTTAATTATTTAGTATTTATTTTTGCTCAATATGGGTGAAGTATACGCATTCCCGATCTTCTCTATCCACAGATATTCTGGAGCTCTTTCACTTGAGATGCAAGGAAGAAAGGAAAAGGAAGCCGCCAGGTGACCCAAAACGCCGTTTGCTTAATTGAATTGTCGAACCGCCTTTTTTTTAATCTTTGTTTTATGTTTGGCTTCATTCGTTTTATTTTTACCTGCCAGAAAAGTTCACCGTGCTTGACGGTTTTATAGTAGGTTTGTCTTAAGTTTGTTGATGACTGGTTGTACCGGTGTTTTCTTGTTTCTAAACTGAGAGTTTATTAAACTGTAACCACACTCAATGTGTACTGACGTACTTTATTACGCCACCGCTCACAAGTACATGAGGATGAATGGTGTCAACCACTAGGAAAGGCCCCCAGTTTCCCATTGAAGGTTTCCAAAAATCACATACCTTTGAATATGGTAATATTTAGCTGTGAAACCTTGGCTTCTAGGACTGCTTGCGCTAGGTCATGGCTAGGGTTCCGTGTTTTCGGATAAATCCGAAAAACACCCGCCAGTAAAATTTTGGTCAATTCGGATTTATCCGATAAACTCCGAATTTTGACGTGCCAATACTCCCCCCCCCCCCCCCCCCCCCCCGCAAAAAAAAACAAAAAAACTAAGTAAAGACTTACAATTAAGTTTGATCAGCGCACAGGGTCAATGGTCCCGGGAAAATGCAACCACAGTTATCTTTCAAATCTCGGATCATTGAGAAAAGGGTTCTTACCGCTTATCTCGTCAAGGCTCAGGACGAGATGTCATTACTTTCGGGTCGCGACATAAGCCTCTGAATTGGTTTCCAGTTTGGGCCATACTATATAGAGGAAGGAGAGGTTGTGTTTGTTTGTTTATTTTTTTTTTTTTTTTTTTTTAGCAGTGAAAGCTATGGACCATAGTGACTGCATAAAATTGGGAAGAGGGACAGTTGAAACTTCCCTAATTCATTCTTTACCACTCCACCTCGCGCGGCCGCGGGTAACATGGAATAGGATACATGCCTCCCAGAGGCTACCTCCAGGAGTTTATTTTTAAGGTATTGACGTTCATCGAAGCCACACATGTGCGTAACTTTAATGGTGGGACAAATTCGTATTGCCAATGGCAATGGCCCCAACACCAAATCCAGCTGAAGAAATATTAATTGATATAACCGCGTTTTATTTTTTCTTTGTCAAGCATACGTTTATACCAGGATATTATTTATTTTTCATAGGAAACACTGCAAAATTAAACTCCGAATTTCGGAGACTTTGGAATCAAACAAAAATAAACTCCTATAAACTCCGAATTTTCTGAAAAAAAAATAAACTCCGAAAAATACCCTCCGAATTTGACGAAAAATAATAAACTCCGAAATCACGGAATCCTAGTTATGGCAGAGACAGCGTTCGGCAATGATAATTTTGCAATTAAAAAAAACAAAAAAACGCTGTATTTTTTTTTCTTTTTTTTTTTTTTTTTTTTTGGGGGGGGGGGGGGGGGGGGGCACGCGATACACTACAAAGTGTAGGAAAAAATTAAGGCTCCAATCCACGCTGTGAAGGCGGTTGGACAGCGAAGCTATGGTATCACCTGCAACGATTGCCCACTGCCCATAGACCCTTTTTTTTTTTTTTTTTTTTTTGCGGTGCTCAAATCTTTGACGTCCCAGAGAACTTCCGGTTTGTAAACATAAGGAACAAAGGCCACCTTGACACCGCTGCTTGGAATTTAGATGAAACGTTTAACCACCAATTCTCCAGGTGAACGCCGAAAGAACGAAGGAGTGCGAGATCTTAAAAGGTTTGGAGTCTTCTAAATCGGCGCGGGGCCCGAGACCCCACGAGACACCCCTAACTTTAAAGTTACTTTTAACTGCGGTTAAGGGTGGCTGTGTAACAAGGGATTACTGGCGTGTATGGGTCTACAAAAAAAAAAGTTGTCGCACAATATTTTTTTTTTTTTTTTTAAATCGTGCACGCTGATATTGGCATGGCTAATGGCTAAAACACGGCAGCCAACGCTAGCCATAGGATTGGGGTGCTTTGACGAGGCTTTCCTGAAGAAAAGAGTTGTAAACATCCAGCAGGGCTTGGACGTCCTTTTTGACCAGCTGGTAGTTGTGCTCTGCCAGCTTGGTATCGATGAACTCCCGCGCAGCAAAGTTGTTCTGCTCCTGGTGCTGCCAGCGGCGCTCCAGATTGGCCACACGAGTGTAAACTTCGTTCTCGTTCAGCTTCGCCCTGGCATCGTCGTAGCGGGCCTGCAGCTCCTCCACAGCCTTTCCGAGAAGAAGAGAAAATAGGCCGCGACAACACTGCGATTAATGGCGCCAGAAGCTCGCCGTTTTCAAAAAGTGTCCTTTTCCACATAAAGACGGTACCAAGAGGCCGGCGCACAAACTACGCAGGGGGGGGGGGGGGGGGGGGGGCATACGACTGAAGGTTGGTTCACACACTTGCGTGAGTCCAACCGGGTGCGACTGCAACGGCTTGCAACGTGCAGGTTGCTATGGCAACAGCTGCATCCAACAAAACGGGGTAAAAACCGGTTTTGTTGGAGCCGATGCAGCTGTTGCCATAGCAACGCGTAAGTCGCAAGCCGTTGCAGTTGCCTTCGGTTAGACTCGACGCAAGTTAAGTCCGTGGCTTACGCCACCGGCAAGCTCAGCGATGACAAGCCGTCCGTCTCGTTTCAGTTCCTAATTATAAAAAAATGCAAACGACCACACAAAGTGTGCGGCGATTGTCAGCGGTAGCTGCTGCACTGTGGAAAGGCATGTTGAAGAAGATTTGCCTTCGGCCAGTGTCAAGGAGCTTAGAAGTACCAGGAGGGGGCACGTTGCAATATTGGTGAAGCTTAGTCATAAAAAGTTTAAACGATTTTGTGCCCAGCGTGACCGCAGATTTGTCTGGCGATTGGTGCGCGTGAGATGTCACGTGCGAGATGGATGGTTGATTGTAGGGGATTCCTTGCTGGGCTTGCGCGCGCTCTGTCCGGTAGGTTTTATCAGATCGAAGGCTAGACGAAGGCTAGCTACGGTTACGTGATGTGGTGAGAGTAAGGAGGAAAATGAGAAAGAGGCAAGGCGTCAAGGGAGCATGGCTTGTGGAGGCTACGCGGCTGACGTCATGCCCTCTCCTACCCTTCTATTCTCCATGGCCAGTGTGATGTACAATATTTGCAATGGGTTCTTTGCTTTCAGTGGAATTGATGTAGAAGACGTGTGTGAGGAGATGTGTGCTTTGGTGGAGCAATTGTGAGAAATGGTACATATGTTGATAAATACAACGACGTGCTTTTCTTTTTTTTTTTTTTTTTTTTTAGAACGGCGGCGTTAGTGATTCCGCCTGCGGCGGAAGAAGCGAAAGTATGTACGCGAGTTGTTCTGTAGAGCGGCGCCTCTACAGAGCAGCTCGCATACCTACTTCGGGCGGCGGCAGTGCGGAGGCCAGGGAGCGTGTCCGCACAGCCAGCACAGCGCGACCGCGTGAGTATTTCGCATCGGCGGATCGGCGGCAGCCGGAAGGGTTGAGCCAGTTGAGCGCGTTCTCCCCGTGATCACGTGGGTGTTTCGGAACAGCTGCGGCCTAGAGGGGGGAAGTGGGGAGCGAGAGAGACGCTCGCCGTGTGTGAGGAACGACGGGGAGAGGGAGAGCAGTGCCTCTGCTCTAGAGTGGAGTTTTGCGTTCGTACATGAGCATTTTTTGCCGGGAAGGGGCACTAACAGCTACCGTTGTAAAAACTAGGGTGAAATGATTCGCGAGAATCATTTCAGCCTAATGTTCAGCCTCTTTACGCTTTCTCTTCGAGCAGGATGGTAATTTTGCGATCGGCCCGATTGTAACGGGGTTTCCACCTAAGGCATCTATTTCCCCACAGAGCTCCCGCCACTTTCGAATATCTCTTCTTGAGAAAGGTCCATTGTCAGTTGTGTTAAGGTGCAAAGCGCGGTGCACACACCCGAAAAGTTTTGTAAGATCAACAAAGAACGTCACGAAAGAAACAAACTTTTCTAGATGGCTCTTTGCTGGCTTGTAAGGCTTCCTTCTCAGCCAGCAGCTGCTGTTTCCTGTGCTCTGCGGAGTTTTTCAACTGATCCAAGTCGCTGAACACTACCATCTCATCCTCCATTTTTTTCATTTTCAGTCTTAGGCTGTCAAGTTCCAGTTGTACCTTTGACTCAAGTTGTTCTATCTGAAAGACAAACACAATAAGTGTGCTGCTCCAGATATGAACAGCTAAAAATGTACACCGTGTTACTGCGGTCCATACCTTTTGCAAGTCAACAGCTAACTTTTTTTGTTCTTGCCCTAGCGTCGACAATGTCATTTTAGACTTTTCCATCTCGCCCTCTTTGAATCTGTAAAGAAAAAAAAATTCAGACTTCTAGGTGTCTAAAGTTTTACTTCCAACTGTCTAGTGACTCTATTTCTATCACATTTCACCTTCAAATACGTAGTCACTTCTGTTCGTTTTCTTTTTTTTTTAAGCTGGCTCTGAAAAAAAAAAACATCACAAACCGTTCTCCAAAACTCGGTGGCTAGAGGGACCAGGACACAGAAGATAAAAAAATATGTATGCGATAACAATGGCAATTCAAGCAATTATTAACACTATATACTTGCTCGTTTGGTGTGGTCCAGATAGAAGGGGGATAGACGTGAGAGGTGTGGGCATCCCTACGGGGCAGCTCGCAATCCGACAAGGGGATGGGGTAAACTTCCAGCAACAATATTTCAAAATACCGAGCCGCTGGGCTGTATTACATTTACAGTTTCCAAATAGCACTAGGTCCTGATTTTGTGAGGCCCAAAGCTGAACCTTTGGATTGTTCCAAGAGCTTACAAGCGAAGAGGATGACAGTTACAGTGATGTGATTGGCCTAAGCGGGTTTTGGAGCACCTTTCGGAGCAGCCAAAACAGTGTTTTGGAGCAGAAAAAGTGGCCTTTGGAGCAGCCAAAACAGTGTTTTGGAGCAGCAAAAGTAGGTTTTAAAGCAGATATTCTAATAAAAATTAAAATATTTGTTTTAAATGCTGGACACGCGAAGAGAATCTTGCTCGCCGAAATAAACCAATTATGATCAAGTTCGGCCACCTGGGAGTCTTTCAAGATGTAACTGAAATGCCAATGACATGACACATTTCTTTTTGCTTTTCGAAAAATTCTGCAAGGCTGGAGCAAGCTTTGCGTTAGCTTAGGGTAGTAATGAATGTCCAATTTCAATGTCTCCAAAGAGACATTGCGACATCCCACAAGTGTACAGTGCTGTAGGCTTTGCCAAGCAATTCCGAAAAACCGCTTGCCACCGTCTTACTGATTGCCGACGTGCCAGATTTTCGTCAAAAGTAATTAAGTGTAAAACAATGAATTGCAAGCGTCCCGGCTGGTGCCTCTGTCGTGCAATTATGTTCGCATCGTTGGTTTGCATGCACGTGAGGGCAACTCCGGCAGGCTTGCAGGTGCATGTGCTTCGTCGCGCGACCGAAACGGCTGTTCGATCGAAACCGAAAACATGCCTCTTTACTCCGTCGCCAACTGGTTGCCAAAAGTCTATGCAAAATGTAACAGCCCAGCATGCGACAAAAAAGAGTCCAGCACCGCGTGCTTGCAAAGCCGGCAGGCGCGGTACGAGCTAAACACAGAAAAAAAGAACCTGAGCGCATTGATGTAAGACATCGCGAGCCAGGGTCGCTTTGTGCAACGACTAACTCGAGACAAACAAGCGCGCTCTGCGGGTTCAGCGTGCAGACATTCCCTTCTTTGTTTTAACTCACTTCAACTTTTCTTCGCAACACATTTTTCACGTACCGGGGTCCCTCTCGAAAGAAAGCCCACCAAGAAAAACCTAGGTAATCAATACTTTGACACAGCAGTCTTTGAGTTAGAGAGGGATTTTTGTAGCAGCGTATGTTTTAAACAAGAACATGAATGTTCATGAACAAGCGGCGGTCCTTATGATTTAGTTTAGGAAGCTCCATATCTGCAACGTCGTGTGGCCGTTGATTTCAGAAGCGAGAGCTTCAGCTCAAAAAGTAACTCCCGCCGCGCCGAAACATAGTTTCGTTTTACAGCGTCACGTCATGCCTGGTACCCAGCACGGGGTCCATATCATAAGAGCGAATGACATTTTAGCGAGCGGCGACATTTGAGCGAATGGTCGTTTTAGCGAATAACGGGGGCGCGCGTTAACCCATCCGTCGCGCTGCGCTTTACGCCGCTTCGCGGCGACCTGCGGCAACTCATTACAAAAATATGAACTCACTTAGCCCAACCGAAAACGCCGCTTCGCGGCGTCCGACTATTCGCCAAAGTGTCGTTCGATGAAACGTGGGCGTTCGCTAAAACGTCATTCGATCAAGTGAGTGCCTCCCCCCAGCACGCTAGCGTCGCAGCGCACACACGCCAACATCTATCGTTAAAAAAAAAAAAAAAAAAAAAAAAAAAAAAAAACGCGACACGAGACTTACGCTTACGAGACGACGAGAGCGTGAAAGAGAGGGCATGGCGGAAAAAAGCATGCAAAAAACCATGGACGATTGATGCAGGGTATTTTGTGTCGGGCGGCTGTTTGCACCACCTAGCTCATGCATGCTCAGTTACGGTACTTAGTTTAGTTTCGGTTTTGAAAGGCGACCGAAATTGGCCCTTCGGCGCAGGCTTGGCGCAGATTACCCATATTTTGGCAAAATGTAGCAGGATGCAGCAGGGTTACCCCCTTGGCGCAGTTTGGCGCAATTGGCGCAGCCATCACATCACTGCAGTTACAGTCTGCGCGAGGCATTCCGGCGTTCTCTAGGAGGCGGCAAGTCGAAGCTGGAAAGACGCGCTGCTACACTCACGCCAGGTCGTCCCTGAGCAGAGCCATCTCGTCCTGGCTGGGCAAGTTGGAGAAGTGAGGCAGGTTCCGTGACACGATCTCCAGGTGCTCCACAATGTCGCCCTGCAGCTTCTCCTGGCGATCTACCTCAGCCTGGCGGGTGTCGGCGAAGGTCTCGAGAAAGGCGTCCATGGTTTCCTCGCGCTTCTTGAGTTCCCGGTACTTGGCACGCCGCTCGCCGTGCTGATCCTCCAGCTCCTGATCAAGCTGGGACAGTTCTTCCTGGACGGCTGTGAGCCGCTCCCTCGCTTCGGACGTCTGACGCTCGATGCCCGCCAGTTCGGCGTTGTCCTCCTTCACCTGCGTAAATGAAAATGTTAGGATTCTTCTTCGAACAATTGCCGAGAAACTAACGATTCTCATCTGCCACCTGTTATCTGTGTCGCAGTTTTGTACCGGTTAGTCCGACAGGACCTTTAAACAAAAACAAATGTGCATAGACAGAAGACAGCATCACCTGTGGAAAGGACATCACTTGCACAACTAGTTTCGTGCGTAATGTGAAAAGTGAAATCAATTAAAACCCAAGCAATTCTACCTTCTCAATTTTTTTTTTTTTTTTTTTTTTTTTTTTTTTATGTGCAGCATAATTAGCAAGGCGTGAAAAGAGCATGCTCAAATGTCAAATCGTTGTGACCTGTACGAGGAGACGTTCCCTCTCTTGAGCTGGCGTGCCACGCAGTCGCTGTTCCTCCTGGAGCACAGCCTTCTTTTCTCCCAGCTCCCGCAGGCGTTCGTACAGTTTCACGGCTTCTTGCTTTATCTGCGACATACAGCAATATCCCAGTCAGCAAAGGGCAGATGGCATTTAACCGAATCAGTTCCAACCCTCACGCTACCGGTCCCAGACATTTACATGTATCAATGTGGTGCAAGCAATTCCGGCTTTTGTATCAATCCCCAACAACGCACGAATTTTTGTTTTGCTAATAACTGCTGAAACACCTACTTGAGACAAAGAGATATCTTCTTCAAGAGAATTCCTTTGAGACTGCAGAGTATTGAGCTTCTGTTGAAGCTTGTCCAGCTGAATCAAAAGTAGTTGGTTGGCGTCCTTCTGCTCCGCGTACCTGGTGGCATCAGCACATGACAGAGTACACCACAATTATCACTGCATCATCACACTCACCAGTCTTGGACATTTTTCTTACCATAAAGAGCTTGCAAGCACACAGCGCACAGGTTTACTCTGTTTCATACTTAGCGTGCAACGCTGTCAAAGCAACTGGCGCGAGCGCGTGGCTTCATATCTGGTTTTCTTTGCGCGAGAACGTGTGCAAGTGATCAAGCCCCATGCTCGCGTCAGTAGCTTGGACAGCGTTGCACACTAAGTATGAAACAGAGTATACTTGCTTACACGCGTACATTTGTATTTTTAATTTGTTTACACGTTTGATGATGATGATGATGGTGATGATGATGATGATGATGATGATGATGATAATAATAATAATAGTTTACACAAAATGAGAGTTGCTAAGCTTGAGATTTATTTTGTTGTTTATTCCTGTCTGGGAAAGAGATGCGAGGAACTGGACCACAAGCCGCCACGCGCGGCATCTGTGCTCGAGCACGTCCGTCGTCTGCCATGCGTGCATCTTTTCACGTACGCTGCGTACGTCATGTGTGTGTGTATTGTCTAGACGGGAAAGGGAGATCGCTCTCGCGTCTATACAAATTGAGCAGCGCGAGGGAGGAGATTCGGCTTTGGAACGGGGACCAAAAGAGATAGTCTGGTGAAACTTTTTTTTTTTTTTTTATGCAATGTGTCGTTTTTGTTGTAATAAACGTGGCCACCCTGGTCACTGAACATCTACCTCGCCGCAACGTGCTCAGCGGGACCGAACTTTTTATATACCGGATGTCTCAAATAGCGGCCAGGCTCTTTAAATCGACCGCAAAAATCGGTTTCTTAACCTATCGCGCTCCGATTTTGTACAGCGTTGGCCACAGGTGGCGCATTTTTTCCATAAAATTCGCAAAGAGCGAACTTCCCTGAGGAAAAAGTAAAAAAAGAAAAAGGATTAACTCCTATGGAAACGCAGCGAAGCCACCGGTCTTCGAACCATACGGCGCCCGATGCTTTGAAGACCGGTGGCTTCAATGCATTTCCATAGGAGTTAAGTCTAAAGCCTGGCCGCTATTTGGGACACGGGGTACAACTTCCGAGGAATCAACATCGTCGGTCATCTCCATCTCGACTGCCCCATCCTCGGAAAGTAGACAATTCTAGAGTTGTCCTGGCCCCAGGGAAGCGTGCCAGGCAAAGCAGAAAGCCAAGTCCCGTAAGAGTGCGTCTGCTGGCCAGGCTCCCATGGCCAGCTGCAGTCAAGCATACGAAACAGCGAAAACGGCTAGCTGCCTTATAGGGGGTATTCACAGGACGCCATATCGTTGGACGTTGTCCACGCGCATGCTCAGAAATAGCTCCCATTTATCGTCTTCTAAGAACAGCGATTCTGATTGTGTGGAATGGATGTTGAACGCGCATTATTGTGCACTCAGATCTCGCAGGCAGTGCAGCCAAAGCTATGGATACCCGTGCGCTCGCGGACCTTGAGCACCGATCAAAGCTGTGCACGAGCGGTGTTCGCTTCTTCTGAAATGCCAGAAACAGATGCCCTCAAGCATCGTTCTGAGCGTGCGCTGCGAAGAACGTTCAACAGAATGGAGTCCCGTGAATTAGAGCACTACACGGGCCTACTCGTCGTGTAATATCTATTACACGACGAGTTCACGGCTTTTGTAAGCTGCGCGAGCGCGTGCTAGGAATCGAAGCAGCTCAGAAGGCTCTGAGCTTGTGTACGTGACTGTGGTCAATTAGAAGAGTACATTATTATCTTATATAAAACATATTACATAATGTGAAGCCAACAAGTTAGACATTGGGGACAACACCCAGCATACAGAGGTATTATACAGCTCGGTTAAAAAGGTAAAACACGAAGATCAAAGCATAGCGGTTTATTTACAAGATTTATATACAATGGGAAAGAAAAAGAAACTGAGGTTACAGCAGATTAACATAAAGTTGGGAGAGAACAAGAATGTTCAATGATTACATATTTTTGTGCAAAAAATAAGAGATTATCTAGAGGTTCTTCCTTCAGGCAGGTTCGCCGCTTATTCATGACGTACCCAGCTGCACTGAAGTTTCTCTCACTGCTGGCACGTGTGGCTGGGATGCAGAGTACTTTCTTTGCAAGGGCTGCTAGTTGCGGGAACATGATCTGGTGAGTCTGCCACCATAGCATCAAGTCCTTCATTCCACCTTCGCCACCATACTCGGCACATATGTACTTGTCAACTTCATCACTTTGTTCTGGCACTACTTCCACATCGCACCATTTTTGGAACTCATCCACACATCTACGCTTCGTGGGAGCTGAAGTGTTGTCTCGAATATCCACGTCGTCTCTCATTGATGCCAGCCGCAGTGCCTCGCTTGACAACCTCTCTTTCAAGTTGCCGTAGACCAATTTTCTTTCGTTTCCAAGGAGCATGGGGAGTTGCCGGTACTGTGGACACAGGAATGTCGCTATCTTGTGCATTTCTTCGAGCTGTAGTTTGCCTTCCAGGAAATGCTTTGTACTCTCTTTGAATTTTACAGTAAGGGATGGGTCGCAAGGCACCACTTGAAGATGCTTGCTTAGTTTGGCAAAGCACAACAGCACAAACGGCAAAGTGGAGTGTTTATCTTGCTCCAACTTGTCGCTCGCCTCCTCAAAAGGTTCCAAGAAATCAATCATTTCTTTGAGGTTAGACTTGTTCACCTCATCAAGCAAGCAGTTGTTTCTGGTGTCCAAAATACGTTCGATATCTTCGTACTGGACAAATACCGACCGGATCATTGCCAGTTTGAAGTTCCACATTGTGCTCACATCTTGGTACACAGCATGTGGCAACTCGCTAGCAAGTCCACTTTGCTTCAGAAAAGTCTCAACAGACTTGACACCTTTGATGCTTTCGTCTATGGCGGGCAGCTCTTCTGTAACGAACGACTCGTCAAATGTATGCCGGAGTACGGTGTTCAAGATGTGAGCAGTACAGCTCATCGTTGTGTACGGACGAAGTGCACTTATAATATTTGCACCTTGGTCGGTCACGAACACCACGTTCGCAAGGAGGTGTTTACTGAAACCAAGCTTTAAAAATCTTCGAACAATTTCTTTGCGTATGTTTTCGCCCGTTTTCCTTTCCTTCGGAAAATCGCAAGTGAAGAGAACTTAGCTCTGCAGAACCCAGTTTTCATAAATGCAGTGAACCGTTGCGGTAGTATACGCGATCTTTTCGCAGTCGTCTGTCCACATGTCAGTTGTAACTGCGCAGCGACTTTCCTTCATTGCTGCTTCAATGACAGGCCTCATATCGGCTACTTTTCGGGACACAGTTGTGGGATGTGGAACCACGTTATTCGCAGAGACGTTTCCGTAACGGGCGCCAATGCGTTCATCTGCGAGCTGAACAGACCGTCTCCGTGAACTACATCAAATGGCCGCATATCTTTGGCGCATAAGCCAACGCAAGCCGTTGTCAACTTCTCTTTGACAATCGCAGGAGTGCTGGACTTCTTTGTAGCGAAAATAGAAGTAACACTCGCACACTCAGAAGTGGACGACTTACATTTGTGCCGGCTCAAATGCGAGGTCCCAGTCTTGGTGCCGTCGTACACTCTAAAAAAAGCCCGTGAGTCTGCTTTGCCGCACAACACTCGGAGAGCCGATCACCGCAACTTACGGAGGCAGCTCAGCGAATGACAATGCCGAAACATATGTTTAGATTAAAAAACGCAGTCTGAGTTGTGACATTAAGCAATGCAAACGTGACGTTTTGCATTGCTTTGCACGCTGCATTTTTTGGTCTAAACAATCTTTCGGCACTGTCACTCGCTGAGCTGCTTCCGTAAGTTGCGGTGATTGGCTCTTCGAGTGTTGTGCGTAAAAGTAGACGCACAAACTTTTTTTAGAGTGTAGGTCAAAAATGCTTTGCAGTGGCTGCATTGAACATGTCCCGGCGGTGCTGACGTGGTTGCGTCAACAACTTTCATAAATTTCTTCCACACATCACTTTGTTTGGAGTCCTTTGTGACAAGCTTCAGCTGCCCCGATGAAAGTCCTTCCTTCAACTTGGCGACGAAAGGGAAACTGAAGACCGCATATAAAATTCAATTGTCCACTTGTGGCAAAGTCAGCTCGACGTAGCTGAAGATTATCTTAGACAGCAGTCATGTCGCAATCACCTCGAAGCAATTCGTGTTAAAAAACAAGAGATGAAAGCAGGGTCAGTCATGTAAGCTTTAACCAATCAGGCGGCTTCGTTCACGCGTCCACGCAGAGAGGGCTGTCACTCGATGTAGGGTGGGGAAGTCAGCCCGTTATCGTTTCAGAACGCCCAACAATGTGACCCCCTCGTCCCGGGCCGCGATAGCGTGTACCCGGCGAGAGTTTTCCCCTGCGCTAGTTATTTTTGAAGCACCAACATCAGAACCAGAAATACAGCAAAGATGGTTATCTTGCTTTTTTTTTTTTTTTTTTCGTCGGGAAAGAAATACACAACAGCACAAAGACGGTCCACCAGAACCCCTGACAACTTTAAGAAAAACAAAATCGCTGGCCGGGTCGCAGACTTCTCCGAAGTCAAACGATCGTCCCAGAGGAGCCCACAGCCCCACCCCACATCACGAGGCCCCCATCAACGCTCATGGCTATTGTGCTTACAGCTCGGGAACAGTACTCGTCCAGAGCCATGTGCACCTACAAATCAACCGTCGACGGACCCGTACGCGACCTGTTTTTGGACACCGCAACGCACGAAAACCCCACATGAGGGCGACCAAACGATATGACCCCAGCGAAGGCCTCGCGTTCACCAACCCACCCGTAGAAAAAAGAATGCGCGGACAAAGAGAATGAAAGATAAACATGTACAAGGGGCGCGTTTCCCCCGTACCTCCGGATCGCGGGCGGGTCCGCGGTCCGGAGGTTCGGTGTCGGTCGGTTCAGTTGGTGTTCTAATAATAATAATAATATTTATTTTGGTTCAGGAGAACCGCGGTGCCGCAGAAAGGCAAGTAGCCCATACCAGAAAGGCCTGCGGCGCCGCATCTAAGGACGATGGGATGAGATTGTGTACAGATGACAGAAAAGTGCTGACGATGTATGCATACGCGCATATGTATGCAAGTAGCCCATACCAGGAAGGCCTGCGGCGCCGCATCTAAGGACGATGGGATGAGATTGTGTACAGATGACAGAAAAGTGCTGACGATGTATGCATACGCGTATATGTATGCAAGTAGCCCATACCAGGAAGGCTTGCGGCGCCGCATCTAAGGTCGATGGGATGAGATTGTGTACAGATGACAGAGAAGTGCTGACGATGTATGCATATTGCCCCTGTGTTTTAGCGATTGCCGAGATCCGGGTCAGATCTGGGCCGGACGGCCCGGATGCGTCCCGGGTGTGGCCCGGGCCCGGCTGAAGCGTACACTGCCAGGCCTGGGCCCGGCCCGCGGGCCGGGCCCGGGCTTTCGGGTAGGCCCGGGCCCGTGCAGTGCTCTACAGTGAATACCTCCTATAAACCGATTTCACCAGCCAGTTTGACTACGCCGCCGCAATGCATAGAGGGAATTTTGGCCTTTCTGTACGTGTGGCAACCTCGCTGGAGCTCATCGTAGCACGAGATGTCACGAGCCCTCTGGTGCACCGCCGTCCGAGTCCTGACTCCTGTGAACTGAAGTTATGGCGGCGCCACGCATGCGCCGGACGCTTAATGAGATCGGTCTATTATACCATCGAAATATCAGTCGCAGATGTGCGAGTGTGGTCCCTTGAAATGTGACTTTGTTTCATTCACAAATAAAAGGTGAGAGCTGTGAGCTAATCAAAGTGTGCTACCTCTGACGCAGTTCTGGCTTCATTGCTGCTATCAGATTGTCCGCCATGTTCCTCTCCTCTTCAATCTCCTCTTCGAGTTGTCTCAGTTGACGTTCACGGTCCTGCCTTTGCTCGAAAAGCAGCTCCACGCTTCTTGCCTCTTGGTCATTTTGACCCTGACAAAACAAAACACAAAAAGCAAAAATTGTTTACTCGCCCATTTCTTCTCGTTACGTAATGAAAGGTCTTTTATTTAGGTATCTTCGAAGTAACTTTACTCGCGTGAGGTCTAGTCATGTGCAGCTGAGCGTCAAATAAACCCGGATGTCCTGTAGACATTATCGACCGGCGCAGACCTACCCACTTGTAGTCGAAAAGTGTTTTCACAGTGCTAGGGAGACCCATGACATACCGGCTCGCTTTGCGGTGCCTAAGCAAGTGATGACGCTGCGCTCCTCGACTCGAAGCAGTATTCGCACACCCCTAACTCTCATGAATTGCAGCGGCCATCTCACACCAGTGCTCTCAGAGTGAAAGCTCGGAAAACGAGGCGTCACCTTGAGCTCGTTGTACTCCTCGCGGACGTCTTCCATGTCCGCGTCGGTGTTCAGCTTGTCCAGTAGGAGGTTGTGGTCCGCCATCTGGCCCTGCAGCTGCTTCAGCTCGGCGGCAAGAACTTCGGCTTTCTTCTCGTACGTAGCGTAACCGCTCTGTTCTTGGGCTAGGGCGTCGTTTTCGCGTTGTAGCCGGCCGATCTCGTTGGTCAGCTCGGTCATCTTGGTTCGGAGCAGCGCGATGAAATACGTCTTGTCTTGGACTTGCCGCTGGGACGACCGGGACACCGTCGTTTTGGGCGCTACCAAGCCGTGCTGCGTGATGGGCCGGTCGGGGATGCTGATCTGCACTCCCGTGCCCGGCACCGCGCCGGCCCGCGTGTCCGGCCGCCCGCCAAGCCGGCTGCTCGGGAAACCGCTGCGCTGCGTCGCTGCCGTGAACGAACGCATGCCTGGAGACGGAGGTCGGTTCGACGTGGCTGGTCGCGAATCCATTCAGACTGCTATGTGTTACAAGCTGCTGAAAAACTGCTGGGATTCCTCGAACGAAGCAGCGTTTGTCTCCGGGGTCTCAGGAGCACATCCACAGCACGCTGGTTTGTTTGGGAGAAACGTTGTGTGTTGCCGCAGCAGTAGCCATGGCGACGCTTAGGCCGTGTTCCAAACGTTACTTGAACCACTTCAGAGCAAAGGGCTCAGTGTTCGAAAACCTACCCCGCCTACCCGGCCTACCACGTCTCAACTCAACGTTGCTCCCGGTCGCTGTATGTATGATCTCTATGCGGTCGCTGCTTGTTACTTGTCACGTGATATGACCCACCAAACCGGAGTAACCTGGATTCACTCGAGAACATTGCGCAACACCCGATTGTCTCAATGTATTAACGGGTTTTACACCACGTTTTGCAACGGTTGAAACCGTTGAAACATTGAAACAAGAGCCCAACGCTTGGGCCGAAGTCAACGATGGCCGGAATCAACGTTGCCGGAGTGCCAAGTGACGTCACTATGACGCCTCTGCCCGCTTCCTACCGAGCTATCGAGCGAACCGCCAACCCGTTCACATGCGTTCACCGCGTCGCGCGTCGCCGTCGTGCGTGTGTGTGATTGTGCCTAGGAGTGAGCACGAATCTTGTCCGGTAGCTCTGACGATAATGGGGAAGAAAGACAAGAAAAAGGGCAAAGGAGCCGAGAAAACGATCGCCAAGACTGAAAAGAAGGCCGCCCAGAAGCTGAAGAAAACGCTGGCAGCAAAAGGCGAGGTAACGTCACCCATTTCCATCGCTCGTGGAGAGCCGCGTCAATGCTCGATCGAGCGCTGTTGTAATCAGTCACCTCGACCCTGTTCGCAGGATGACATCGAAAAGTTGATCTCCCTGTGTGTGGAGCAGGACAGGAAGAGGCCAGCGGTGACAGAGGAGCTGGTCGGTCCTCCTTCGTTTCGGTACGCCCGGCTGTCGGCTCGTATGGCGCGTGACGGGCACGTGTCGCGTGAGGACTGAGATTCCTCTGCTCGCCTTTGACTCCGCGTGTGTTTTCGGGCCGCAGGAGCGGAGCCACGCTTTGTGCACATCCCGAGAAGGAGCAGTTGCTGCTCTTCGGAGGAGAATACTACAACGGACTAAAGGTATCGCTCGCTGCGCGCTTTGCACCACTCGCAAAGCTGATAACACTTCTCTGTTTGCAGACGTTTATGTACAACGAGCTCTACGTGTATAACATCAAGAAGAACAGCTGGCTTTTAGTCAAATGCCCCCATCCTCCGCCGCCACGAAGCGCGCATCAGGTAAGCCATGCCATGGTAATAATGGCACACTGATGAAAATAGACGAAGAGATCTCCAAAAGCTTGGGTAGTGACCATAAACGTATGCAGAGCGCAAGTTCGTCTGCTTCTTTTGCAGGGGTTGTGGTGACGTCAGAACGACGCCGAGCTCTGATTGGCTCTGATTGAAGGATAGTGGGTAGATCTCAAGGCAGCTTGCTCTGAGGTCTACCCACTATCCTTCAATCGGAGCACGGCATTATGACGTCACCGCAACCCCCTGCAGCAGTAGCAGACGTATTTTCTCTCCTCATTAAGTTAAACTTTACGAGACAGTCGAATTCAGAAATAGGGCACGATAAAAAGTCGTGCTTTTTACACAGAAAAACAGTTGGAAGTAGTGGCTGTGCAAATAGAGGAGGTAATTTCGGTAGACAAGCAAAAAGAATGGAATTATACGATTCTAGGTTATTTGAGCGAGGGCTAGCTAAAGCGCAAAGGAAAGAAAGAGGAAAGCGAGAATACAAACCCAAGAGCTGGTGGGATGGCAAAATAAAAGCAGCAATAGAGAAATGTAAAGGCTTCTAGGGAACATAGGAGTTACAGGCGTAGGGGTGAGACAGCGAGTGAAGTGAAAATAAAATGGGACGGATTTCTTAGGCTTCGAAAGGAGGTATCTTGTTTGGTCAATGAAAAAAAAAATCAAGAGAAACAGAGCACAATGGTTGTCTAAAGTAAACAAAACAAATAGAAAGGCGGCAAAAGAAAATATTTGGAAGCACCTTAAAGGGGTACGGAAACATAATTCCAGCGCTCATTTTTTAGCTTTAATGTGTTGCATGTTGCAGCATAACCTCAAAAATACCAGTCTTCCGTTGAAAGGCACAAGAAAACTAATTTTAAAGCTAATTAACTTATCTTTCAATGTGCACTTGATGGATGCATGTAGAGCCTATTTGGGAGGTAATCTAGCAACGTTGGGGAACTTGCTACATAGTCATGACATAGCAAGTTCCATCGGAGCAACGCCACTCTTTGGAATTCAACATTTTCTTTCATAGCTTTCCTCAACTTGCAAATCGCGCATTGTACCAAGCAGTTCAAGAAGACGGAAAGGAGGGACGTCCCTCTTACTCGGACCCTCATTTGTGTACCCGGAGACAGCCATTCTCCCCTTAGAAGATTAGCTTCTCACTCAAAATTTGGACAAGATTTGCTTTTCCCACCCCGTTCAGCCTTAAGCTGACTGTGCTGGGAAGGCTATGTGCTCCTTGGGCCAGCCACATGCTCGTCACTGTACGGGTACTTCGAACGGCTCGGTTGTAACGCATTGATGCTATTGACACCACCACAACGTTGACAACGCCACCAACGGCAAAGCTCATAACCACGCCAGCCTTGCTATGTCACAAATGCGGGGAATCTTTTTCTTTTTTTTTTTTTTTTTGCGCCGGATATCCCATGACGCATCGCGGTCTCCATTCGCTTCTCTTCGAGCGCTTGCTTAAGTGCACCGTTTGGATAAAAAAATATAGCCAGTAGTGCAAAATACAAACGTGCAATTATCATTTGCAGTTATTATCCGTCATGCTTGACTCATTTTCGAAACAGCTTTACATTGTCACACCACAGGGTAACCAATTGAAAAGGGGGAAGCGATGCAACATATTACAACGGTGATGGCAGAAAAATTAAACAAGCAATGATTTATAGGTGGTATTGTAGTAGAGGAGGAAGACAGTTCAATTAGTGAATTCGAAGCTATCGAACAAGGGGAATAGGAAAGGGCGGAGCAGGGAGTCCCTAAGGGTACATCAACAGGTCCAGATAATTTGGATTATGTGAATAAAAAGATTAGGCCCAAAATCTAAGGCATTGTTAAGGGAGTTAGTAAGCAAATCTCTTATGAATGGAGATATCCCAGAAGAATGGAATCTAAGTCGAATGAGTTTAACATACAGAGAAAAGGGAGATCAAGTGGACATAGGCAATTTCTGTCCCATAATGGTTACTTCAGTCGTTTACAGAATAGCCCTTTTGGATATAAAAGCGGCGTACGACAGTGTAGTTCAGGAGAACCTGTGGGACATAATAAGCAGCTTAAAAGGGACGGAGTCGGAAATGCAATGGAACATATTGAGATAAAGTGAAATTTAAAAAACATGACAAGTGAAAAAAAAATTTTTTTTTAATCAGCCTGTATGGAAAAAGGATGACATAGGTAAAATAAATTTACACTCGCACAAGAAAAAGAAGTTTTAGAGCTATATTTACGGCGCGAAATGAAATTGTAGTTCACGCCTGCGGGAGCCTGCAGAAAAGGGGCTACTAGCAGTCACGTGGTGTTTGCGCTTTTTTGGGAGCTGCCTATGGGCTTGAAAAGTTACTGTCTGTTGTTTTTTTGTTGGACTTCTTTTTTTAACAAAATATTTTGATGTTTGAGAAACAAGTATAAGAAAATCATAACTTTCGTATTGACTCGTACGATAACAAACAAAAGCTTTGCCATTTTCTGTTCAAAGGGGCTCGGAGTCGCATGTTTTAGTTTATGACATGTCGGTTCCCCAAAGCTACGCCGCTGCTCGACGAAGAGCTGCAGTCCTCGTGATTGTCGAGCAGCGGCGTCGATTTCGGGGAACCGACATTTTAGAGACTAAAACTTGTGACTCCAAACCCCTTCGAACAGAAGATGGCAAAGCTTTTGTTTGTTATCGTACGAGTCAAAATGGAACTGACGATTTTCTTATACTTGTTGTTTCTCAAACCTCAAAATAATTTGTTAAAAAGGAAGTGCAACAAAAAAATCTGAAGATAGTAACTTTTAATGCCAATAGGAAGCTCCCAAAAGAGTGCAAGTACCATGTGACTAGTGCCCAGTCATATGGTACTTGTGACTGGGCACTAGGCGCACACCCACGTACGCCAACTACAAATTCGTTTCGCGTTGTAAATATACCTCTAAAAAGAAATTTTATTTTCGTTGTAAATCCATTTTATGACATCCTTTTTCCATTGAGGCTACAAGGATGTCCTTTATCACCATTACTGTTCATGTTGTACTTACAAGGACTAGAGCAGGGGTGGCCAAGCTGCGGCTCACGAGCCACATGCGGCTCTTCGTGTGTTAAAGTGCGGCTCGCGGCTCCCTCCCCTTGAGTGTGATGTCATATTAAAAGCTTTTGGAATTGCCACTCTCGCGGATCTTCAGCACCTATTAAAGCTATGCACGTGTACTCTTGCTATTTTCAAAAAAAGGTCAGAAAAGATGTCACAACTGGTGTCGGTGCGGGGCAATATACCTGTCAAGCTTGCAATATCACGCCCTGCCCACACGAGCGACACGCGCTTGACGGCCAAAAGATCCTAGTATGATGTAACGACTGGTCGGAGGTTTTTCATGTTTTCTTGCGTTTAGTTACATCTTCGGAGAAAACGATTGTGATATTCAGATTCACGAGATAAAAGTACTCTAGAATTCACCTCTAGCTCATTTTTTCAGCTTCCCTTTAGTGATAAGGCGAGGGAGCACAGGGTCGTTGTACCTAACAATTCAGGAGGCATCTCGCGGAGCGGTTGCGAAACCGCTTTTAAATTGGACAAAGTTTGTTAAAAGAGCAAATGAAAAGACTGAAAGAGAAATAGTTGAAGCTTTTTTTTTTTTGTCAAGAACACAGGCGAAAAATGTGCAAGCGTGCGGTCTAATTTTTTATTGGATAAGGAAATTTATTTTTTAGATGGCTTTATAGAAGACTGTTGATATGTTATCGGTATGGTGAACGACAGTCTGGCTGGGTGAATGTTTCTTCAATAAATTCAGTTGTAAGTGGCACCTGTCCTTGTCATACTGGTTGATTAAGGCAAGCGTATTGAAATGTAGGTAATTAAATTTGAAAGAACAAAAACATAATGGAGGAGACAGCATATTTATGTTGTCCTCATACTTCATGTTTTTATTCTTTCAATTTTAAGTATGTTCCTTGTTTTGTCCGTGTTTCAGTTTGCACTTTTAACCTTTTAAATGGTAGATGAAGGCTTGTGCTTAGCAGCAATATGAGATGATTTTGCCCTGCTTCATTGATTATGAATTTAATCACAGATTAGTTAATTTGACTTGGAAGTTTTGGCTAAGTGGCGCAAGGCACCATCCAATTTAAAGGGTTCAGCCCTATCTATCCATCATCCATCTATGCATGCATCCAGCCAACACCACCAAAACAGGTTGCGCCCCGAATTCGCCAGCATTTTTCGGGAGTCCTGAAACCGTGCCAAGACCCATGGAGTTATGCACCCTATGAAATTGAGAACGGCCTCGGTTCCGCTTGTCTGTTGCACACAATTTTCTTCTCGGATGAAAAAAACTAGGCATTGTATATTTGTAACATGGCTTCACCAATGTAATTTTGCCCTCTATATAAAAATACCAAGCATGGGCATCTGCCATGTGAGCATTGGCTGACGGGGCTGAAAATAGCTACGAAAAGCCAGAGAAACCAGCTGCTCGTACAAAAACTTCAGGACTTCTATGCCCATGAAACTTGAGGAACGAGTTGAGAGTGAGCTGCATGAGTTGTCAAGTCATGCTCATGCTTTACTTAAAGTGTGACTGATTTTAAGAACAAACTTATTTGTCTTTAAGACCTGTCTGTACACTGTACTCTGTATACCATCATTAGGTAAATTATATTAGAAACAAATCTATTTTCTATTTCTCTCAATGTGCTACAGTGACGAGACAATACATTTGAAGGGTGCTGGTCAGTTAGCTGAAAATTCATAAAAATGAATTCAAATTCAAATTCATAACTGAATGTGGTGCTTCTTCCGCAGACGGTCGTGGTCCCCCGGGGTGGGGGCCAGATGTGGGTGTTTGGGGGCGAGTTTGCGAGCCCCACCCGTTCCCAGTTCTACCACTACAAGGACCTGTGGGTGTACCATCTGGCCAGTCGGAGCTGGGAGCAGGTGAATGTGCCTGGGGGACCCAGTGCCCGCAGTGGTCACCGAATGGTCCAACTCGGCCACAAGTTGATTGTCTTCGGTGGCTTCCACGAGAGCGTTGGGTGGGCACCTGTTCTCTTCTACTCAGTGTTCACCCTGGAGATATACAGAGGATGGAATGGAAACCATTGTGTCAGCCTGATATTCACAAGCTTTTCTAGTTGCCAAATTTAAATTACCGCAAAAATTGGCTTTAGATTACAGCAGAAGTTGGCAACCTTTTCCAACAGTGGGCTGAGTCGCCACAAAGCCGACACGGAGGGGGCCGGGCGACAAATTGCGAGGGGGGGGGGGGGTGCGGGCAGGCAAAAAAAGAAGCAAAAGGAAAGTGAAAACATTCTCTTCCCAAGTATGGGGTGCTAGACAATCCCCATTTGAGATCAAAACTGCTGTGTAGTCCTTAGGTCTGGGTGAGGAAGCGGCAAAGGGGGACTGATTTTCTGGTGTCGTGTCAGGGGCCGCATGAAACTGCCTTGCGGGTCGTGGGTCGCTTCACCCTCTAACTGCTGCAAGCAGCTTACTTCCTTGGTTTTGTGTTATATGTTTAGTGATAAGCATATTTTTTTTAAGCTTACCTATTGCATTTTGTGCAATCGAATTCAGTGTGTCTCATATCAGTATCTCTTTGATACTGAGATAAGTTTTGTTGCATATGAAGCAGCGGTGGACACTCTGAGGCGGCTTCTTTGTTACAGTGGAGTGCCGCAAGGTGCCACAGACATGATGATTATGCCATGTCATCTTTGTTGCAGGGATTACCGCTATTTCAACGACATGTATTCATTTGATCTGGACGAAAGAAAATGGACAAAGCTAGATCCGGTGAATGTGGGACCGTGCCCACGATCTGGCTGCCAGATGTTCGCTATGTCGGAAGACCGAATGGTCATCTATGGCGGCTACTCTCGTGAAAAGCTCAAGAAGGATGTGGACCGTGGAGTGGCTCACACGGACATGTACATTCTGCAGCTGGACAGTAAGAAAACTTCAATTCATCATTTGGCAAAAAAAAAAAAATTGTTTTCTTATCATTGCAAACTTGAGGACATCTTGGCAAGGAACAGTGGCAAGAAACTTAGACAAGGGTAAAGAAACACACACGACAGGACAGCGCTGTTCCTTCCCAAGATGTTCACTTCAAACCAACTAGCCCAATACGTCACATTATTGTATATATGAGGGTTTGCTTATGGGGCTTTAGAGGTTAAATACTTGTTTCCAATGGCTTTAAAAGACATCCAAAGGAAAAGAAAATTCTTTTCAAACATTCTGGATAGAAAAAGGATGTCGTAAAATAAATTTACAATGCAAAAAAAAAAAAAAAAAAAATTTTTAAAGCTATGTTTACGGTGCAAAATGAATATGTAGTTGGCACCTGCGGGACCCTGCAGAAAAGTGGCAACTAGCAGTCACATGGCTGGCCACTATAGTCAAGTGGGGCTTGCACTCTTTCAGAAGCTTCCTATGAGTTTTAAAAGTTACTTATTACTCTTTGTTTTTTTGTTTTTTTTTTACAGTGGAACTGTTAAGGGCTAGGTTCCCCAGGATCGTGTCCGGTACCAAACAAATGTCGACACAAAACTCTGAACATTTACCATCATCTATGAACGACGGCGGCAACCGGCTTGGCGGCCATTTTGGCGGCCTCGCTCATAGATGGCGGAAACCTTCCCAGCCTTTCCACTCTGGTTTTTATCAGAGTGGAAATGCTGAATTTCTCTAGGCGTCAATCTAGATGGCGTCCTCGAGGTTGTCCCAGAAGTCGTTCTTGAGGTCGTCCTTGACGTCGTCCTAAAGGTTGTCCGAGAGTTTGTCCTCGAGGTCGTCCTAGAAATCATCCTTGAGGTCGTCCTAGAAGTTGTCCTCCAGGTCGTCCTAGAGGTCGTCTTAAACGCCGTCCTTAAGGTCGTCCTAGACGTCGTTCCTGAGGTTGTCCTAGGCGTTGTCCCTGAGGTCGTCCTAAACGTCGTCCCTGAGGTTGTCTTAGGCGTCGTCCCTGAGGTCGTCCTAGAAGTCGTCCTTGAGGTCGTCCTAGACGTCGTCCTTCAGGTCGTTCTCTAAACGGCGTCCTTCAGGTCGTCCAAGAAGTCGTCCTTGAGGTCGTTCTCTAAACGGCGTCCTTCAGGTCGTCCAAGAAGTCGTCCTTGAGGTCGTTTCATCATAGTACAGCTTCACTGGTCTTCCTTCTTCACCAGAGTGGAAAGGCTGAAAGTTTTCTTTTGGTCTTTTTTTTTTTGACAAAATATTTTAATGTTTGAAAAACAAGAAGTATAAGAAAATCGTCACTTTAGTTTTGACTCTTACAATAACAAGCAAAAGCTTCGCCATTTTATGTTCAGAGGGGCGCAGTGTCACATGTTTTAGTTTCTAACATGTCGACTCTACCAAAGCGACACCGCTGCCCGACGGTCATGAGGACTGCAGCCCTTCGTCGAACAGCAGCATCGCTTTGAGGGAACTGACATGTTAGAAACTAAAAAATGTGACACCGCACCCCCCCGAACAGAAAATGGCAAAGATTTTGTTTATTATCGTACGAGTCGAAACGGAAGTAACGATTTGCCTATACTTGTTTCTCAAACATCAAAATATTTTGTTAAAAAAAGAAGTGCAACAAAAAAATGAAGATTAATAAGTAATTTTAGAACCCATGGGAACCTCCAAAGAGTGCAAGCACCACGTGACTAGTGGCCAGTATTGTGACTGCTAGTTTCCACTTTTCCGCAGGCTTCCGCGGGTGCCAACTACAAATTTGTTTTGCACCGTAAACATAGCTCTAAGAGCTTCTTTTTCTTTTCTTTTTTTTTTTTTCGTTGCAAATTTATTTTATGGCATCCTTTTTTCATCTAAACTGCTTTAATTTTTTTTTTTTTTTTGTGGGGATATGTTTTTTAAGGGAACAGGAACCCCAAGTAATGTTCTCCTGGTGGAGGCTACCATGATGGACAGTGACTTTGGTTCCTCTTCTTTTAAATTACAGCCCATGCAAAGCGAAACTCGCAGATTAAATTATGCACAGAATTTAGTGAGAAGTAAATGTCTTGCCGTTGGCTTTATGAAGCAAATAACTCTTGGGCATCCAAAATATCTGCCCCGTGAACGGCAGTACTGTCAAAGAGGAAAGAGTGATCTAATGCTAGTACTGGCAGAAAGAAGTGGTACTAGTGTATCTCGGAGGGAGTGTGACCAGCTGACTCGACACATTCGGTGAGTAAGCTGCCCCAAACGACGCAGCACGAGGCGGTGGCCCCGGCAAGTGGAAGTGGGCTCCCGTGAAGCAGACGGGGATGCGGTTGGGACCTCGGAGCGGCCTGTCGACGGCGCCAGTGCCGCAGACCAACCGGGCCTTCCTGTTCGGCGGAGTGCAGGACGAGGAAGACGAGGAGGCGCTCGAGGGCCGGTTCTTTAACGACTTGCATCAGCTAGAGCTGGACAGGGGCCATTGGAGGCTGGTGCAGCTCAGGGGCGAGGCCGGGAAGGAGGATGACGGCCAGGGCAGGGACGAGGCCGAGGAGGCCATTCACCGCCTCAGCATCCAGGAACCCGTAAGTGTGACATAATCGATTATGAAATTTAGAGGCTTTGTAAGCGACATTTCTATAATATTTAATAATGCCATTCGTAAAACATGTTTTTTAACGCAATTGCGAACACACTACGGCCCATCTTTTTGAAATACTTAAAATCAAAGTCTGGAGTGATGTCGCGCGCCCTTGCTTTTTATCCTCTCATGGAAAACATGGCGGCGCTCTGCACATGTAGCACTGAGGATGATTGGAGAGTCGGATAATCGGACAAAGTGGTCTTTTTCAGGTGCCCGACGACCTCTCAGACTTCGAAAAGGAAATCGGCAAACGGTCAAAACATTTGGGTTTGGTGTCTGTGTACCATAGTTTCGGTAGTGATTCCGCAGGGGCAGCCTTTCACGGAGAACTGATGCAACTCACTAAATTCTCGTTGAAAGTTGGGCGAGTTGGTTATGCATAGTTATGAAGAGGGAAAACAGCGCTGTTTTCCCTCTTCCTCACTAAAGCCCACTGCACATTCTCTTCGACCTCATACCGTTTCAAAGAATTTTGAGATTGTTGAAAGGGTCCTAAAAGAACTTCAAATTCGAAAGTGGAGCTTCGGTTGCTCGCAGCGATATGCATCACGCACGGAGAAGGGCGGCTGATCGCGGGACGCTGGCAAACACAACATTTCAGGTCGGGACGGAGGCGTGAGATAAACTCGGGTTGCAGGACGACTCAATCTTTGACGTCACTGCACTGACACGGATTGTGCGGAAACCAGGGACTCAAACCGAAAAATATAACGTTTCGGTTACGGTTACGGTTACCGCTTCCTGTTGATAACGGTTTCGTTTCGGTTTTTTACGGTTTTAATTTTTACGGTTTCGGTTACCGGTTACACGTTCATAAAAACCGGTTTATTTCGGTTTTTCCAATAATTTGTCTAATTGAAATGCTAGACAGCCATTTTAGAAAAAACTGTTTAAAGTAGTCTCAAATATCCAATAACGTGAAATACAAGAAACCTAGAAACGTCTTAATACTTCTAATTGGTCAGAAGTTGCACACGTTCCTAGCTCCAACTCTTGTTCACTACATCTACTTACATTATTTAGTTTGATGCCCGAGCATACATGTAACTTCTAGTACTCGGTGATCATCGCGTTCTATATAATAAAAATTAAAATAAACACCGCTACTCTGTTGTTTGGCACCATTTATAAACAATTACCCTAAGAAAGTTCCCACTTGATGCTGGAAGAACCATTCGCACTTTCTCGTCGCTACAGTTGATTTCAACCTCACACATGCAGGCGAGTCTTCGCTTCACTGAAGGAAGGAACAGAACTACAGCCATCCACTAGTAAAATACTGCTAAGTAGAATGAAGTAATAAAATTGAGAGCTGGGCTGGGCGGGCCGTGAGGCAAGAAGCCTTCGTGCAGCGAATGGAAAGTCCGCCGTAGTCAGGCGGCCCGTGAAAACTACTTGCCTCACTAAACACTGCCCAGTCGACTTCAGGTGCCTGCTGGGTCGAGTGGACTGGCGGTGTAGGTCCCGTCGCTTCTGACTTGTAGGCAGTGCTACCCAGGTCCGACTGAGAGTCTTCGACGACGCTTTGTTTGTCTGTAGTGTGTTCCTTTGTGTTGGTGTGGTTTTCCTCCTTGCCATCGTACGTGTCGAAGGAGCCGTCATCGGCGTGGGGCTCAATGACTGTCGGTCCTGCTGAGCCACTCCAGGATTCGCTCGGTGGCGGTGGTTGTCGAGTCGGGATCCATTGGGTCGTTTTCTTCGATCCAAGATCAAGCTCGGGCACGGTCGGCCGAGACGCCAGCCTCGCAAAGAGCATGGGCGAGAATGTCCTCGACAGAAAAAACGCACAGGAGCGTCGAGGAGACGACTGTGCCGTCGATGACGGCACTGGTGGGTTTCGAAGACTCAGCGTAGCTGCCGGACTCACGATTAGGGGGCCTCTTCGACTTGGTGTCTGGGCGGTAGCTGGTGTGCGCGGGAGGACGAGGCGTGTGGCGTCCGCGTCGAGGCTGGTTGGGTAGCTGGTCGGGGAGCTCTCTGAAAACCTCAGACTCGAATCCTCCACGTCTGGGATAGGACTGCCGTCCTACAGTTCCCTCTCGCGACGACGTGGAAGAGTTCCAGTCTATCGAAAATGAGGTGCTGGTGTTCGGGGAGCATGTCATCCCAGTAGAACCGATGGCGGGGGAGATGCCTGATCTCATGGACATCTCTCGTGGAGAAACTTATGGTGTCCTGGGCGAGGTCGCTCAGAATGTCGTAGCCATGACGGACCCTCGCTGCGGCATGGGTGGTGGGGGCTCTATCAGAGGTAGTTGGATTGCGCTGGTGGCTCTGGTTGAAATGATTCTCGTAGAAGCCATACCTCCGGCGGTGGCAGGGGGAGGCCTCCGGCGATGCTGGAAGCGATCTCTCGGCGCGTCTGTGGATGTTCGAGCTCACCGTGCCGACGTTCGAATAGCTCGCGTTCACAGTTTTGCGAGAGAGACTGTTGAGAGTGCTGGCCGTGTGGGGCGAGATTAGCCAGGCCATCGACGATTGGAAGCAGGGCAGCTCCCAAGGTTCAGGCGAAGGAGGCAGAAATTGCATCCCATGTCTGTTGGACGAGGGTGGCGCGTTGGCGCGTTTGACGAGGAGGCATCCTTCTCCTTGGCTTTTTCTTTTGTCATGTTGAGAAGCCGAGAGGCGTGGCAGTGCCGGCGACGGTAAAGCCCCTCTATCCTGGGAAAAGCGGAGCCGTTCATTGTTGTTAAATGCTCGAGGCACGTGCGACGCGCTACTTCTGGGAAATTCATGCCGTCTGAAATAGCTAAGTGTTGCGCTGTGCCGCCATGATCTTCCCAAGGGCTGCACGTTGCACGTGCCTTGTGCATCGACGAACATTGCGCTACTTTTGAAACATGAAGGGGCTTTAGGCGGCGGGTGCCACTCGGTTTGAAGAAGGGTCAAGGCGCGGGAAGGAAAAGAAAAAACTCGGACACCCTTCTGACGTTTCCTCGCTCCTTCCACCACTCTCAGCCCGAGCATATATATATATATTGTATATATAATACAAAACGCCAATGTCAAACCCCTGACTTTTTATTTCTTTCTGTGTTGTTTCAAAATCGTCACTCGCGACACGTTTCACACTAAATGAACAACATAAACATTATTAATGAAGAGCAGGGCCCATTAAAGCCCCTTCATGTTTCAAAAGTAGCGCAAAGTGCGTCGATGCACGAGGCACGTGCAACGTGCATCCCTTGGGAAGGTCATGGCGGCACAGCGCAGCACTGAGCTAGATTTCAGACGCCATGTTCTTTCCAGAAGTGGCGCGCTGAACGTGTCTCGCGCGTTTCCACAACAATGAAGGATCCGCTTTTCCCAGGATACAGGGGCTTTAGGGCCCGTTTGCTCGAAGCGCTAACCGTGGCTAAAGTTAGCCGCAGTACCAAGGAGAGGGATTCTGAGATCATGTGACAGGGATCGGTAGGGATGCGAAAAAACATGGCGGTGCCCCGCAAAGTGAGCGCCGCTCGCTTCGGAATTAATATGTCGTCGTAGCTGCAATATCGCGCGCGTTAGTCAGTAACTAATGGTGCAGGAGGCTTTCGCTTTGCCTTACCTCACTTAAATCGCAAAGCATGAGCAATGACCTCGCCGCATTTTTTAGATAGTATTTCGATTCTGGCCATTCTTAAGCCTAAATGAACACGATAATTGTCGGCATGCATGGAAACGTATTTGGAAAGTGGATTGCCTTGACTCAATCGGCCTTGTATTGATAGCACACAAATTCCCCAAGCACCGAGGTGCATGCTACGAGTGTAGTTGCAGGCATTGCGCGTGCTGGCGTATGCAGTAGTAATATACCCGTTGCTCTGGGCAGGGGGCGCGAGCGCGTCCGGAAGACTTACGCAAGACGCGACCAAGTTTTGCTGGCTGCATCATCCGAGTGGCGCTGTAACGTTCGATTTTGCACGTGCCATGTTCGAATACAAGCCGCTGTCAGCATCTGTAGATGTGCGGTAACAAAACGTCTAAAAAAAGTTTAAAAAAAAGAAAAGAATTATGCTGCTTGCGGCCGCAGCGTTCCATTAAACATTCCTTTGATATTTGCTTTCTTTCACAGCTTCTGCGAGCTCGTATATTTCACTTCACATGATAGTGAAGCCGAAGCTACTCGGAAAAGCGCGTCATCCTGAACGATGCTCGCACTGCACGAGCGCGCGTGCTTGGCAGGGACGCGGAAAGCTGGCAGCTCGCTTTTGTAGCCTCTGCTACGCTGGAACTTAGAATGGAACTGAGTAGAAAAAACTCTAGTGGGGAAGCGTATTGATGCATGTTCGAAACGCGAGCCAAATATTCTATTTTGCTCGCCTGCAGCGCTGCTCAAAACTTGTGAGCTACGGGCCTATCGTTCTAAAGGAAAAAGTCTAAAACAAATTTTGCCTTGCACGCGCGTTCGTCCAAGTCTTATAATGATTATTTACTTCGAATCTTTTATAAGAGGAAGGACAGCGAGCGCGGACCATAGAATTACACTTCCAGCGTTCTTCTCGATGCTTGGGTAATTTAGAAAAAGGTCTGTTGGGGCGGGACACTGGTCTTCTTTCGTGTACTATTAATATCCGGTCGATTGAGTCCAGGCAATCCGCTTTCCAAAGACGTTGCCATGCCGACACTTATCGCTTTCATTTAGGCTTAGAAAGGCCAGAATCGAAAGACTATGCAACAAATGCCGCGAAGTCATTGCTCGTGCTTTACGATTTAAGCGAGGTAAGGCAAAGCGAAAGCCTCCTGCACCATTCGTTGCTGACTAACGCGCCCGATAGTGCAGCTACAACGACATATTAGTTACAAAGCCAGCGGCGCTCACGCACCGGGGCGCCGCCATGCTTCCCGGCATCCCAGCCCCCAGTCACGTGATTTCAAACTCCCTCTCCTATGTACTGCTGATAACTTTAACCGCGGTTAGCACTTCGAGCAAACGGGCCCAGGTTTTCTTTTCCGCCAGCTCTGCATGATGGCCAATTTACCTCGTTTCTTTATACTGGCTACTTCATGTCAGGAACATCAGTGGTTTTGATAGAACCGAGTTGGATGGACATCTGAGAATTCGAACTTATTAGTTAATACACTGAAAGCGACACGTACTGAATACATGTAGCGATGTAGGAGTGTGGCAGATTTAGAAATAAAGAATTTTTTTAATTATAAGCTCGACCACTAATTCAATCTGAGTATTCTTAATCCTAAAGTCAGATTGAATGCAAACATGTAACCAGATGCACCACTCGCTGACAGTAACTCTGTCGAATGGCCACAACAATTTAAGATCCCTCCTCCAGGTCATACTTCAGAAACACTAATAGTTTATTTTTCGGTTAATATTGGTTAAAACCGGTTACCGGTGAATAATTTACGGTTCCGGTTACGGTTACGGTTTTTATAAATATCAAATAACGGTTTCGTTCCGGTTACGGTTACAGAAAACATTTCGTTCCTAAACGGTTTTCGGTTTCGGTTACGGTTACGGTTTGAGTCCCTGGCGGAAACTTCAAATACGGCTTTTGGAAATTGTTTTTTTTTTTACTTCACAAATACTGAGTTCCCAAGTTTCGAATTTTGAGGGTAATATCCAGGCATCGTTTTCAGTTGTTTCAGATAATAAAAGAAAATATGATTTTGACCTCTCAGTGCCCCTTTAATGCAAATTAATTACTTTATAAAGTGAAATCATTTCAGACATGCGGCGACTTTTAATTCGCATTACATGTGATGTTTTAATCACTTTCATTCCACGCGTGACTTCACGTGAGCGTTGTGGGTTATTTGAAATTCCCGCACGAGGTCATGTGGCTGTGACGTCATGACCCTATCGACCAATCAGGATTTTCCCGTCACGCCACCGACACCGGCTTTTCTGCAACACAAACCCCTTAACGCTATTGCGTTAAAAAAAATATTTGCATGGTTTAAAACTTTTTCCAGTGTGAAAACGGTCTTCGTTTATTTTAATATGAACCCGTGTTCGTTGACTCTTGTGGAACGCTTAATCTCATTCGCTAACGCGACTTTTTGCCCAAATCGGCAGCGGTTGATCGACGATCTATTTAAAAAGCTACTAAAATTACTATATGCGAAGATAAAATATGTAGCACAAAGTTGTTTCATTTCTGTTTTAGAAATAGTCACATTTTGCTGGTTATACAAAGGTTCACATCACAAAAAGGCTTTTTTTTCTTTAATGTGAGTATTAGTGCTTGGGCAAAATGTATTCATGTATTTGCATTTCCAAATACTTATTTTTTTATTTTTTAGATGTATTTCTGATATGTATTGTGATACTTTCGTATGGATGTATTTCAGTATCAGTATTTTAGCAGTCTTCGTCATGTATCCCAGTATTTGTATTTCCAAAAATACATTTTAGAGTATCTCTGCCCAACCCTGATTCATTGTTTTCTTCATATGTGAACCCGAGGATGACGTTTAAGGCACATCGAACGAAGCCAATGCGAACACTTATGCACACTATGGCGACCTTCCAGAGGTTGATAATTAGTTATTTTACAGTAGCTTGTCACTTATGAAGAAGCTTGGTGATTTTCCATATCTTCCACTTTGCAAAGTTTAGTACTCCAAAATAAACCAAATGTCTACCTTCAACCCAATGTGCAATTTGAGCGAGCGAAAGAGAAAAGCTTTGTTTTCTGTAACTATTTTTGTGCTTCCACCGTGCCTCTCTTACGCACTACTAGAAGCAGGTTTCTATCGTCCAAAAAGCAATTTGCTTTTGTATGGAACACTGATTCTGTGCTGCAACACAAGCAATCTGAGGGGCTTAGTGTGCTGAATGATCAAACCAACCTTCTTTCATCCTCCGTTCTGCCTGATCAGCACGGCCCCTATAGTTTAGAGTCGCTAAAGGGCATTAAAAAAAAGGTGTCGAACCCACTTCTTTTCCTTATCAGGTGGTTACATCAGATGATGGCATCTTCACCGTGACCATTGGTGCCTCTGAGAGCAAGAATTGTGGCCAAGATAAAGCGTGCCCTAGAGCAACCACCTCAGCCAAGGACGTGTCTGTGCCAGTCCCCCGGATGGGCTGCAGCATGGTGATCAAGCACGGCATCCTCTACCTTTACGGTGGCACTTTTGAGGATGGCGATCGTCAGTTCACGTTATCTGACATGTACTCCCTCGACATTCACAAGTTGGATCAGTGGAAGGTCTTGATTCCTTTGGACACAAAAACACAAGAGTGGCTTGGCTCTGACGACTCTGACGAGGACACTGGTGACGAGGATGACGACGAGAGCGACGAAGACATGGAGTCAGGCGATGATGACAGCCACAGTGAGGATGCAGCTGATTAAACTGTATGGTTTAATTGTAATTTGAGTTGTTTTTATTTTGTGACCATTTCTGCGTGCTTTCCACCAAGACTCCCAACAGAGCCTAAAGCAGGGCCATACCCAGGGGGAAGATTTAAAGGAGCAATGCAACAATTTTTGTACTCTGCGCAAATACCGCTTAAAACGGATCCCTAACGTTAATGACCTACGAAACACGCGTTCGTTTTTCACCCCACGCAATAGAAGTCCCAGAAAAAAATTAAAGAAAAACGAGCAGCGTTCACCCCCTCAACTCGCAGCCAGAACAAGCGGCCACGTGATCTGGAGCTGATTATATGCCGCCAGTGTTGATCATAGCCACGCGCTGGGGTTGGCCAAGCGCAGGACACGCGCTGAGTTCCAGACATTGTTATGGCTCGGCTGTTATCGTCGTTGCAGCGATTGGACTCGGGTCACTACTCGAATGCTTCTCGAGCTAGCAATTATCACGAGCCCAAGTCGAGTGCCCACGCAATGCTCGGGTCCAATCTATGAACCGCATTCAAATATCGTCACTTGGGTGTACTGCGATCCCCGAGTTACGTCATCAAATTTTGCAAAGGAGAGATTGAATGAAAATGATCGCTTTTGTCCTTGAAATTACACCGCAACAAAGGAGTTTCTTGGCCAGTGGCGTTGCGTGTGAGTATCCTTGAGTCCCAGGTGTGCCAGTAAGCTCGTGTAGAGAGAAAAACATTCCAATTGAATATCGTTGCACAGCTCCTTTAAAGGGGCACTCAAGTGGATTCTGAGATCGTCTATTTATTGTCATAACTCAATCTGCGGGCTCTAAGCATCCTAGAAATCCCAAAATTACGTTCAAGGGCGGCCGATTTCCCTATTAAATATCCAATCAAAGATCGCTGTTCTGCGCCTAGGCGCACGCCGTCAGGGGCGCTGTCGGACGGGAAGGCAGCAGGGAAGGGCGTGCGCCATCCAATCACGAGTGACGGCTTCCCGGCGGATTGATACTTCGAACCGGCGGAGTGATCTTCCGAATGTGCGCGTATTTGATGGGTTCTCGTTGGGACTCATTTTGTTTACTTCGGGTCTTGCGTCGTGCGGAGATGGACCTGCCAAATCTAACACCGTTGGAGGTGGAAATACTTCGGCGGACGGCAGATATCAGCTCAATCTCCTACGACGCCACTCCTACGCGCGACGCCGATGCCTCAAACGCGACGGACTCGGACGACAGTTCGCGATGCTCAATGTCGACACCGGAGGAAGACGACGAAACCGACGACGCAACCCAGCGGCTTGGGAACACCAACTGGTAGGTGATGAGCTGTTTATTACACCTCTCATATGTATAGCTGATGCTGGTTTTCTGTTTTAAGGTGCCAATGCAGTTGCTGCGTGCCGATGGAAACCGTCGCAGAGTGTGTCTGCTGCCGTGACTACCCGGCCGCCGTTCGCAAGCAGCAGGGCCGGCAGAGCTGCGTGACAAGCCACCCGGATTTCGACGGGCTGTGCCTCGATCCGGGTGTGCTACAGCTGGCCTGTAGCACACCCGGGAGTGATGTGCGTGGGCACATCACTCCCGCGTAACAAGGCGAGAAGAAAACGTAGTTCGCTCTTTTTCAAACAATAATAGCTGTATTACGTCACCTACAGCCAAAGATTTGACGTTGTTGTCAAAATATAATGTGCATGTGCCTAAAAAGAGCAATAATAATACCTTTAGCAATCTTTTCGCAGTTCGCTATTTCTATTGGTCGAATTCTATGGAGGTGGTGGAGACACGGGATGGACACCGCAAGAGGATATAGTGCCTGTGTATTTCTATTGCTGTGAGTTTACTAGGGCGCCTTGCCATTTAGAACTGGTCATTTTTATTGACTGAAGCCCAACAAACAATATGCTTCCAAAAACAAGCTTCTCCAAAAAGCACTTGAGTGCCCCTTTAAGGGTTCTGACCCCCCATTCCGCACGGTGTGAAACATTTGCGACTCTTCTTTTCCACGCCGCGCAACCGCAATAAAATCCAGAAATATGACAATTCTGACTGTTTTGAGTGCATTTTGAAATTAAAACCACTTAGATTACAAAAGTTACAGAACGAATGGTAGTGCATACTAGGGGTGTGTCCTATCTTAATTTTAAGACCCTTACGGCTAGCCTAAATGTCTTGGTATTAGTGTAAATAAATTTGACGGGGCAATTTCCACTAGATGTTTTTTTTTTTTCCACTGGGTTCGACGAGATGGCGACACCAGTACCAAATGCCCCAAACCATAGCATATGTTGTTGCTGCTGTTTTCACGAGCTTGCATGTACGGCGACTTGCGGCACTAGTCCTTTGCTTAACACAGCCGAAATCAGTTTTCCCGTTTTCGGCGGAAAATGGTATGTGCGAGATTTCTGTCTGCTGCACCACACAAAAAATCATTGGTCATCCCACTCTGTAAAGGTGGATGACCAGCGAAGCTGTTTGGCACACGACACAGACCCGCTCCGAGGAGCCGGTGGAAACTAGACACGAGCGACGGGACCGCCACACGGCGGAAAGTAGACACGCGACAGGACCGCCACCCCGGGAGAGCGAAAGGAAAGGAAACTAGGCACGCAAGCGCTTGGAACGACAACCAAGAGAGGGCGGTGCGAGCGTAGGCATGGTCGACGCGGATCGCTTAGCGGCAAATCTTTGAGACCTATTGCTAAATTACCCAAGCATCAAGGAGAATGCAGGGAATGGTGTTCCACGCGCCGCGCGTGCCGGCGTCTGCAGCAGTAACTGTTCTAAAGCAAAAAGCCTAAAACAAATGGTATCTTGCACGCACGTTTGTTAACGCTTTCTTTTGGTTATTTACTTCTTACATGGGGAATGCGTGCAAGTGCGGCGGTGCGAGCGTAGAGTTTTTCGTCACGCACGCGAAAAATCCACGGAAGCCTAGCCATAAACAGCTTCGCTGTAAAAATAGAACCAATGAGAGGCGACGCATGTATGACTGTTTCGTTGCGGCGCTACGAGCTTTCAATTTTATAGTGACCGCGGCCGACGCCACGACCTATGCAGCCAATGTAGTGGTAAGAACGTGCCACATAACCTCGCGCTCCGCGAGTCCCTAGGCATAGCCTCCTCTATACTTACAAAGCCTGGCAGATCGCCACGAGAAGTGGCCGCCGAAATTAAAAAGATAGAGCGGCAGACAACGGATGAGAGGAGAGCCACGTGACAGGCGCCCCGCTGCGGCGAGACGCTCGCCGCAGCGGGGCGCCCGTCACGTGGCTCTCCTCTCCGTTGTCTGCCGCTCTATCTTTTCAATTTCGCTCGCGGTCCTCGCGCTACCGCTTATTTTCTCTTCGGGTTTGAAAACCATGTTGCGGGTCCTTGCCGCTGCCAAAGCTGTGCGCTGACGTCCAGGTTCTCCCTAGAGTGCCTTCATGCACACGCGCGCTTTTGCTTGAGTGGTGACATCTCAGCCATTTTTTTTTGCCAGAGCGTTTTTTTTTTTTTTTATGCATTTTAAAGTGCGCGCAATCCGCTGTCACTAAGCTCGAGTGCGTAGCTTTGTCTAATGCATAGACGCCAATTTACCGCCCAAGTCACGCACCGAGTGCGCGAGAGCGTCACGCTCTGGCACACTCGGGGCAACAATGAATGTCTTCACCCTGAGAGACAGACATGTAGGCACCCTAGGTTTCCCTCAGATCCTCGCGCTCTAAATCTGCGACCGGGCACTCTATGGCTTCGTCGTCGAACTGCCAGGCTTTGTGAGTATAGAGGAGGCTATGGTTAAGCATACAATTTCTGCTGCGTGTTTAATTACTGTGTTGTGATCAGCTGCACAGGAGCGTGCGTTTCACAACGCTTGTCCACGTGTGTACCGGTGCGGTGGTGTTCCTTTTATCTGGGCTCGCTTTATTCCCAGTATTTTGGTGCACACTTATGCCCTTTACTGTTGTACGTTTTCCCAATCTCACTTTCTTGATTCATAATAAGTTTATGTATTTTCTGGCATCACACTAAAAAATGTTCGCTCTAAAGCTAGAATTGTTATCTTTTGCTTTGAAACAAATAAAAATGTTAAATGATAAGCATATCCCATATTTGTATTAATCAGAAATACCTACACATTTTGTTTCGAACTTTTAGCGAATGTGGTACCAGAGATTGTATTCCAGATTGTCATCTTTGTTACGTCGGAAGACTGGGTACCACTACAATTTATTGATATTGATCGCCCCCTTTTCTATTCCGTGAGATAACCTGTTCTGATGTGTGTTCGCATCGCAAAGAGAAAGCGTTCGCTTTTGCTGACGATTTTTCGAAATAGTGGAAACGTTTTTCTGTGCTGGCATATTCTTTAGTCGAATTTCGCTCTTGACATTCATTGCGGTATCACAGTATTGATTCCGTAACTAATATTTTCTGACGTGTTTTTTTTTTTTTTTTTTTTTTTTGCTTTATGCTTTTTTGAAAGAAATTATGAAATCTTTGTTAGATTATTAATCTTTCATAGTGAATGTAGGGACCAAGAAACTCTGTTACGCGTCACGCAGGCATCTTTGATCCCACGCAGCAATAAATGAGCGGGTAGGTACAGACAAGAAATCGCCTCCTTGTGCCTACCCTCCCCCCTGATCTTTATTCCTGGGGAAACCCCTTGTGGTGTGCTGTTCTCTACCCCAGTAAAGAAAGCTGAATGATAGAATGTCCAGCACTTTACCTCACTACAACATCTACCACAACGAAAGGGGCGGTTTTTTTTTTTTTTTTTTTTAATTATTATTGTGATTTGGAGTAAATAAAACTGAGAAAGTCTCATCAAATGGGAAATACGAAAGCGAAATTCGAGAACCTCTTGCGTGTGTAGTAAACACTTCAGTGAAAGCGACTCTGTGTTTCCTGTTCCAATCTGTTACGTGAGTGCTGGTCCCTTATTAGTTCCAAGTTGATTCCTTTTTTTTTTTTTTTTTTAATTGTGCAAACCAATAAACGAACATTTCCTCAAATAACTGGCAGGAAGAAGCGGTGGCTGGCTTCCGCAGTCGTTTCAATGGAATCCCTGCGTATTCACCCGGTCGACGCGAAACATGCGAGACCCCCTCACGATCCAAGTCTTAAATCTAGTAAGTCGGTGGCACTTCAGCGTCCCCAAAAAATGAATTACTACCGTTAGTATATTTAGTTTTGCGGACACAAATGCGCATAATGCGTGATACGCTTTTCTCAGCGAGCGATTTTAAATTTGTAAACGATTCTCAGTAAAAACTGGATAGAACAAATTAATCAATTGCCTGAATTAGCCGGGCTATGTCCGGCAATTTAAGAATTTATGAACATTTCTCTTTTTCTTTCGAGTAAAAGTCGCGATGTGACAAACTTATTTTTGTCACGTATTCGATGAGGGAGGAGCTAAGCGTGAGTTTGCTGACGAGCATTGGCTCGTCAGCAACTGTCGAGTCACACTTGGATAGAAGCGTCGATATCGGCAAACTCGAGTGTAGCTAAAACGAGTGTGCGGCGCTTTGCAAAACAACTGTGCGCGCGCGCACAGCTAAGACGGCACGTCATTTACGCTAGTGAGTGCAAAACCTTTTTCTACTGCAGCCTCCGCAGATCTGAAAAAAAAAAAAAAAAAAAAAAAAAGAAACGAATCAGAGGCTCTGAATAGCCCTGAGGCACGCCGCGGAAGCTGCAACGTGGAGCTCCAAGCTTGTTTTTGAAAATTTTTTTTTTTAAATTTGTTTTCATACATAAGGCCAGGGGTCTCCCCAGAAATTAAAATTGTATTTTTTTTTTCGGGGAGGAGGGGAGGATTAAGGGGGTGCCTCCAGAAAAACAGGGGGGGGGGGGGGGGGGGGGGGAATCAGTGCATAAGGCAATTCGAGGCGCTGTTATTCATTAGAAAGATCACTGACAGAAACTTCATACACGTTTGTTTAATAAATAAACCGGTTCTGATCGGCATAGCTGCAAACTAACATATATCGTCACTCCGTGCTTTGACATAGTGAGCCGACTCGCATCCATATGCGGTGAGCAGTCACAGTTTCATGCCGCCCGGCAAGAGCGAACGCGGCCGGGGGAAGTTCGTCGGTTATTCGCCGCATGTTCGCTCCATTGAGTTCAGCCTTTATTCGCGCACGTTTTCAAAGCAGGGGCGCGAAGCCAGAGTTGAATTTCGGCCTTCCTTACTGGCCTTGTTCCGACAGTCCAGTGGCGTCGGAACAGGGGAAGCGATCGTCCCAGATATTTCAATTTAGGGGGCGGAAAGTCGTTTTCATCTCCCAAATAGTTCCCATTCCCCCGTCCGACACCTTCCACAAACAAAGGAATTCACGAAATTGCAGAGCAGGAATCCTGCCGATAAAACTTTATTCTGCACTTATGACACTTCCTGTGCTATAGCGCTCACAGGTTACAGACGAAATTACAGATTACGCACAGCACCCACGTCTTCGATACATATATACACATATGCGAACAAAATGTTTAAAAGCTTAAAAAGTGAACAATTTGAAAACATCAGAAGCCGCAACTCTCCGGTGTGTACTTCCATCCCGGCGGATGGAAGGATTGGTTCACAAACGAGTTGCCCGAACCAAGCTCGGGGAGCTCTGGAAGGGTCGACAACATGGGCACCCCAATCGTGTGAGGTCGAAGGTGTGCGTGATGTGCGAAGTCAGGGTACGGAAACGTCTGCGCTGGCGGAGGCGCTGCAGGTCCTTGCGAGTTCCGTGACGACTGACCGTCCTTGGTAGACTTGCGGAGGTGGGGATCCAAGCACGAGGCCAGCCGATTTCGCTTGGAGATGGCGAAGAAGACGCACCAACAGAGCACCGTAATGCAGGCGACCACGGTGAACGCGATCAAAACCAGCGCAGTCTCGGAGCTCAGGATCGACGTTGCATCTGCGCCAGGGAGAAGGAGCAGAGCTACACAGGCGTTCTCGAGTGGCGTTTGTGACTGCAGTTAGGATTCGTGGCCGTGGTTCGTAAATAAAGAGAAAAGCATGCGCAAGGACCAGAAACGCTACGCCTTTCGAGATGATGCGACGCACATCGCTAAAGAGACTTTCTGGGCCAATAAAATGCAACGAAGATCCTCACGGTGCGCCTCGAAGAACACGCGGTCCCTTTGGCCATCGTTGTCAAGGTCACCGACCACGATACTCATCTGGAAAAGAGCAAGGAACCAAGCTTATCGTTCAGTACTTTGAATTCTGTCATGGGACTATGTTTCGAAAAGTGCAGCAGGAGTCAAGGTTGGCATTAGTTAATCGCGGTAAGTGTCGGGTACACTCTTACGTTCGTGACTTTCGGGCTTACTGTAAAACAATGAACATTGCATGTGAACGTGTACCTTCGTTCTGGGACTGGTGTTTGCTCGCTCGATGAAAACGTCCAGAAAAGCGACGACGTCGACTATCACCGTTTATACAAATGAATCATGTGGTAGGCGGTGCATATATAACGCGCATGCGTCGAAGGTCCACAGTAGCCAAAGTAGATGACTGCGTGGAACGTTAATCTAGATACAAGCATGGCGGCACCCGATTGCAAATCACGGCTGGGCGAGTGGCTGCCAGAGCGAATTCAAACGCGTTTTTCACGAATTCCGCGACGTCACGGTTTAGTTACGGTGTGGTTGTCACTACGCGACTGGTGCGACCTTGAGCTTGATCTTGTGGAGACCCTTTACCTTGGCCTCCACGTGCCCGGTGGGAGCTCCTCCCACCCCTTTCCACTACAGCGAAGCGAACGGTGGAGAGGAGGTCGCCTGCTCTCCAGCGTTCGCTCGCACTTCGTTCTTGTCCTGCCAACGACTATAGTGCCGAAGCCGCCATTCCCCGCCAGTCTCGCACCCTTTGAACCGGGGGCGCATATGAGGCTTCAGCCCCCCCTTCGAAGTTCAGCCGACCCTATAATATACGCATGCATTTTGCCCCCCCTCTCCGCACCCCAAGTCATGGATTTTAAAAGGGTAAAAACAGCGCGAAAAAGACACGGACAGAGAAGGTGTACACACACAGCGCTCTGTGTGTGTACAACTTCACAGTCTGTGTCTTTTTTGCGCTCTTTTTACCCTTTTAAAATGCATGCAACACCAAATAGCCCAACTCATTACTGTGCTACGAGTCATGGACATCTGTCCTCTCAGCAGCAACAAACTCATGATATTCAGACTTTAGTAGAGTTCATTGAACAAGTATATTCCTAACGAGCGTATTGGTAAAGTATACTAGATAACAGAAAGAATAAAATGGAGAGGACGCCTCACTAGGTTTTATTCTTTTTGTTATCTAGCATTGAACAAGGTTTTCAATTATACAGCCTCTACAGCCTACATATATTAGTAACGTAGAATAATAGCAAGCCCCCCCGCCCCCCCCCCCCCCAAAAAAAAAAAACAACAAAAAACAAACAAACAAAAAAACAACGTCACTTTTTAAAGTTGAAATCCTGGACAAACCCCTGCTCATTGGTTCCAAAACGCTATGGAATTTTCTTCTGGAGTGTTTACTCGGTTTAATTCCGCCCATGCGGACTATGGTGCGCCCTCGCACTTTACCGTTCATTCAGTCCATTTGCTCCAAAATTACGCCTTAGCGGCTCCGACGTGATACCCAAGCTGTCGCTGTGTTTCACCTTACGGATTGCGTAAGTGTTTACGATTTTTTATTTATTTACCAATTGAGAAATAAAGTAATTCATCACACTACCGTAATCATTCGCATGAACATCGCTTGAAAAGGAAAAATTGACTTGAGGTATTGGAGGCAGTAAACCTTGTATAAACTAATAGAAAAAAAAAAAAAAAAACCGCGGGCAAGAACAAACGGTTCCCGGACATTTCATCGAACGCCGTTTCGTCGAACGCCGTTTCATCGAAAAAATGGACGTTTCATCGAACGCCGTTTCATCGAACGCCGTTTCATCGAATCGCTGACGGCCGTTTCATCGAATGTCTTTTAAATAAAAAGTGTGAAAGATGCTCTTTTATGCACGGATCGAGTGCATTTTCGTGTCATTCACCCATTTCATTGTCTGGTTTTTTAATGTCCAAACTTGTAGCTGTTACAATTTATTTTGATGCAAGTAACCCATGAAGATATTTGTCCCGATTTTTATGTTTGTTTCGCATATTGTGCATATCTGTTCACCCCCTCTGTATTACCCGATTGGCCTTGAGGGTATTGTAACAAATAAATAAAAAGTCGCACTCCCGGTGAGAACGCACTCCAACTCATGGAGGCCAGAAGGCGACATAGGTTTTGCGCAGGCACAATAACTTTAGCCATGTGAGCCTCCTAGCCTCTCATGTCTTTCTATCGATACTTTTTTACTGCCCGAAGCTTGCAGTAGCTAAAGCTGAGGTGCTGTTTATGAAACTACAACGAAACATTGTTTTTTTAGTTTTAAGACTCAATAAAGTCAAAAGTAAGTAGGTCACTTCAAATTTTATTTCAAAACTTTCGGGGCTTCATGTGTTCGTGCGACAGCCATTCACCGTTTCAAATGATGAGGAATTGCTCTCAAAAAGTCCCCCACAGCCATGGTCCGTCGGTTCTCATAAAAAAGGCGGACCTTCACATTCCTTTCCGCTATATGGCCATCTTCTGGCGAGGAGGCTGTTGGGAACTCAGCATCGCCTCCAGCTTGTCTTCCGTCAGTTGATGTTCTGTGGCGATGCAAGTCAAAAACTTCCAGGACCTGGGATGGGCACCTCCGACCAGCTTCAGGAAGCGGGAATGCCACCCTGGCGTTCGATAAGACGGCGTTCGATAAAACGGCGTTCGATGAAACGGCTTCGATGAAACGGCGTTCGATGAAATGGCGTTCGATGAAACGGCATTCGATGAAACGGCTTCGATGAAACGGCGTTCGACGAAACGGCGTTCGATGAAATGTCCGGTCCCAAGAACAAACGATGTTTGAATTTATTAATTCCCGCGAGAGTCTAGCTATCGAAAAACCACTTCGTTTCGCTGCCATCGAGCCTTGTTTAACTACGCCTTTGCACCATAATCACCATAAAGTCATTGTACTGACGTCCTGGACTATTTAGGACGATATAGTATTAATTCTGCCACAAACACAAAAAGACAAGACAATGGCGTTTTAAAAATGGCGCGCGTTTCGATCGAATGCAGCCATTGGACGCTGCAGAGGATGCGGCCAGAGCGCCAGGGTCCCAGAGCATGAAGAGCAAGCAGCCCACGAGCGTCCTGAGCAAGGTAATGGCTGCAGTTGCCGCCAGTAATATCAGGCATGAGTTAAACTATGGAGCTAAAATTAGGTAGCAAAAGAAGCCTTTACTTTGTGACATTATTAGGTGAGTGAAAGCGTACCCTTGCAACCCATATCCGCCTTGTCCGGTCGTCTTCGTTACTATGGCAACGCTTCCGTGGTGTTGTGATGGAGGAGGGAGTTATTTACTGCACACCGACGCTGCCATCGAAGAAGAAAAAGCGGGCTCAAGAAAAGGTAAAGCTACTTCACAATTTTATAAGCCCAGTCAAAGGGGGTCTTTAAAGTCGAGGAGTTCGTACTATCGATAACGAAACAGAGGGCCGCGGCTTGCCAGCAATTCTACTATCCCGCTTCGTGTGAGAACTTGCGATCGATCGCTCTCCAGCGACGACGGCGTCATTGCCTCGCTGCTACCAGGGGCTAACATTGTGGACTCGCGAATGCCTAACCTATCTCGAAGACGTTCGATTAGATACTTCCCCGCTGCCAACGACGCCGTGTATCTTTCTTTGAACAGCTCGCACCGCAAGGAAAAAACCCTTCCTGCAAAACAACTAACAGCTCCTGCCATTCCGCGTATTTAAGTTATCGATTTTTAACACTCCGGCGTGGGCTGTGGGAATTCGTTAAATCGAAGCAATGACCCCTGGTTTTAGGATATACGTCGTTCGCAATTCATTCGTAAGTCGGTTCGAATGTAACTTCCATGCGTAGCTGCAGCTAGCTCTTTGTATGGCGTACCGATTAGGAGAGTGCGATTGTGCAGTAATTTGCCAGTAAGAATTTACATCACCCATTCTAGTCCATCAGCGTTTATGGCCCCGTAAGTAGGAGGCAAACCATTAATGAATGCCGAGGTTTGGTCCCAGCCTGTGCAGATGTGCGATACAATTAACGCAACAAAGATGTGCCGTGTCGCAGCTTCTACGGTCCCCGGTCGCCTGTGCCCTGCTGCCTGCCATCAGCCTCATGGCAGTGCCGGGAGCATCGTTCGAGACTCGGGTGGCTGTTTCGGGACGTTCGCCAGGGAAGAGCCCCAGGCGGCCCATCGCTGTGGAAATCCCGATTCCTCCCGACAGGCCGGACAGGCGCAACTCGTCCATCAACATTGTCACAAACCCGACGTTTGACAACCGCATGGAGCAGACGGGCCCAGCCGAGGAATCATTGTCAGTGGACTTTGCTCTCTGCATCCACGAGTCGCAAATGCATGCTTCGGGTCCAGTTGTTCGAAAGACGACAAAGGAGACCTTCCGACTTGCTGTGTTTGCTGGCTGGGGTAGCATCTTTTACATGTGGGAACATTTTCCTGGAGAAAAGAAAAAAAACGAAGCAGGAAAAAAAAAACTCTTTACATAAACACACACACATTTTTAGAAAGTTCTTTTTTGAGAACACAAGTGCTTTTCTTCCCAATTTTTTTTTAACAGTGAGGAAGAAATGTTGCTTACCAAAGCACGTCAAATTCAGTAATATATGAGTCTCCTACACAGACGTTTATTTGAAAAAGAATGTATTAGCAGATGCAACTACTGTATGTTTCATAGGATGTTTATTCTTATATGTAACAAGTAAACATTGTTTCGGTTTTCTTCCATTCACTTGGTACTGATTTCACAACTACTATGCAAGTTTCCACGAAAACGGGACATGAGGTTTTGTTACACTAAAAAGATGGGACGGCAGAAACGAATGTCTAAAACGGGACTGTCTTGGCCAAAATGGGATGCCTGATCACAGTAGCTATATTCCTTATTATCAAATGAATATTTGGTATTGATATTGCTCGCCTGTAATAAGGTAAAGCCTCCTCTGCGGGCTGGGCTTGGGGAGCTCTTGCAACGGAGCGGCTGTGCGTTAAGGGAGCAAGGGTCGACGCCGAGCGGGAAACGGTCGCTTCGGCCGCCGAGCCCTGGGCGTTTCCGACGAGGCCTGGTGCAAGCTTGAGCCTGAGATTATATCAAGTTTCCCCGAGCGAAGCAAAGGATGACCGCACAAAGCGTGGTCCGGCAGCCTAGCTTGCCGACCGTTTCGACTAGCTAGGCTTCCAAAAAGGGCTCTCAGCATGCCTTCAGCTGAAGCGACCTTTTCCCGCTAGGCGTCGACTGCCACTCTCTGGGTGCACCGTCGCTCTTTTGAGAGAGCTCCCCAAGCCCTGCCTGCGGAGGCGGCACTGTCTTACAGGCCAGTTGTATCAATACCAATTCTTCTAGTGTTATGCTGATGTGCCCACTGCATTTTGATTGATGGAGTGGTTCTTTACAAAGAAAGCTTTTAATTTGTGCTGAGGAATTCAACAAGTCCCATTCTGTTGAGTTACTTTCGTGACAAATTCCTTATCGAGCTATTTTGGCAGGGCGTAATGTAGGGGAAATGGCTACCATACTAAACATTTGAATTGTTCGAACATACGTTAGCGTTGGGCCAATGACACTGAAACAATCTTGTGTTATAGTGCAGAGGTGAGACTGCAGGCTCACAACATGATGCACATGTGTTGTGAAGAATATAATACCTTTTATTTTGATTATTGTTATTGAAATGTTATATAGTGGGCTGTGCCTGCGGGACAAAGCAAGGCTGAGGCTGACTTCTCTGTGCAAAGAACATGTATTGATTGAAGGCCAAACTCACGAAACACTGCATAAGCTGTTTCTACAATTTTGGAACCAAGCTCCAACATTGTAACATGGCTGGCTTGCAGTTTTATATTTCTATACCATGCCCACTCTTCAGCTGAACTTAAATTAAAGTATGTCCCACATATTTAAAATCCTGGATTTCGTTGCATTTTTTTATAGCTAATTTGCTTCCTAGCAAGGAATGAAAATTCAAAGAAACAACTGCACATTCACATAGATGCTTTCTCTTTGTAACATGCTTTTGTTTTTGCCTCTGCTGACTGTTGGTCTGCATATCCCTCTTGGGAAAACTGATGCAGGTACTCCACCATTCAGCCAAAGCACGAGTGTGGATCTAGTCCTGGAACGCCACCACCTCCTCTGCCCCCCAAGCAGCTGGAAGTCCTCTACACAAAGCCCATAAAGGCAGGCATCAATTTCTACTCCACTTAAATTCATAGACCCATAGATTATATTCTGTATGAGATGTTAGGAATAACCAGTGCACTGCAAATGCTGAGGACCTTGTGTCATGCACTGGCTGCTCAGAACAAGAAGACAAAACCTCGGGAAGGGTCACGAAGCTCCAAGGATTTCGGAGATGCCAAAGGGGAGACTCCTCAAGTCTGGAAGCTTCATGTATCCCAAGAGAACCCACCCAAACCTTTGCAAAGTTTGTCAGGTATCATCTTCCTTGCATTCTGGCAAGATTTACTTGCAACTAACCCACTGCCTAGCTGAAAAATTAATCTCACTGAGGCATAGGATGTATCCAAACAGAGGAATATTTGTGAATTGTCACCGGACTTGTTGGAAAACATTTAGGGTGTCCCTCGGGTCCATAAGAGAATGTTTCAATCCATTCAGGTTGCAATTGCCAGCAACTAGCATCACTACTTCAAGATAACTATGCCATGAAGCACGAACTACTCACCTACAAGGACCGGATTAAATCACTCACAACCAAGCTGAAGCAATTTGAGGGCATTTCGGTAAGGGCCCCGACATCCATTTCATGATTCATGCACTGTCTTGCATCGCAGTCAAGTGTGCATTTTTTTGGAAAAGTCTGGAAAATTGCAAAGCTGAATGTGTCTAGTTCCCAGTGGCATTTGTAAGTAATGTGGATGTGCAATAGAGAATGTATGCTCAGGTGCAGTGCACAAGACATACCGCAGCTGCCAACTTACATCCACCCGACTTTGTCCACAGGAAGTCATGAAGGAGTTGCAGATGAGTGTAGAGAAAGTGTCGGAAGAGAACACCAAGCTGAAGCAGTACGAGAAACGGTAAGAAATGCAACGAGTGAGCACATTGTGAGCCATGTTCAAGCTATGCGTTTTCCTTGCAGCGTAACTGAAGCAAAGACTTTGGAACAAGAGAAAAGGGACCTCTACGAGCAGTTGAAGGACGCGCAGTCGCAGTACAAGTATGATGGTGAGTGTGTGCCGTTTCGAGCTTGTCCTTGCAGGCATCTCTGTGAGACTGCAGACCGATCATTTGCGTGTCTGCACACGTGCCTCAACAGTCGACCACCTGAGCCAGCAAGTGAGCCAGCTGGAGAAGGAGAAGCAAGAATTGGAGGCTGCCCTAGCCAAGGTTCAACAGGAGCACGACCATCTCCTCATCAGCACCCAGAATTCAGTGTCCTTTCAGTTCCACACCACTGCCATGCTCGAAGTCAAGAGGTTGGCTGCTGTGCCTCTCACTTACAAGGACCGTGACAAACTAATAAAATTGGCCTGATGGCTTTTGATCCAATTTCCTCGGTAACAAGCGGCATCTTTTCTTTACCTTCTAGGCTGCTAGAAGAGCTCAAACAAAAATACCAGAATGACAAGGAAAACCTGACACTCAAAGTTCAGGTGAGCTTCCTGTCGACATAACTATTTTTCCACCATCCACAATTTATTAAAAAAATGGGGCTGTATGCATCGAAGCTCTATTCAGGTGCACTAAGAGTAAATGTGATACTAGATGAAATTAAAGTCCTCACAAGCATACCTAGTCGATGGCACCTTTTTACAAAATCGAAAGCTGCACCTAGCTCGGTGAGAAAGTTGCATGAAAAATGTACCACGCCTATAGTTCCCAGGCTCGGTAATCCCAATGAGATTGTTTGAGTGCACGCAGAAGCTAAAGCAGCAAGAGGTGACCCAAGTGGCGTTTTGCAAGTGCTCATGCGACTGTGCGGTCGTGTGCAGCTTGCCGAGCAAGAGCGAAGCGAGCTAAAGCTGCAGCTTGTTCAGCTGGAAGAGGAAGTGAACTGGCTCCGGAGTGATCACAGCACCCTGTCGGGCGCCTACCGGCGAGCTGTGCGCCAGAATCACACCCTCGTCTCGCACCTGCAGGAGCTGCAGAACGATGACTCTGAGATGCAGTCCCTGCTTTCCTCCCTCCTTGTCACTGTACGTATCTTTCACTGCCTCCTTACGCATTCCAGCCGCAAACTTGTCCTTCAATGCATAGATTGGTCACACTTTTTGGGAAGCTGCTTGTTTTGCACAAGCTGGCATGGGACAGGACTTTCTTCTATAGCTACCAGCTACACACACAGTTAAAAACAACAGAACGCACAAGTGTTCTACACAGCTGAAAGGCTGACAACAGAAACTCCTAGCAGAGAACACTCGAGATATTTTATGAAGACACAGTTAAGCATAGATGTGCCAAACAATTATTGCCTTTTTACGCGTAACAAGGACACCGAGATGGTGTGTTTGCCGGTGGCTTTTTGGCATGGCCAGGGGTTGGTCGAGGCTCTTGTAGTAGACCAGGAACGGACAAACACTCGGCGTCTGAATCGACGGATTGCGGTGGTTTGTTGCAGGCCCACCAAGTGGTGTCCGAACGAGACAGCCTGGAGATAAAGGTGAGCGGTGGTGACCATTACCTCTCTTGTGTGCAAGGCAGCCTAGCAAAGCCTGGCTCCGATTGCCTGCCCCAGAATGAGGAGAAAGAGAAGGAGTGCCAGCGCATGATGGAACTTCTCGGGCAGCACAACGTAGACCTGGAGCAGCTCAACAAGTACCTCAAGGTGCAGAGGCTGGCTTTGGTTGCCTTGGCTCTTCTGCCAGTTTGTTGCATGCCAACTTGCAGGGCTCTTGTGCTTGCATGCCAAAATTTGGCTTTTGGTTTGCATGCTCCTGTCACACAAGCCCAAGCATCAGGGCCAGACCAATTCGCTCTGCCACAAAGTATTTGCCTTTTTCGACGACTAGCATCGGATGCGCTCGGGCTCGGACAAAGTGGCAACAGTTGGGGCAAGTTAGAAAAGTTGGGAGAGGTAGAGCGACAGAGAGGCATGTGTGGGGAGCACATATGCAGACTAAATCAGCCTTGGGCACGTATCAATTGTTCAAGATGATATTGCTAAGGAAAGTATTTATGATAATGCTAGGGAAAGATCTTAGTTGTTCGAGGCCAAAACAGGAGTGTTGTATACAGAGCTGCATATATCAAGAAATAGACAGTGTGTGTGAAAAGCAAGCCGAGATAACTGAGCACTTGATATGCCCGTTGAAACTTTGGCGACTACACCCTGCAGGTGCCACAGATGCAACTGATTTAGAATGGCCCTGGAGTTTAAAGGGAAGCTACGGAGCTTCTTGGAAAAAATGAGTTAGAAGTGAATTCTAGTGTATTTTTACCCCGTGAACCCGAATACCCAAACCATTTGCTGCGTAAGTATTGTTAAACGCGAGAAAAACGCGAAAGACAGTCGCTGTCCGTGACGTCATCGACGGCTCTTTTGGCTGCCCAAGGCTGGGGGGGCGGGGCTTCAGCCCTATTTTGAAATTGCTCTCGTGGCTCTCCGGCGCGTCGCAATGAAATATAATTTTGATATCTGTTATTCTAAAGGCCAAATGAACGCAATTCAAGTGTTTTTTCTCAAATGTAGAAGTGCCCCATCTTCCCTTTAAGGACAGCAACAAAAAAATGGTGTGGAAGGTGACATAATCAAAGAAAGAAATGAACTAAATTATATGGCATAACCAGAGAAAATGCATATATCCTTATTATCTCCCTAGCAATCTGCATGACTGAAAGCTCAGTCACCTAATTGCAAACAGGCATTAACATCACATGGATTGGAATTTGTCTTTAGAAATGGTTCTATTGAAAGGCTTCACTTTTTGCTCTGTTGTATCGGGCGGCACAAGCGGATCTTCTGCTCTAGAACGACCCGGAAAAATCGGCACCTTCACATAGCTCTAACTTTCACCGAATGTGCATTGTGCAGGTCAGTCTTACCGTGTAAAATTTCAAGGCATAGGTCTCTCCCTCTGAAAAATGAGAAAAACAAACTTGAAAAGTTAATGTTGGGCGTGTTCGCAGACGTCCGAGTATGTTGGGCGTGTTCGCAGACGTCCAACAAACTTGCGCTATGCAAAGCGCAAGTTTGTCTGCTTCTTTTGCAGGGGTTGTGATGACATCAGACAAACCCGGATTGGTTTTGAACGAAGGAGAGTGGGTAAACCTCAAGGCAGCTTGCTTTGAGGTCTACCCACTATCCTTCAATCGGAGCCAATCAGAGCTTGGCATCTTTCTGACGTCTTCCCAACTCCTTTACAAGAAGCAGATGACTTGCTCCCTGCATTAATCTGTGGTGCCATTCCTTGATAGGCGCAGAAAGCAGAGTGCGTCGTCTGCTTGCTGCTCCCATCAGGAGATGGTGCCAGAACTTAATAGTGTCGCTAACTTGGTCATCTGCAAACACACTCAACGTTGACTTTGGTAAAATTGTTGCTCTTATTTTTTTTTTACAGGAAAAAAAGCTATTCCTTCAAAATTCACATGGTGTAACTGACCTGCTCAGTGCACATTCGGTGAAAGTTTAAGCTTTCTATGTACAGGCGCCGATTTTTCTGGCTCGTTTTACAGCAGAAGATCTGCATGTGCCACCCTATTGGCGGCGAAATGTTTTTGTGGTGCCACCTCGCGGGCGCTCTCCCATGATGGAGCGGGTAGAATGCAAGCAGACGACGCGCTATGTAACAGCATGGAGTGGTTATGTTAGTTTGCACCTATGCCGATTAAAAACTGTTTATGTGTTAAAGAAACGTGTATGATGTTTTTGCGAGTGATCTTTCTAATGAATAGCAGTGCCTCGAAGTTGCTTTTTATATTAAAAATAACTTTAAAATATTCAAAAACAAGCCTAGAGCTTCACATTACAGCTGGCGCGGCGTGCGTCAGGGCTGTTCACAACCTTTCTGATTTTCTGATTCTTTTTTTTTTGGGGGGGGGGGGATTATTTACTCTGGTGAATGCAAAACCTTTTTCTACAGGAGCCCATCCTGTAAAAAATGACCGCATCTCCACGTGGTTAATGATGTTGATTGGGGCGAAGCTCTGGTGGTGCTTGTCTGCGTAGACGCTTAGTCGCAGCATGCCGAGCCTTTCGTTCGTTTTCATCCATGTCAAAGAGAATGTGTGGTATGGAACGTGGTTATATACGCATTTGACCGCAGCGCCCTCTCGTCTATAAACCTTGAGCCAATGCATGCAAAGTTTAACGCGATTATATACGCATTTGACCGTAGCGCCCTCTCCTGTATAGACGTTGAGCGGCTACATGCAACGTTTCATCCATGACATCCCCAGCTCTTGAGTTACTACCACATCTCAGAGCCTTGAGGCGATGGACTAGAAATCTATTGGGGTCTCCCCGCGCAGGTTCGAATCCTGTCAACTGCGCAAACAATTTTTTTTTAATAATTTTTTTTTTGCTCTACACGAGCACGTGAGCATGGGAGCTCACGAGCACGGGAGCTCACGAGCACGCCGGAGGGACGAGGCTAGACCCTAAGGAGCTTGGCCCCTAAAAAGGTTTTGCATTCACCAGAGTAAATGACGTGCTGTCCTCTTAGTTGTGCACATATGCACAGTTGTATAGCAAAGTACGCTTGTTTTAGCTACATTGAGCTTGCTGATACCGACGCTTCTGATCATGTGTGCGACTCGAAAGTTGCTGACGAGTAAATGCTCGTCAACAACTGACGCTTAGCTCCTCCTGCATCGAATATCTGTCAGAAAAGTTTGCCACATCGCAACTTCAGCTTGAAAAAAAAGCAGAAATTTTCATAACTTCATTGTCGGCCATAGCCCGGCAAATTCACCAATTTTTACTAAGAATTGTTTAAAGATCTAAAATTGCTAGCTGAGAAGCGCATCACGCATTATGCGCAATTCTTTGGGTCCGCAAAATTAAACATGCATATGGTAGTCATTAACAGCAAGTGTATACCTCATTTTTTGGGACACTGAAGTGTCACCATCGACATTCCGCGTCGACGTAGTGAATAGCAGGTATTTAGTTAAAACGACTCCGGAAGCCTGCCAGTTATATTGAGGAAATGTTCGTGTACTAGGTTACAAAATTCAAAAAGGAATCAACTTGAAACTAATGAGAACAACACTCGCAGAACACATTGGAACCAACAGGATACACAAAGTCTCTTTAACTGAAATGTTATTACAAACGCGAGAGGTGCTTGAATTTCGCTTTCCTATTTTCAATTCGATGAGACATTCCTTTCTCAGTTTTATTTTCTCCGAATCCCCTATTCGCTGTGGTAGATGTAGCGGGGCAAAGCGCTGGCTATTCTATTTTCATCATCCAGCTTTCTGTGCTGGGGTAGAGAACAGCACACCACCATCCCAGCGCTTCGACACCTCAGCGCCAAAACTATTTGTAAGCGCGACTATGCATGCCATGGTTTCAAGCTTTGATAAAATGACCTACTACAAATATCACTTCACCAATTAAACACAATGCGAGAAGCAGACTTTGCAGCGCATTACTGAAACAGTGCATGAAGCAAGCTGACGAGCCGGGGGATCCAAGATCTGCGCACTCTTTCCTACTCGCAACGTCACAATGATTACGATAGCTAGAGAAGTGCACCCTGTTGTTTGTGCACGCCACCAATACCAGGTGCTTCAGCGAAGGCTTTCAAAAGTCCCTAAATATAGGGTGGTGGTTGAGAATAAAAATTAACTCTTCCCGGGAAAAAACTGCCAGCCACGGCGGATCTCAAGGGTTGGAAAAACCATACTAACTAGTTAAATGAATAATTTTTTAATTAGTGAAAATAAATATATGGTTCCAATTAAAAACCTGGTGAGTATCATAGAAAACCGCTAAATGAACTAATTTTAGAACGATATAAGACAGGGGCAGCATTTTACGGCATTCCGAAACAGCGCTTAGTAATTTGGATGCATTTCCAAGTTTTGGTTTCCTGTCGGTGCGCATCTTTGCACCAGCGGTCCTACTCCTTGGCGGCCGGGGTACGAAGCTACTGCCTTGCCTCCCTTGTAGGAGAGAAGAAAATATGGCGCACATGCGCTGCGCATCTTGGCCACCAGAGAACGGACCACTGGCACAAAAATGCGCTTCGATAGGAAACCGAAACCTAGAAACCCGTCCAAATTGAGCGTTTTTTTGGAACACTGTAAAATGGCTGAATCTGCGTTATATCTTTCCAAAATTAGTTGATTTAGAGGTTTTTTTATGATGGTTAGCAAGTTTCTCATTGGAATCATATGTTTATTTTCAGAAATTAAAGTTAATTAGGGCATTTTAGTAATTATTGAACTAATTAGCATGTTTTTTCGCTATCCTTGACGTCCGTGGTGGCTGGCAGTTTGTTCGTGGCAAGGGTTTATTTTTTTTTGCAACCACCCTATCTTCAGGGATTTTAGAAAGCTTTCTCTGAAATCACCCTGTGTATATAAATACTTGAAACTAAAAACACTGGCTAGGTGATGCAAGCCACTGCCCAATTCAAAAGTTTTATCTGTATTCATCCATCCAGTGGAGAAGGTGATGAATCCCAGCCATTCTGTTCTTTCGTAAACAGTCAACCATTTCTGAAAGGAGTGGTACCACCTGTGAGAAAACATTAATGGAGTCTGGGTTCAAGGATTCCTTGGTTTAAAACGGAGCCATTTAAGAGGAGGAGGAAGAGATTTCTTGGTACGAAATTGGGGGCAAAAGATCAGTAACAGTGGGTAGAAAAGCTGTTTTGGAAGTTTGATATAGGTCACTGCAGCTCAGTGGACCCAATAGGATTGAGCTTCATCGATTGAGCTCGCCCAAGTTGCATCCACGTCATACCAAAAACTTTTAAACCGACAATTTGGAGAATGGTGGATTCCTGTCGTGATACTGGGGATGATAGCCCTTTGTGTATATTAAAATAGACCTTCTGTTCGAAGGTGAAGTGATGTCTTGCACAGGCAACATGCATAAGGGTATGGTGCCCCATAGTTTTATGCATTTAGGGCATTTCTCCCTGTACAGCTTTTTGTTTTTGGAAAGGAAGTCCAAAGCATACTGGTTGGCAGTAGCCATCTTTGAACATCCAGATGTGCAGTATTTTTGAAAGCACGAAATGCTTTTAAACGCTACCCCATCCAATCCCATAATTTTGTCCGTTCGTCCGTGCATTTCCCGCTAAATTTAGCAGGAAAATTGATGTCACATGACCTATGCATCTTTCCGAAATGCGCTCCTAGGCCGCCGCCACGTTGCCAATGATGACACAGCTGGTACAACTCTCGCACCTCCTATCAGCTAGAAATCTTCTGCCTCTCTCTTTAACTGTGGAAACCTGCTCAGCGCGATTCTCCATCCATGTTTTCCAGCCTCTTTTGAAAGTTTCCAGTTTATTTTTCATGTGCATGCTGCATACCCTTTTTGTGTTATCTTCCACTGTGAGAAATAGGGCTGGTAACTGCCTGCCATTCAAGCGTTTCTGCTCGACATTCACGGAAAACGAAGGAGGGGAAGGACGGCAAACGGCCCTCCACACGATTTTGCGAACAATGACAACTGTTCCCCCACCTCCCAGAGATAATTCGCATAGAGGCCGTTTCAGTCATCGCCAAAATAGTTGTTCAGGTGGAGTGGGGAACAGGTCAGTCGTTCCTTTGCTTGCTGTGAAAAAATGAAACACTCCCCAAAACGTGCCCCGAAACAAAGTCCTCAAGGATTCCATCCAACACTGTAGTGCTGCGTTATTTGAGATCTTTCTCAAATAAATCCTTTTTGGATAACGCTGTACCATCTGGTACGTACCATATATGGTTAGAATGTCAATACTTGCTAAATTGTATGTCCGAGTCCTGTCCATCGGAAAAGATGTTATTTGCACCCGTGAAAATGCGCGTGCCTTTGGGCTATTTTCTGTCGTAAATTATTTTCGACAGCTAAGCGCCTTGTCATTTAACACGCGGCTGAGCGGGCGGCGCCGTCAAAACGTATCTTAAAATAAAACATTCCTGTCGCATTCGTTCTCCCGTGCGCTCACGCAACAAAAATTGTTTACAGTTTATCTTCATTTTTGTTTCAAATGTGGTACAATGCTTTCTCAAGGACCTTGAAAAAATACACACCATGAAACGCACAAAAAAAAAAAAACGTCGGGAAAAGAGAATTTAACCGCCAGCAGCGTTTGAAATTGCGCCTACGCAGGCTGTGCCTATCGAAATCACAGTCCACTCGTCTAGGATTAGCAGGGATGCCGGCGAGGGACTAGCCTCAAGCCTTGTGACTGGGCTCGGAAAAGGTTTTCTTGTCCCTGGGGCCAAGTGTTTCTTGGAAAGGTGCATACACCAATTCAGTTTCCCCGCAAAATAATTGACATGAAGGCCTGCTGACACACTTGCGACTCCTTGGGACCAAGTGCCTTAAAACCTCATAAAATCTCCGAAGGAACACGCCGGCACCATCTATGCGGTGACCCTGGAACTGCATTCCACTGGAGCAAAGGTTTGGCAGTATTTGTGAGGTCAAATGTATGTACTACCTACAAGGAATGTTTGTTTATAACATTAACGAAAGTTTTCCAAAAAAGAAAGACTGGAATAAAATAGGAAAGAACTGCCAAGTGTTCCAAAGCTACCCGATAGGTGGTGCCAGTGTTGCAAGACATTTTGAAAGGTCTCAAGGTCCCCAGAAGTCGCAAGTGTGTCAATGGGGCTTTGCGTGACCTATACGCCACACCAATTCGGTTTCCTCGCTAAATTTGGTGGGAAAATTAATGTCACCTTTTTTTGCTATATTTAATGGAAAAATTTGTCACACGGCCCGATGTCACTCGACCTGTACTTTTGAAGCCACGTGACCTATACTATATATACAAGACTGCAAATAGTCTTCTGAACAAATTAAAACGATTGCTTCTTAAACACTGCATTTCACGCATTACGGGACTTTAAAGGTAACGGTCGCTGCCAATTTTTATTTATATATTATAGCCGCAGTAAACGGACGGAACAATGGAGCTCTATTGTTCCATGGTCAGTTTGACAGGCTTCCCAGTATATAGGAGGCTATGCTCTAGCAGGCTCTAGAGGAGGCGCCTCTTTTCGCGTCTCGTGGATGCCACAACGCCCCCTGGCTGAGAGAAACAGGCCCACAATTGATACTTTGCAAAGTTGGCGAGAGTCCCTAGAAGGCTACAGGCCTCTTGAGCTTGTTGTATGTCATTGCAAAAAAACGTGCAGCTTTCATTTCCAACCTCGACAAAAAATATTTTTCACACGATTTTCAAGCTTAAGTTATTTGCTTGGCTTCAACCTGGTTGAAGTGTCTATGGCTCCATTTTGGCAGCCTTCCTTTTCCCCCCAACTACAATTTTGTGTGCAAAAGAATCGTAATGTGTATTAACAGTAGCCAGTGCTAAAATGCATGTCTCGTCAGAGAACATATGCTAGCAACAAATGGCATTCTTCATTTGAAAGTCTCTATCTAGAAAGCATCATCGTACAGGAGCAACATGCAACAATTGCTCATTGGGATGCAGGGGACTGCCATGGGTACTGCTAATCCAATCCTTTTTCAGAACATGCAAGACCAGACTGAGGATGAGAAATACAAAGCAAAGCTCAGGTGACTGACTTTTCAATTTCATAGAACGTCAAGATAGCCTAAAGAAAAAAAAAAAAAAAAAAGCAGAAATTTGCAGTTTTACTTGAATAAATTATGTTGCATGTGCAAGAGCAGTACCACGTTTTCATTGTGATGTCATGAGAGCTATATTGCACTCCATAAATGGTTCGTACAAAGCCCTCGCAGCAAACAAGGTACAGAGGAGACAGATTACAACAGTCATTCGGAAAGCAAACCCTCAAGACCCGACTTTGGCAATTAATAGCTATGAAAGCCCCAGTTACATAGCTGGGGGCATCAGGAAAATATTTATCCCTGTGCCATTCTTTGCAAATTTCATTGGTAGATACCCAAGACCATGAGTGTGAAACAGGTCGACAAGTGCTCCCGCCGTAAAGTTGCCCGAGTTGGATGCAGTAAATCAGAAAAAGCCATAGTCTGCTTCTCCAATTGCAGGCGGGAGCTTGAAAGCAACTTGCAGGAAGAGTATGAGCAGCAAATCTCCCACCTACATACCAAAGTGGAACAGAAGCAACAGGAACTGGAAAGGGTGCACGGGGAAAAACGGTAAGTGTCTCAGGTTCAGCAGCTCCTCTTTTGGAAGTGTTGCATCTACCTAGCTTGTACCACGGAAGGGCTGCTGGAGTTGGTCAAAACAGAGCCCCCGCTCCCCAGACAATTAAGTGCCACGACTGCCGTTTTCCCCGGCACTTTTCTTTCAGGTGTTACAAAAACAGTAAACCTCTGCTAAGACACATCATCCACTCATGGTAGCTTTCACCAACATCCTGTTCACCATCAGGGGAGACGAATGCAGGGTATTTATTTTTGCTTCTCCACTGGGCACCTTTTTGGTCTAATCTGGCACCCATGACCAGCACTTTTAAATAATAGTGCTAAACTGTTGGGCATACATGGCATTTTGTGCCAGACATTTGACTATATAGCAGGTTAATTTTACCTGCACCATCTCTCCTAGAAATAAACATGCACAAAAAAAAAAAGCCAGCAAACTAGTATTTATTATTTGTTATGCACTAAATCGAGCAGTTTGCTCGGAGCACATCGGTTTTTCGGTCGAATTGTCAGACATCGCAGAATGAAATTTTCAACGACCGGAAGCAAATCCCAAATTCGCAAATCTTCCATCAGGGCTTACATCAGGCGCCAATCCAGGGTTGCATCTGCTCGGGCCATTGCGACCTCTCTGTGGGTTCAGAACCCGACCCGACAGGGCGTCGTGTCGGTGCACAGTTTATGAACCGTGCATCCAATGTTCTTCGATCCGACAGGGCGTCACCTTCGGCTTCGTTCGACATACAAATTCGGCTTCGTTTGTCAAACAAAGCCGTACAAACGAAGCCGTACGATTCGCTAACGTGCAGGCTCTTGTCGGGATGCATCCAATACTGGTATGTTCTTTTCTCTCCGCATTTCAAAAATGTTCTATGTGCAATAACGCAAGGCAGATGAGGACCTGTTAATCGTTTTAATATTGACCTCCCGTTCTCCGTCATAAAAGCCGACGTAGGACACGACGAAGGGTTCTCCATTGTTGCGGCTACCGTAGTAGCACCGGTAACCAAAAAAAACCCCCGCGTAGCCCGCGACTTCTGATAGTTTGTTTAAATGAAGGATTCCGATTTCTGGCAAGTCCATTCTCGCGTCATTTAATGTATGAAGTCGCGTAGAAGTCTTGAGGTGCGATATGTACAAGACAAACCCTCCGTCGTAAGCACGTTTGTTCAAATTGAGCGGAACGACATTATTAAGCTCGAAAAGTTGTAGGTGTACAACAGTAATGCCGCCGTCAGGCGAAATGACAATGTTATACACCGACATACTGGTGCCGAAAGTGCAAACGCCCTGAGGGGCAACACTCGAATGCTGTTGGCGTAAAAAAATAAGAACAATAAAATTCCAGTTTTGTTTTGCGATTTGATAGGCCAGCGGTTTTGGCACGTAAAAAAGAACGAGCGACCAGTTCGTGGAAAGGGGGAGGGGGGGGGGGGGGGGCTTGCGCAATGTGACACTTCCGAAAGGGTGCGACGATTGTTTTTTTTCGTGGAATGTGTTAGCGAATCGAGGTTAAGTGCCACTGTCGAGTTTTTGATAACAGTAGAGCTCCACCTCCTGCACGTGTTTCTGCACCTATGGACGCAATTTTTGGAGAATTCAACCTCTCGAGATTTTGATAACGCCTCGAGTTGTCGCTCTGCCTCCAGTGCGTGTTTTCGTGCCTACGCATTGAATAAAAAGCATCTTTACAATCGATCGACTTAATCAAACTCCCGACGACCAACGTTCTCGTTCGTTGTTTTGCTCGCTCGCTCCCCTTTTACAACCGCTAAGAAAATATTCCCCTCCGTAACCAAGCCCACCAACGACGAGAAGAGGTGCCAGCGCAGGCAGCAGCAGCAGCGGCGCTTGGATAAAGAAACTCTCATCGACTTTGGAATTCTGGACTCCCCTGATGAAGACGACCGCTACAATGACCAGGCCCCAAGTATGAAATCTTCGCTGTCGAAGAAATCTACAAAGAAACCCGTCGTTCAAAACGGACATTGGCGATGTGGCTTGTATGCTAGAATGCACGCAAGTCAAGGACAAGTTTGTTCCGCTGCCTCTCTACTTCCCACCGGCCAAGATCCCGGAAGGATGGCGTGTCCACGTCTTTCCCTTGATGTCCCCCATCGACGTGATGGACAGCCTCATTAGACTCGCCTGCATGTACCTCAAAACCCGGCCGATTTCGCATGGTTCCAAAATGTATACATGCCTGCGAGTGAAGGGCATCAAGGGTTTCACAGAATCTCACGTCGCTAAAGAACACTTTCAAACTTTCATCAGAGCCATGAAGCAAGCGCCGTCCATCTTGATGCCCTGGAAATTGCTCCCGAAACACAAACTGGCTTTTTCCAAGTTGAATGTCCACCTGGAAGACCCCACGAAGGCCAGAGACGGGCAGGAGAACAGCACTTGCGCTGTACAGCCACTGGTGCTCTTGCGCGTAACGACATACCAAGACACCGCACCATCATCTCGCTGTTTAGCGGGTACGACGTGCACCTGTTTTACTTGTACGACATGTGCGTGGTGAAAAAGAATGCGGCTGTCATTCAAAGCGCCTTCGCCAGTTATCTCATGTTGTCTATGTTGTCCATGAACATGTACAAGCAGTTTGCGAAACACCTCAAGCAAACAGCGTGCTGCGAAGATCCAAAGATTGTGGACCAGATTCTGAAGACCGTGAGCAGACTTTGTCCCACGAAGATTTTCGCTTGTGATCAGAACCTCTGGAACGCGATCAAAGATTGCCTCAGCGTCTGGCATTCATGCTCCACGGAGGCCGACCTGTTCGTCACTCGTGTGCCGCTCCTGAAGCTGAAGTCCATCTTCCTCCATCCATCGGCCTACGGCCACACCCCCCTAACGATGGAATGCCGAAATGTCCATGGACGACGCGATGGGCCTTCGTGTACAACATGTGCACGCTGAACCGGGAAAGAAGCCTACTGAAGAGTAACCCGTTTCTGAGACTCCTGATGATGGTCGCGACTCTGACCAATCACATCGACTTGCACCTACACATGGTTTTCCACACGGGCGACAGGAACGCAGATGTTCTTTTCCGGCCTGTACGCCACCGCGCGGCTCTTCACGATGAAGGGCGAGGTGCGGGTGGCTCGGGTCTCAGTCAAGCACAACGTGCGGGACCGAGAGTTCTACCTGGAAGAGACCATTGAGGAGGTGACCATGGAAAAGCTGCGAAGAGTCAGGACGAAACATTCCAAGACAGAGCGGAACGGGTTGTTCATAACGGTGTGCCACGATCCCACTCCATTTAAAGGCAATGCCTCATGGACTTTATAGTGCTCCCTTTATGCAACTTCTCAGACCCGGAAGGGTCCGAGAAGGGCAGGCATTTTGCGACAAGTATTTCAACCCGGACGCCTTTCTCATGGCCCGAGTTACATTTTTCCAAGGCCAGGAGTTGGCGGGTGTGTAAACACTATCATTAATCAATTTGTCCATCTGTCCAGACTGTCACCGGACAATATTTCCGAATTGTAAAAAAATGTTCCCGACTACACTTAACCACAACCACGCCGACGGAAGTTACAAAGACTGCGACACGGGCGAAAGCAGCTTCGTGGATGAATACGACGACGACGACAAAGAAGGCCACCGACCCCTTCCCTCCCGGAGGAACAGCAGCCTTCCTCACCGGACCTGAACCAGCCCGAGTCTTCTGTACGTAGCGTTTTGCGGCAGACATTAGACTATATAACAGGTACATTTTGTGTACGTGTGCACTTCACATATTTTGCCTTTTTCCTATGGAGATATCCTTGCCCCTTCAAAATTCCGTACAAAGTTCTTTGAATAAATATGGTAAGCAACGTCATACTTGAAGGGTTGCTATTTTGCAAATCTCGGAATGCTGCTTTTTAAAATGTTGCAGTCACAAGTAAGGTGCTCAATGGGTCAAATGTATGGGGCTATACATTCGAGTAATACATTTTTCACACCATTTTTCTATTCCCAAAATTCGGCTCAAAGCAAGTGCAACAACTTACAGAGAATTCCCTCAGTGAATTTGGACCTCTTCTTTGCTAGCAATCTTGTTGGACGTGTAATCATCTACCGCGCTAAAGCTGCGAACATGGAGTGCATTTGGATCATTTCAAGTCCACCGAGGAAACTCCACACGCGACAGTTCCATTCTTTGGTTGGAACTTCCATGTGCATAGCATCTTACTGGCTGGTAGCTTGTCTGCACAAACGACGGTTGCACTCGCACCACTTCTCCTGAGCTTGAGGTCCAATCTGTTGCAGGAAGCTGGAGAGAGAACTGGAGCAGCTGTGGCAAGTGTTTGCCCACGAGACGGACATCAAGGCACTTCCGGGAGAAGCCGCCCAGAACTTCCTGTCGTGCACCAACTGAGTAATTTCCACAGCAATCCCATCGTAGGGCTAGCATTTCTCTGCCGCTACCAGTATTAGACTTACATCACCATAAATACTCTTCAATTGCAGCCAAAAAGAAACTGCTCAATAGCAGACACAAAACTAATTGTTGCTAAACAAAATGAATGAAGGCTGTACACTACCGACTGCTGCCAAGTCATATCGCTCGAGATATCACTTAGCATTATAAGTATATAAATATATATATAAAAGTGTATAGCAATGACTCCAGATCCATCATTCCATTAGCTGCAGTTGCGTAGCATTTGCACACTCGGCAACACTCCTCCGGTGCTTTTGTATTGTATTATATAATGTACCCTATTGGTCTTCCCAATAAACAATGAAATGAATGAACAAGGTTGGTGTCAATGCGTTACTAATGCACCAGCCAGGAGTTTTGAAAACGCATACTTTGCTGTCCAGCAAAATAAAAGAGCTCTGGTGCTGCTGTGCCTACTGCATGGTTCAGCGCATGTTAACGGCCGTGTTTGTGCATGCAGAGATGGCTGCCAAACTTCCCTTGCAAAGCTTGGCAAAAGCTGAATCTAGCTAAACCTGATCTTCAAAAGGCCATCACCACTAGAATAACTGGCAATCTTGGCAAAAAGAGGCATTTATAGCCTAGGGCAGTGGTTCTCAAATGGGGGTCCCGGATCCTTTGGGGTGCACAAAGGCATTCTAGGCTTCCATGAAGCCATGTCTTGTCAGTCAAGTCCGGCAATAAGAGTTGTCTTTTATCCGATTGAGAAATGTTCCAATTTTTGGGCGAGTTTTCTCGTATGTCAATGAGAGAAGTCTACTTCACACTAGTCCTTAGTTATATCCACTTATTAAATCGTTATCATAATTAACCTATACCTTCCCCTCAACACAAACGGTGTCCTCCATCATCGCAGCCGATCCACAAGGGGCCGCAAGACATCAATGGTCGAGAACCACTGGGAGAAGAGTTAGGGCACAGGCAGGCTGGCGAATATTAAGCAATACAATACCTAAAACCGGAGACAAGGAACAAGGACAGACACAACACCGTATGGTGTTGTGTGTTGCTTAAAGGGACCATGAAATGATTTAAAAATCGAATTTCATCCACCGCACGTCGTAAAAGGTGTGAAAAGAAACACAAAAACACAAAACTAGGGAGCCAAAAAAAATTATTTGCTATAGAACTTTTAAAAGAAAACTGGACTCTTTTGCGACTTCTTTCCTTCGAAAGCTCTGCCTTTTCACTACGATGCATCCGCAGAAATGGAGCACGTCAGCCGAATCCACGTCGCCTATTGGGTAAGAGCCTACCTCACCAGCACCGCGATCGTAAACAATAAATAGCCGGCGAATGTTTCCTAAAAGTTTTGTTAAATAATATTCAGACCCACATTTTGTAGCATAATGAGAGATGTGTGGCGAAAATTGCCAAATTTGATAATGCTGAGAGCCAAGGTTTTCAATCCAAGGTTTTAAGGCGAAAGCCTCGCTTGTCCAATCACGCGAAAAAGCAGCGTCGTTGTGCCTGAAATATGGTCACACCAATTTGTCAAGCATGTGCCTCAGAAATAAGTCGCCAAGAAAAGCACAGCAATACAGATGCTTCATCACAGAAGCAGACAAGAAGCCCACAGGGTTTGCCACGCCTGCGCAGTGCGGGAGCGTAATGTCACCACAAGAAAGCCGTGTGAAAAAGAAAAAAGTGACGTGCTGCTTGTAGGAATGTGAAAGCATTCCTACATGTAAGCAGTTTTAAGTCTCTTTGCGAAATTTTTTTAAAAACTAAGTACTTAATGCAATTAACAAATTTGACTTTTAAGATGCCGTCTTTCTCATATTTTCAATGACGACCAAAGCGTCGCTGTGGTGAATTTGTGATTGGCCAAACGCTCGCTGTAAAGTCTTTATTTGAATTTTTTTTTTATTGACAAAAATTGCATTGTTAGTGTGACCTGCAACAGTGTTGGTTTAATAACGCGATGACTACAAGCTTCCATTGTTATTTTTAGATGCATCTTGGAACTGATATGTGGTCAAGATCATGAACGGAAACAAGTGTGAGCATCTCGGCGCAAATAGTGACTGGGCTCAGCTGGCTCAACAAATGCCAGATTGGCTCAGGTGGGTTAGAATGGACCGGCACTGTCCCCCGTTGTTGTGCTTAGTATGTTCCTACGGCAGCCCAATGTACTATCGGAAACAATACGAGCGTGACCGTGTCTCTGCTTGTCGCCGAAGAGGCGCGTTCACGCTCGTATTGTTTCCGATAGTATGAGACGACTGGCACAAACAAGGCTGTGCACAGCACCGTCACAAAATCTATCAGTGTGGTCAACCTCGCCACTAACTTGGGACCAATAGCTTCGAGAAGTGTGAAATTCTTCACACTAGGTCCAGAATACAACTAGATAAGAAAGGTGGCATTCTAGAGGTCAGCATGAGCACTCGCCAAGGCCACTCAAAGGCACGCACCAGTTCGTGGCTCTTTGCATAGTCGCAGCATGGGCGGATGTGGGTAAATCCAACTATCTTTATTTCAGGTTACAGCTTGGTTTTATTCTCTTAGCACGAAATAAGGAAAAAACAACAACAATGGTTTCAATTTACAAGTCTCTCCAAATAATTTTCAGACAGCCATTTACAGCTTGGCTCGCAGGCCAAGAGTCAAGGTGATTATACAGACGGGACACAATTGATTCATCAGTGTGGCGGTGCTTTCACGAATGATGGCGGACACGATTGATTCATCAATGTGGCGGTGCTTTCACAAATGATGGCGTCGACGACCGATTAATAATCGGCATCAAAAACCAAACACAAAAGATGAGAACAATGAAGAAAACAGCACTAAAATAGTCGATCACAAATCTCCAGAGAGTCTGTGGTGAAGAATACAAAGCAGCAGTCTTGGTCGCCGACTGCGGGGCGGAGGTCCGTGGTGCCTTGTACCGTACTGTTCTCCGCAACCAAATTGATGCACCAAGAACGAGGCACCAGTCCGAAACGACGATGAGTGATGGTGCATGTGGCGATGAGGATCGTCTTCGGAGCGCACCAGTCGGACGGGACCGCGCACCGGCGAAGGGACACACCCAAAGCAACCGTCAGAGAAGCTTTCTTTCGCCCTCTCTTGGCAAACCCAGGGGGACGTGTGCGGGAGGATTGGTGGCAGCTAAATAAGCCCCGCTCGTACGCAACCGCTCGAACCGCAGATGGTGGAACCCTTTACACCCTCATTATCTGCAACGAGACACTGAGCGATGAGACAGGTCCCAGGCGGGGTGGCCGCCCCACCCTTCCGGCCAGACAAGGGACAGCCGTACAATGCGCCACCCCCAGACACGAGGCCACCCTGGCCTCGCCCGCCGCTCACTACACTCTCGAGGTCGGGGTAGGAAGAAAGAGGGAAGGGAGCGCCCCTCTGGTCAGCCCTTCTGCCGCTAGCATACTTACCTCGATGCAATGGGCAGAAACACAAGCTAAGCCTCAACAGCATGCCCAATCACTTCATGCACACCACACACAAGCTAATGGTCGCCTCCAAACTCCCGCTGCTCTGACAGAACAAAGAAAACAAAGGAACTGTGCTACAACCAGAGTGGTTGCAAAGAGAAAAAGAGCCTCCACTGCGAGGCCGTCCTCTTTCCAAGTAACAAAGCGCCCTTGTGCATTCACACACCATCCACACCTTGAAATGAGCTACTCCAGACCAGAGGGACCGGGAGGGGGGAGGGGACCCAGGAAGAGAAGGAAGGACAGTTTTGTGGGGGAGGGGAGGCAGCTCCTAAAGAAAGCACTACTACCTTGCCCACGGCGGAGGGAGACCTCAGGGGGCATGTGGATGAGCGGTGGGAAACGGTGGTCGGTGGCGCTTTCATCTTTGCTCGCCGACGGTTGTGAGCAATTTGCAGGCGTCCGCCTGCTGGCTCGGTTGCTTGGCCTCCGAGAGGCTTTAGCGCCTCCGTACGGGACTGTGGCTACCGGTGCGCTTGGAGTCCTGGGTGCCCGAGAAAAGAGGCTGCGATTCAGTGACTGTCCTCCCACCTCCGTGCCATAGGTGCAAAGAAGGGGTTCCTCAGTCGAACGAATCAACGCAAAGAATGCAGTCTATTCTAAAGGCTGATACACGAGGCACATTTTTCCATGTGATTTGCGCGTGTCGACAGGGTGTCAGTTTAGCGAGAGTTTCCGGCAGAGCCACAAGAGAAGCACACAACACGCCATAAGTAAGCATCTCTTGCCAATGACAACAGAAAAAAGAAGTGTGATTGTGAGTGCTTCCTTCCATGCCTTTTCCTATACTAAGATATTATAGTGCAGATGTTTGATATCCCGCTTTAAAATCTATCAGTGCAGAGATTATCATGAGCCCTTTTTACAAAACACTTTCCATAGGCGCACCTCCTAGGCATTCTGCTACATATCTAGCGAATAAAAATCTTGAATATCGTGACAGTTTTCCGACGATAGGTTAACTAAACAATGTAGGGGTGTTGCGGATAGAAGCTGCCCTAATTTCCTTCCCACTTAACTGACAGACTTGAAATTTTGTTATGCACCCTCTAGCACGACCACCAGCCTACCCCGTAAATTTCATTAATGTTAAGCCAAGGGTTCAAAAGTTGACCCTCCCAAGGGGTGCATCGAATAAATTCAAGACCCTCTCTGCAATAACACCTGCCAGACAACTGAAGACGAGAGAATTAACTATTAAGCACGAAAAGCAAACGCGGTGAAGATGCACAATTTAAACAAGTGGGTAGTGGAGATGAACTGGCTCATACCCGTGCCTTGGAGTCGAGGTCTCGTGCCAAGGCCCGCTTGCGCCGATCTTCCTCCTCCTGCAGCTGCTGCTGCTGTCGGCGGCGCTCGCGGTCCAGGCGCCGCTGCTTGCGCTCCTCCTCTTTGTGCGCTATCTGCAAGGACCACAGGGAGCAGTGGCAGGTCGACTCGAGAACTGCCCTGGCCCCGACGGTCGGAGCACAGTACCTGGTCGTCCGTCAGGGGAAGCCAGTAGATGCACGGCGTGGCCTTGGTCTTACGGAACAGGTCGTCCAGCAGCTTGGCTGGCGTGTCCTCTTGCTTGCGCTTTGCCACTGCACCACACCCACGACGATTCAAGCTTCCTTTGCCAGATGCAAATGTTTGCGCACCAGCCACATATTTTGAATCAACGCTTTTGCTAACCAAAACGAGCAATTCAGACATAGCAGCTGAAGTCGAAAAGGGGTCACGGTTCGACCCTACTCGGCTTTTGACTAACGATGCAACTACAGGCCATTCTACTTTAGGTGTAGGCATTGGTCCTTGGCCCCAACTAAATCTGCTAAATAAAGTATGATACGGAGCAATGCGACTCGAGCCATATCACTACGAAGAATTGGCTCTTTCAGCTGTCACCAGCTTTAGTGTACGTTTGTCACAGTGGCGTCGCGCAGCATGAGAAAACGGTTCTTTGAGCATATTAGCTCCCCCAGAAAGACAAGAAAAGGAAGGCTGCCCACCCTTCTTGTCGCGTCGCTCCTTCTTGTCGGGCGTGTGCGCCCGGTCCTTCACGTCCTTGGGCGGGCGGGGGCGTTGTTCCTGGGGCGGAGTCTCTTGTCGAAGCTTGTCCCGGTCCCACTCCCGCATGGGCACCCTCCTCGGTGCGGGTGCCGCCTGCCTTTCTGGGGCAGTCCGGTGCTCCTCGCGCACGGGAAGCCGCACCGGCAGTGCCCGGGGGTCTCCCCTGCCCTCGCGGGCATCTCTGGGCTCGCGGCTCTCTCGAACGTTGCGGGACTCTCGCACGTCGCGTGCGTCGCGTGCGTCACGTACGTCCCGTGTGTCCCGCGTGCCACGCACCTCGCGCGGGTCTCTCGCCTCTCGAACGTCTCGACCTGGGGGCCGCGGTTCCACCTCCACCGTCCGGTGGAAGGCCGGGGCAGCCGAGCGGTCGGGGGCGACGGGCATCGCCGGGGCCGGGAGGGGCGCCGGGGGCCGAGGGGCGGGCGGCTCCTTCTGCCGCGCCATCTGGGTTGTGGAAGAGCAGTCGCAGTGGCGCAGCACTAGCGTGTCTCGACCGGCGTCAAAGGCGCCGTCATGGTGCTCGCGCCTCCAACCAACGTGTTTACCGCGTCTCAAAAAGTGGCCGCCCCATGACGTCGCGTAAGTGCCACGTTGCGGCAACCCTGCTCGCGTTTGCTTCAACTTTTTGCCACGACTTCTAGACTTAACCGTCAGGATGGTGACGTCCAACAGCATGACACCTCCTGTGACGCCGCACTTCTTACGAACAGGGCCTGTGGTTCTGCTTTCCCGCTGAGCACAGTGATAACGAATCGGTGTGATCGGTAGAAAAATGGCAGCGATTTACGGGACAGAGATAAGACCCTCGCACGAAATTGCCATCTGCTTGGATTGCATTGTTACGGAGAAAAGTGTTCTCGACTTTGACATTCGCCCAAGTTTTTTCTATGCAGAATGCGATGACTGGCTGGATGTGTGCTCTGCAGGAGAGTATGTGCAAGGGCCTTGTTCATAAGAAGTGTGGCTATTACTCAAGCAAATACACTATTTGGCACATTTTGAAAAGGCACTGAACTCCCAAAAAACATTTGGTAGGAGTGCCTTCATAGGACATGCGAGTCACAAAATAAATTGGCACTGAAAAAAAGATGACAATATTTCTACCCAGACTCATTTTGAGTTAGAAGCAATTCCAAAACATGCTTCAATTTCGAGACGTCAAACTCTTTTCCTTTGTTTCCCCCTCCCACTTCCTTCCCGCATGTTAAGCGTCTGAGCGGCTTCTGACCCTTCGGAGCTTAACGACAGGCATCGCACACAGGCAGGAAGTGGGCACCAAAAGGGCTGTCGCCATTCGCTCGACTCGGACAAAAAGGGTTAACTCACTTTCTCTAGCACAAATAAATTGTCCTGTGAGATCTTTAGCATTTTCTAGAGCACAGATGTGTCGCCTACAACTGATGACGTCTCGCATGACGCTGTAAGAGTTTTTTTTTTTTTTTTGCTTGTTACAGGTTGTGGGAAACCCAGTGGTCTTTCAGAAGCCAGAGCGTTCATGGTCATAGTGCCCAGTGAAGCACCTTTATATGCAGTTTCTTTTAGAAGAGGGTCGAACATTATCATGCCAACCTCGGCGAGAACGCCAAGCTGAAGCTGCGCCCCTGCTATGACATCTGTTGTCACGCATTACATTTTTTTTTAGAAGGATGTGGAATGGAGACTCTGAGACCTTCACGTCTGTTGTTCTAGAAACAAGTATTGTTGCGGGTCCAATATCTCACAGGTTTCGCCAAGTATGAATTTCAAGAATATTTCGCAGGAGCAAAATTTTACGATAGAGCTGGTTTCGATGTGTATTCGTTACCACGGAGCGGTCTATTTGTGCGATCAATTTTTTCTCAATATTTTTAAAGCGCGAATTCTACCGAAATGAAGTCCTCACAAGAATTAAGCTGTTTTCAGTATTTGATGCGGTTGCGGAAATAAATAGTAAAGTTTATAATAAATAAATATTTTGTCCTCCGAAGCAAAGACTAACAAAAAGAACTGAGATGTTTAGAATAAAAAACTGTCAATGTTTTCTTGGCGGCAAGATGCTATCTAGTCAGTAGTGAATGAACCACGGGAGAAACTCAATGGGGCAAGCAAGTGTCAGCACGTGGGAGAAATCCCCGACTAGGCTTTCCAGAGTTTTACGTGTTCAGCCCTCAGCTGACACTCACTGAACCAATCAATCGCTTCCCTTTAATCTTCTGACCCTGCTCACTCTGCGCGTCAGGGTATGGGGTGGGGGAGACAGAGGGGAAGAAAGGAGGCACTCTGCATTTCTTTTGGGGATTACTAACTGGCCCCTGGACTAATCTTTTCTAATCCCAAGCATAGAGGCAAAAAGAAGGGGTTATTTCCTGTTGGGGAAGAAACGAGGGAAAAACAAGGGTTGACGAGGGCAAGATTTTTCCTAACAGACCATGATGTAAACTCACCTCCTCCGGCGTTGAAAAGTCCACGTGCAGAATCTTCGGGTTGCATAGGGGCCAGCGAAGGTTGTGCAATGCCTCCCTTGCTTTGGCTGCCTCTTCTTCCGTTGTATACTGAAACAACACAGTAATGTTCCACACGTCTGCTAAGACAAGCGCCGCTCGTCACGGTGGAGGGACCGCACGTCCTGCTCACCGTGACAAAACACTTGGACTTGATCTTGTCGATCCAGAACTCCGAGTCGACAGTCTCCCCAAACTCCAGCAGCAGCTGTTTCAGCTGGTTCAGGGTGAAGGGCCGCACCAGGTTGCGTACAAACAGGGTGCGCGTCTTCGGGTTCTTGGCTGGACTTGGCTCTTTTCGTACGCTCTCCTCCTTGGCTCTGCAAAGGACCGAGGAAGGAGGCGAGGGGCCCTACGACTTCAGCATCCCGCTCACATGTCTTCTCCCCCACTTGAGGCTACCCACGACCAGCACCCTCAGATCACTAAAGTTGAAAGCTTTGTGCAACTGCCCAGACAAGCCTCTCCCCTTCCCACTCTCAGCATCATAGACAAAATTCCCAGAGACTACCCAACCTACAGGAAGAGAAAAATAAGCACTAGCCATCTCAAGGCCTGTCCAAACAGGACACTACAAAACTCACGCCTCCGGCAAATCGCGCGGCGCTCCGCTTCCGGTCGTCGGGACGAAATTTCCCCCTGTCAAATCTGCCAGGGGGAAACTTCCCCCCGTCAAATATCCCCCTCGCTTCCTCCACGGCAGCCTTGCTCTGCTCATCACGTGGGTCCTGAGAGCTACTCACACGCTCTGTTGGCTGTCGGTCAATTGCTCAAGGCCTCCGCCGCTTTGGAAGTCCCTAAAACGGGAAAGGGAAGACTCGAGTGTGAGGAGGCAAGCCAGGCGAGCGCACGTCGTGTCCAAGGTCGTGTCATCTTCCAGCAGTTCTGTGGATTGGATCGGATTCCCGTGGCTCTTGTTCCTAACGTACCTTGGATAGACAAACAAACCTGGTTGGTTTGGAATTTAATAAATGTATATTCTCAGTGTTTCTACATACAACTGAAAGTCTCACTGTTGTGCACTGCACTTTTTTTTTTTTTTTTTTCGAACTACGAGCATAGATTTTAAGGAAAAAAAAGCTGAGCCGGGGCAGCCGAAACGCGCGCTTCGACGCAGGAATCTCCCAAATCCACCCGAAGCCGGACCGCTTTGGCCTCCCTGCCGAGGTGACGGCGGTAGCAAGGTCGGCGACTTCGTGAGCCGCGGGAGCTAGACAGGCATCAGGCACACCATTGGCAGGTGTCATGTGACGTCAAGTCTGACGAGCACCGACGAAGAAAAGTGGAGAAGGCGAGGAGGAAAGTCGTGAATTTGGCTTGGCCGGTGTCCAAACAGACATTGGACCGACGACTGCTGGACGGTTATATTTTGACGATTTTTGCAGGAGTTGTGTGGCCTGACGACTTTTGTAGTAGCCTGTTTAGACAGGCCTTCACCCGACAAATTATGTACCCCGGAAAGCCAAACACCCTACCCGACAGCCTAGCAGTTAAGATGTCATGCCAGAGTTCAGCAACAGTATCCCAAACATTCAGTTTGATCAATTTTGAACAAGAAAACGGCATCCACTTTGGCCAGCGGGTGCTAGTCGTCTCCAAGTACAGTCGCATTCTGCTAGAGCAGGGGTCTCAAACACGCGGACCACGACTCTCTGGGAAGCAGCCCGCAAGTGTCCCGTGGTTGCGAGCTCCCGTTCTTATGCCTTGCGCACTGCATGCGCGACTTGCCATCCATTCATTTTCAATGGAAACATAGCTTTGCTCTTATGACGTTTTAACATATTTGGCGCTAATTGGGCGCTAATCTGCTTTCTTTCAGATCGAGGAATTTTTTGTCTGACATAACACGAAAACACAAATATTTTCATATAATTCTGCTATAAAATCGGCAAGAAAGCAAGAACTACCACCGTATGAAAAGATTTTTCTTTCGAGACATATTGAACTCGGATAATTTTCTGAATTGAGCGACAGACTAACGATTGTGTGCTTGATTTCTAGTTCATTGAAAAATTACAGCGCATTGGCAGGATGGTGGCAATTTAAATCTTGTACTCATGCAAGTACAACCCGAAGTAGTTGTATCAAGAAACAAAACGTAAAAATGGCACTGGAAAAATTGGTATTTCACAAAAAGCAAATAGCACGAGGTTTCTTCTTGAGAAAATCTCTGGTTGTCGCTGAAAAACGTGACTGCTTGGCAACGTATACAACATGCCAAGTCAAATCCGTGCATGGCGTGTCGACAACATGTGGTTCTCGGTCAATAGCAGCTAGCATGTGATTTCGCACAATGATTTGGTGTGGTTAACGGCAAACACTGGCAAACGTGACAGCATGGCGCTGCCCTGTAAGAAGAAAAATTATCTCCTTTTTGAAGAGAAGACAGATTATCGCCAAAGTGGGAAGTGAAAAAAGGAGGCAGATATCGCAGGCGATTTTGGTACATCTTTGTCGGCATTAACGCCGACAAGAATTCATTTGAGAGATCAATGAAAAACAAATCATTGAAAGCGTTCACGATGGTGATTTCTCAAATGATAAGGACAACACTGCTCCAGTACCTACAACACAGGTAATGGACGCTTTCTAAATTATCAGAACTTTTGTTGGTGCCCATGACGATGATGCTATGGTGCAATTGCTTTCCAATTGCAAAAATCACATCAGACCACTTTTTTTTTTTTGAAGTGCAAAATGTGCCAGCACAACTAATATATCATTGCTGTTTCCCAATTTTACGTCTATTTATAAAAACAAACTTCTCGCAGAAATTTCATTGTAGCAGGATAAGACAGTAATTAGCTGCAAGGAAAGTTTTCCAGAACATTGCTTCCCAACTTTGAATGGGACAACATCAAGTTCTGAAACCTTAGTGTCTCGTAACAATGTTGGCTTCCCGCAGGTTTGCCTCCACACGAGATTGATGCGCACTAATGGCACACACGCGCTACGACGCACCTTCTGGAGAGCGGAGCCCTGTCTGCAAGCGCGTGGATGGGTTTCCGCTCGGAAACGGGTTGCCCGTCTTCCACGACTGGCTTGGCCTCCTTGGGCTGCACCACGGGGGCTGCCACGGCCTGCACCTTGGCCGGAGGCTCGTCCGAGGTCTTGGCAAGCTCCGCGTCCTCCCCTTTGTCGGTGACGGGCTTATCCGCCGAGGCGACCGGCTCCTCGGGCACCGAGGCCAGGGACTCCTCCTTCATCTTGCTGGCCACAGGCTCCAGGTCGGGAATCAGGTCCTGCAGACAGGGTCGTATGCAGGACCACACAGGAGCCCCCATGCCCTTCCTGCATCCATTCCTCGCTCCGCCCCAGCGACACAGCCTACGTCCACTAGACGGCATTGCAGCCTCCCACTCCAAAGAGCTCCCTCGGTGACACGTCCAGAGGATGAAGCAGTCGAGCGGTTGCTACTTACCTTTAGTGCGCTGGTGGAAATGCTGACAGAAGGTCCCACCACGACGTTGGTTGAGCCCCACCGTCTCTTGCGCTGAGGCTTGTCCTCCTTATCCCTGGACTCCCTCTTCAATGCTGGAGCAGAGAGCACAAGAGGCACCAGGGCAATTGAGGCAGACTGCGAGGCAACGCACCTCCAGAGTTTGACAATCTAGATTTAATGCATTCTTAGCAAGGGTAACTTGGGAAAAACTTAAGACGCAAAAGCGCCACGACTGAATGATATATAGTGTCACCGCCACATCACAGGTGGCATCTTAGTTGGCGTAAGCGACCACGTGACCATAGCGACAACCACTGATCTTCTCGTAATAAGTCATGGCACAAGTCTTGGTACATTAGCAACTGAACTGAGATTTACTGACCCAAAATTTATTGTATATATGATGATTTTGTCGAATGTCACCAAAGTACTGCCGCATATTTTTTCCCTAAAGGTACAAAGGGAAAGTCTCTTGATGTGGCAAGCGAGCAGAGACTTGGCAAACCATTTACTAGCACTACACATAGTATTGTGTGCTTATCGAGATACATAAAACAAGTGTATTACCAGCAGTGGATATCCTCCGTGCCTTGAACTTGGGGGGAGAGATACTCCTTGGGGCCTCCTGCTGAAATGTGTGACAACAATATTTAGGCATTCAAAGACCGCCGAAAGACAGACAATTCACAGCACCGCACAGAGGGTAGCCCATACCTTCATCTCGATGTCTGGGGGTGTGGCGTTCTCTTCTTTTGCAGGCTCTTCAGACCTAAAAAAGAGAGAAGTGTTTGGGTAAGTAGACTCTCAGGAACTCATACTCTTGTCAATAGTGTACACCCAGTGGAATCGCCAGTACGAGTGACCTACTTATAGTACACTTTATGCTATTACAGGGGTGTGGTCCTGCCAGTTTTGAGTTTGGAGGAATTTTTGGAGCAGAAAAAAATCTCGTTATGAAGCACCTTTATACTGGAAAAAATAACTTTTTGGAGCAGCTTTGGAGAAGCACATACGCAATTCTGGAGCAATAGACCCTTTATGAAAGTCAGCGCCTCTAGTGTCGGTTGCGCGAACTTGACAAAATCCGCCATTACTGCGTCGTCAAGCATCGAGGGGGACGGTTGAACCTGAACCATTCCACTGCGTTTGGCAGTGGTGATAGCGTTTGACATGCCAACCCATTGCTGCGTCCCTCAATGAACCCAAAGAGGGTCAAAAGATAAAAACAACAGAAGGTGAGTCTTTTTTTTTTTCACGTAAAAACACCAGTATTCGAAGAAATCGGGTCATGCAGATCCACGCGGATAGAGGAATGTAAGATAGAGGCACGGTACGCCTCTGTCTTACATTTGTTAAGGCTACGCAGAACTGCAGTGAGGTCAGTGCTCCACGGGGAAGGCAAAGTCACTCGTCCCTGAGGACCGTAGCCAAAGGTACCGGGAGTAACTGCCACAAGCACCTGCCATCGCTTGCTTCCGAAACGACGATGCAGTAAAGGCGGCGGTTTCAGTATCTCATAGTTGCTTGACTGACTTCCATAAAGGGTCTATTGGGTGCAGTTCCCCATTAGTAATGCCGGCATGCATACATGTGATAAGTTGTGTGATGCCCATTAAAAACCCAAAGTTAGCAGTTATACTGTACTATAGTCTGTGACAGGTTAAGAGTAAAGTGGAAGCTCCTCCCACCTCTGTCCACTTTAGCAGACTGGAGAGGAGGTGACCTTTTCTCCTGCCTTCGCTCTGTTAAAATGGATAGAGGTGGGAGGAGCTTCCACTTTACTCGTAACCTGTCACAGACTATAGTCAAATTTCCCTTCGACTGCTGTGAAGTTGTGCCATAAATTTGTGTTTTGTCTCCATTAGTGTTAGTAGACAAACGTTAGCAGGATTTACGGAAGCATGCTAACTATAACCATTGAGCAATCAATGCAGAGTACCAATTTAACCCCCTAGATTATGCATGTCAGATAGTCTTGGCCAGAGAGCCAGATTGGGGACCCGTCAGAGTCTCTAGGGCCGGAAAATAGACAAGATTACATAAATGATGAAATACTAAAGAAATAAGCAGGTCCCAAAATAAGCATTTAAATACAAAAATTAAAACTAAAGCAAAACTTTAAAAAAAAAAAAAATTAGGTGGTTGAATACATATACTTAATTTTTTTAATGTAATATGTTGCTAATAATGGCATCACAAAATAATTGTGACCCAGAGAACTCACCAGGCATAAATCAAAGTTCACGAACTTTGGCATGTTAACACAAGGCAGAAAAAAACTAATGAGAATGCTAGATCTGATGATGAGAATATGCAAGAGTTCTGACACAGATCATAGTTACACAGACAGGAAACGGGGAACTATGAATAGTAATGGTGGTGAGGACAACATACAACAAATACTATGGCGAGAGCACCCGCGCTTTGATTCAGATTTGACAGTCTCACGTGAAACGAGCAAAAGAATCAATAAAAATATTCTGGGTTTACCACTTATGCATAGAAAGTTTAACGAGTAGTATGATCAAGGATTCACATCATTTGACGTGAAAATGCAACAATTCGTAACCAAGCAGTCCCAGCCGAGCATGCTAACGAAATGGGAACCATGCGAGAGCACATCCCCATAAAACAATGTCACGCTTCCTAACATGGGCACACAGAAAAAAAAAAAAAAAAAGGAATTACTTGCGCTTGCTAATCTTCGGTAGTGCACTTCTAAATGCAACTAACTGTTAAAACTGCGCTATGTTAGGAATATCAGTAAAATTGGTGAGAAACAATGCCGCAGAGCCAGGAACTTGGCTTGGATTGTGACGGCCAAACCCCACTGGATTTCCAGTTGCCAGACAAAACCAAAAACTTCCCAAAAACCAATTCGTCCAGAGATTTGTTTGCTTTCGCACAGTTTGGCGCATTTTTTCGCTTTGGGCACAGCAAGGCGCAGGCAAGCGGGAATTTATCAAAATGGCACAAATGGACCACCCCTGATATTGTAACGGTACTCTAGAGGGGCACCGAGATGCACAGAACTATAGGCCCGGGTCTTGCGGGCATACAGTTTTGTTGCAAAATCATAATGGAGGCAACAATAGAGAAGAGCTGCGGAACCGATGCAGCGTTGAAGTTGGCACAATGCAATTGAGAAAACCAGTCCCAACACAAGACTGTCAAAAGCATGCAACGAGAAAGTCCCCGTGCACTCACTCGGGCCGTCCCGCCTCGTCTTCCTCGGCAACCTCGACCCCCCCAACGACGGCGCCGTCCTTCTTGGAGCTTTCCTCAGCTGGCGGGCAAGGAGACTCCCGCTCCTCCTGCGATGCCGCTTCCGGAGCTGCCGCCGAGGGGGACCGCGGAGGAGACGTGGGCCCAGTCCCCTTGAGGGCCCTCCGTCCCACGCGCTCCTCTTCCGCCTCCGAAGACTCCGACGAATCCGAGCTCAGGTTGAGCACCTTGATGGCCAGCGTTTCCTTCCAGGCCGGGCCGCTGGGCTGCTGTTCCTCGTCCGCCGGTGCCACCTTACCATTGGGATCCTCTTCTGCCGCCTTCTCGGGAGAGCGCCGCTCCTCCGCCGGGCTGCCGTCCCGCTCCGTGTCCGACGAGTCTTCTCGCTTGGGGGCCTCGTCGGGGGCGTCACCCCCCGGCTTGCGCTGCCGCAACGTCCGCCGCGTCACCCGCCCCTCCTCCGGCGGAGAGCGGGCCCGCCGCCCATTGCGCAGCAGGCGGCGTGCCTGGCCCCCCGAGTCGCTCTCCTCACCGTCCGAGCCTTCCCGGTCCGAGGCCTCCTGGTCCGACGTCGCTTCCTTGGCGGTACGCACCGCCTGCTTGCGCACCCCGCGGCCTCTCAGGCGTGCCATGGCTGCTCCACGTTCCTCGTCCGATGCACTGCTGTCGCTGCTGCTACTGCTGCTGCTGTCGTCGCCGCTGCTCCCGCTGCTGTCGCTCTCGCTGCTTCCGTTGGTACTCCCGCTGCTGCCGCTACCGCTGGTGCTGCTGCCACTGGTGCTGCTGCTGCTGCTGCTCCGCTTCGCGAGGCCTAGCACATCGTGGCCCGTGCCCAGCCGGTTCTGCGGCAAGGTAATGGGGCAGTGCCACACCGAGATCACCAAATTGCGCCACATTTTGGAATGGGAAGTCTGATTTTGGTCACCATGAGATCTAAGTTGCCTCTCGCGGAGCGAGCCAAGGTTGCCTTCGCAGATGGTTAGGCTGCTAACACGAGCTAAATGATCTGTCTGCTACGAAGCATCATTCGCAGGCGGAAATACAATAAGATAGCTCCGTACATTGACACATTGTCTGCCGACAGATCGGCAAAATAGTTGATAGTCTGCTACAAAACGAGTGCCGTGGCAGAGCGAGATCGAACACAGGGTGAAATTGTGATTGTCTGCTCTTTCAAGTTGGAGGTCCTTGACAACCCGCACTTCGCTCAGCGCATTGTTTTGTGCCGTACACGTTTTGTCCTGTACACAAGCCGACGTCGATTGGTGGATGAAGAAGTACCAAGGACAAGCACATCAGAGGCCACGAGATCTCTCTAGCCATTTGCATACGAAATGTTTTCACCAAAATGGTGCCGGAGTGTAAACTCGCAAATGGGTTGAAAATGTCTCAGTTGTTGATTATGCACAAGCTGTGGCGCCTCGTCCAAACAGGAGCCGAGAGCGCTCTCGCTTTCACCTAATTCAAAACTGGACCTCAGGCAACACAAAGCTGGTATGGAGTCAGACTTATCCCAGCAATAGGTGAAACCGAGGTTCAACCTGCAAGAGCATGCACTACTTGCGTCACATTCAATTTATTTCCAACACCTTGTTCCAATGCAGGAATTATAGAGCCCCACTGACTCGCGAGACATACAGGACGGTTACACTGTCACAGTAGCCAAGTGGAGTACAGAAAGCCTTTTGCTAAAAAAATTAATTTAGGTTGTTTTTGTGTGCCAAATCAGCACAATGGGCACCTGGCACTCTCCAATGAAGGACAGAATTAATTCAGACCACAGAGGGATCATTAGACATTCAAACAAAAGCTCAATTGCACAACATCTTCACTGCAGCAAGTCTTGTTCAAACTATGGGCACCTCAGTCAAGATTTGAACCCACCAACTGGGAGGTCACATACCGACTCATACTCCAAAGCAAGTGCCTTTCAGAATTTTTATGAACTGGCTATTGAAGTCATTGAACTGAAAGTATCGAGCATAACCAGTGACCCAAGGTATTATACTCTGTTTCAGCATAACTTGGCAAAGCATGCGACAGCTTTCTGCAGGAGGAAAGCACTCAGACTGTGTTGTCACACGCCCCGCCCGGATCACTGGCACCGTGGCTTTCAATGTTTGCCAAGTTATGGTGAAACGGAGTACATAGTATGCCACAGGGGTGTGCACTAACATTACCACGCATCCATTTCAATGTTGGGGTATCTGGTTTCAGATCGCATGGTGCAGACAGACGATAATCAGGGTGACCAAAACACTTTCGAGGGTCACAAGAGCCGGTCACCGACGGCCAGATCAGTATAAACCTTACATACTCGGCGGTACAATCTACGCGATTACAACGAATGTTAAGCAATGTTTTCCCACCATAATTCCTGGCAGACTTCAAATGCAGCTGTCAAAACAGCTTAGCAAGTGGCACAATACGAAATGGCTTCCAACTTGCCAGTAGGAAGTATTCCCACGCCATCATAATCCGGTGCAGCCCTAACGTTGTGGGCACAAAAGCGACATGTAAGGAATGAATTCCAGCCTGCTACGTGTCTTTATGTTCGCGCTGGTCAGTTTATTGTGCGCATGTTTCTGTGCTGGTGTACCCTCTCAGTTGCTCTGCTTGCTTTCATGTCCATACGCTCCATTAAGCGAGCCTGAGCATGGAAGGCGGCTTTCCGATCACACGCTTTCTCGCGAAACTGAAGTCCTAACGAGGCGGCCGTCCTTGCACAGAATGCTGGCAAACTGCACTTGAAGCTCAAGAAGTAGCCAAAGCTAGAGTTAATTAGAATCAAGGATACCCTCGTGCACGAGACAACTGTGATCATATGCTGGCCGCACATACTTGCAGTCATTTACGGTTTTCGATCGCAAAGTCTATGCCGTCTATTGATTGAATGCATTCCGTAGAACATATCTAACAGAGCAGATTATAAATCGTAGACTTTGGTATCCCCACAAACAATAGCTGTGACAAGCATTTGAAAAAGAACTAAAACCCGAAATGATTTGGTTGGGTTCCACAAAGTTACCCGCAATTTCAATTGAGTTACACTGCAAAATTTAAGCATACTCAATAAAAAATTTTGCAATCTATTAACATACAAGAATGGCCAGAGCCACATGTCAGAAACTGGTGGCTTCAGAAGGCCGAACTGCTTCACGTCTATCGATGCCACTCGGCCGAACAACGATCAATATTGTTATTTTCTCCGTCGCTTATGTATAGCATTTGGGGCAAAATAAAGGCTTATTGAAGCAAGTGATTCCCATCATTCGCTTGTTTCTGAAGCGAAAGAGGCAAAGCTAACTATACACAACCCATGCAACAAACTGCAGATTTGACCACACCAATAAAGGCATTTCTCTTCCCTTAAATGCAGCACTTCCAAGCTAGGGGATACCAACAATAGGGAGCTTAAAGCTTGGCTCCTCGTGTACTAGTTAATAGGACTACTTGGTGCAGATGTGAGCTGGACGGCCTGAATTGCACAATTTAACTACTTTTGCTGCTCGTTTTCTGGATGACAGCAGCAGCAATGACTGTGGAAGGTGTTGTATAATTTGATTTGAGCTCCCACAGCAATGTTTCAGCTCTGAGGCCCGAAATATGCACTGCGGCCTGCAGCAGCTTCTTTGAATGGCACCAGCACCACAGAAGCAAACTTGCAGACAGACAAAAAGAAAGTTAGCTACAGTGCTCTAACTTGCAGACGTGATAGCGGTGGGTACGGGGCACACATTTGAACTTCTGTATTTTTTCATTTAGTGTGATCAGGAATAGCCACAAATGTTTCAAACTTTTATTTTAATTTTTGCATTAATTCCAAGTTAAACAATTAAATCTCTAACTTTTTCTAACAACTTTTTTTCTTCCAAAGAGCATTTTGATTATCACAATAAGCTACAAGCAGATAAGTTATAAACAACTTGTCCATCTTTCAGAAATTACTTTTCCCCATGGCGAGGAGAGTTCCCACTCCCATATTCCCCAAGTCAAACATACAAAGGTTTCTAAATGCCCATTACCCCTTAATAGCGGAATTTCAAATGGCGCAGAGACTGCTACAGAATTGTCCAGCTGCATATTCAGGAGCAACCAAGTCATTTCTAAATCTTGCATGCTATCCTCAAAACACTTGTGGCGGCAGCAGGAAGGAAATTACTGTAATAAACTTGGTGTTTATTATGTGTAATGACTGTTGTTCCGATTATAGTCATGATAGAGTAACCTCGGGACAACCCTAGGGAATTTTTCCAAGCGATCAGCTAGACGATGTGCAGTGCACGTACGAAGCGCGAGACACATGCGCGAAAAATCTATCCAATCAGACGTTTGATCCGGCAATACGACTGCCCGATCTGAAAAGTTTGGTTGCTTCAGAGGTTGGAACGGCGATGCGGCATGCGTCCAACATGCCAGATAGTTTCGCACGGCAGACTGATTGTCGGAAGCGCTCAGCCAATGATAGCAAAGCTAGCGCGAACGTCATGACGTACGACTATCATGCAATTAAATGCAAAGGTGCAAGCGAGCTGGACAAGAATGACAATAATAATCCCTGGAGAAGGGGAACAAGAGAGACAAAGGACAAACACAAATCTCCAAACACAGCTAGTTGACTGGTGTGCAACCGAAAAAATCCGCCTGGTCCGGTTATCGAACCCGGGACCTTTCCATTTCCAGTGGAGCGCTCTAGCGACTGAGCTAACCAGGGGTTAGACGTCGGTAGAGCAAACGGGTTTTATCAGCTGCCACCAGTCTAACATCAACAAGGGTGAAGCTTGCAATTTAAGGATATGATTATAATGCAATTAAATGCAAAGGTGCAAGCGAGCTGGACAAGAATGATGAAAATAATCCCTGGAGAAGGGGAACAAGAGGGTAGAGTGCTCCATAGGAAATGGAGAGGTCCTGGGTTTGATAACCGGACCAGGCGGATTTTTTCGATCGCGCACCAGTCAACTAGTTGTGTTTGGAGATGTGTGTTTGTCCCTTGTCCCTCTTGTTCCCCTTCTCCAGGGATTATTTTCGTCATGATGACGTACTGGGTCTGGCGGGACGAACAAGAAAACGGGGCTGACCTGGGGTGCTATGTTGCACGTTTTGGACTCCCATGAGACTTGGGAGAAGGAAGTGACGTCAACGACTAGAGCAAACGCAGATTGGGTGTTGACAGAAGAAAACAAAACCAACATCCAATCTGCATTTGCTGTGTTGTAGAAGTCACTTCCTTCTCCCTAGTCTCCTGGGAGTCCAAAACGTGCAATATAGCCCCCCTGGGCGACGGGAAGCCGGACGCGTGAATTCCGTTGACCCATTCGAGAAAGATGGCCCCAGCAAAGAATGCACGCGCTAGCGAGAAAGAGTTCGTAATTTCGCTCGTGCGAGCTGAACCATCAATCTGGGACCAAAGACCTACCCTGTATACGAACGCGGACCTCCACAGGAGCACTTGGACCTCCTGGACGGAGCCGAAAGGATCGTCGTGTGGTATGCAAGGTCGGAGCGTGTGTCTCAAACTGTCGCGTGCGGCAATTCGGAGCGGCGTTCGAACTGTCGGATCGGACGATTCTGCCGTCCATGTGTCTCGCGCTTGAGACGCGATCGGAGCCCGGACCGGCAAAGTAGATTTCGGCCACGTTTCGACAACCTTAATTCCTGCTGATTAAGTACACACTTTATATAGCTCGATAGTCGTAGTTCCTCGTATCACACATAGGAATCGGATGTACGGTGAAGGGAGAGAAGAGGAGGAGAAGAGAAGAAAAAAAAAAACGTTTTAGGCTTAATAGGGACGCCTTCGTTTGCAGGCTGCGTGGGTATACCAGCAAGCTCAGTTATTTCTTACAGAGAGCAGGCATATCACAGCTTTGAAACACGTTCAACCGATCGTCGATGCTGCTTGTTGCTTCATTCTTCCCCTCAGCCATGAAACGAAGCTAATTGCACCGGCGCGTCGCGAGCAGAGAACACAAGCACTCCGGGGTGGCAGAGTACGCAACGGAGCAAATCAAGGGACATAAAAGTCGCCTCGTACGATCGCGAAAACATCCACGATACTTACGAAGATCAGGACGTCTTCCGAAAGCGGAAAATACGACGGCAAAGCCTACGCTAGTGAAACGATGAAAGCCGCTGAAATTAGCACTAGCGTGCAACGTTAATCTTCGATGTAACGTACGCTCTCGATCGACGACCGCGGTTACGCCGGAAAAATGGACCAGGCGGCGTGGTGATCGGCAGCGATCACAGTTCTCAGGCTTTAAGTTCCGCTAGGGCACTAACAGCGCTACGATCGCCTCCTGCCCTTGCTTGTACAGCTTTTATCAGCTTTTACCTTCCACAGTTGCACCGTTGCACTTTCCTTTAGCCGCGCCGGCGCGCCGGCCGCGCTAGCAGTGCTGCATTCCAACAGAGCGCTGCACGTGCGAGCCCGCGAGCCACACGAAGGTGCCCCGGCGGAGAGGACGAGATGCCTTCAGCACCGTCCCTCGTCCCCAAGGCAAGCGAGAACCTGACACGAGCACCTTCACTACTGAACAAGACCAGAATAATGAGACCCGACGTACTGTCCGAACAAGTGCCCAACCGCAATGTCGAGAACTGCAACCGTACCGCTACAGATGCACGGCAGGACACCACGTGCCACGAGCGTGAAGGAATCTGAATGCGTGCAGCGATCCATTAGGTAAGCAGCGTGTTTCGGTTTTTACCACCCCTCCGTCGTGCACCGTCGTGCAATTTAGAGCCCGACAGTGCCGTTTGTTCTGCTCAGAATAGAAAAGCCTAAAAAATAAACACGGAGGCGAAGACCTCTTAACTACTTGCCCGTCGGTTGACGAGCTTCAAGGTGTATGTTCAGCGAGCATGGACAAAAAGTTTTCTAGTGCAACAGTAAAGCAGCAGAAAGCACTATTAGTATAAACCTTGCAACTCCAGTGCAAGCCATGACTGGGCATCTTAAACCAGGGTGAAGTGGCAGGCAAACCAAATAAATACAGTGACAACACAAACACAAAGCTAGGTAGCAGTATACTACTTGAGCAGATTTGTTTCATCTTTCTCGTATGTTGTCTGGATAGGCTTTGCACCTGTCTAGACAAGGCCTCCAAGGATCACCAATTTGAATGTAAACACTAATGAACAGAAGCCAGAGACTGGGCACAAGCAGGACAACACATGCACAAAAAGGTCTCCATACCTTGTACCCCTGTGTTGTCCTATCTGTGTCGATAGCCTCTGGGTACTGTTCATCACGAATAACCTGATTTGTTGATGCCTGTGCATGTTTTTGGAACCACTGGTGCACAAACTTCCACCCTCAACGTCCACTTGTCCTGAATGCTTAAAGCTAAATATTGTCTTTTGAAAACACAAATCCAACAGGTGCAGTAAAGGCTGCAACACCCCCCCTCCTTTTTCCTTAAAAAAAAAAAAAAGAAAAAAATTTTTGTACAATGTATACATGGCTTGCATTGACGTCACATCAGCCGCAATTGCTCCGGACCATGTTCCGGTGCCTGTAACTTCTGCAGCATACATTTGGCACCATTAGATTTCTTTTTCTCGGCAAGCCTTGCTGAGGACTAATTTGATGGTGCGAAATGCATGCTGCAGAAGATACGGACACAGAAATGGTGCGGTGCCACATGATGTTGTGTGCAGTACAGGCGAAGGCAATGCCAGCCGAGGGGAGAAAGGGCAAGGGGAGGAGAAACCTTCTCTCCTGTAACGTTCCTAGTGCTCTCCCTTTTTTCCCTCGCCCTCCATTGCCATCTTCTCCCATTCCGCCTTCCTAATGCACACCCTTTCTCTCTTCGCCTGCCGTTGCCTACACTGCACGCAACTAGTGGCACGGAGTACAGTCGGTGACAGGTCAAGAGTTCAGGGGAAGCTCCTCCCACCTCTTCTCACTTTAGCAAAGTGAATGCTGGCGAGGAGGTCACCTCCTCTCCAGCGTTCGCTCGGCTAGAGGAAAGGGTTGGAAGGAACTTCCCCTGAACTCTTGACCTGTTACTGACTGTAGAATAGTATGTCAAGACTCCTCTCAATTTTCACTGCAGTCATGCACACAGAGAAATCAGACTCTAGAAGTCACTCAATTTTTTTGCGCTTGTTTTTCTCTCAGCAATTGCGCATTCGGAGAAATCGGACTCTAGAAGTCAGTTTGTTTGTGCTGGTTTTGCTCCCAGCGACTGTGCATTCATTTTCATTAATTGTTTTTTGTTCACGGATTTTATTATTGTTATTAAGACCTACAAAGATGACTTACTACTTTTTGAATATTCCAAGCTCTGTGTTGTTATTGCATATGACAGCTCTGGAATAGATGGTGGGAGAGCCCTGAATGGCCTTTTCAACTGGCGGTTTTAAGGCGAAAGCCTTACTTGTCCCATTGCACAAAAAAGCGGCGGCATTGTGCCCAAAAGATGGTCACACCATTACGTCGTCAAGCACGCGCCTCAGGAATAAAACAAAGAAAAGCACAGCAATGCGGATGCTTCATCACGGAAGCCTGCAGGGGCGCTCAAGGTCAAAATGAACGCACCTCAGAAATAAAAACACAAAGGAAAGCACAGCAACGCAGATGCTTCATCATGGAAGCCGGCGGGGTTCGCCGCGCCTGCGCAGTGGGGGAGCAAAGATGTCACCGCCGGAGCCCGTGTGAAAAAGGAAAACGTGGCGCGCTGCTTGTAAGAATGCGCTGTGTGTAGGAATGCTTTCACATTCCTACACGTAAGCAGTCTTAAGTGTCTCTGCCGAATTTTTTTGTTTGATTTAAGAAAAATGTGCATTTTGAGTTGCAAATATTTTTTCTCGATCCTGGGATCACCGATTCACACACTCTGCATCAAAGAGAAATGAACAGAACTTACTATGTCACCTTGTACTTTTGGAGCTGCTCGATGACACTGTGGCACAGAGCTTGTCTCTTCTTTACCGTCCAAGTTAACATGGCAAGGCGTACCACACTGCATTAGTGTCTCCGTAAAGGAGTTAGGATTGGTCAGGCTGCTGCTTGCTTGAGGCCGATTACCAATCGGGTTTTCTATGCCAACTTCCAACGATGATAAGGCTCTGGTAGAAGGCACTTTTTCAAGCTCTTGGCTTTGGGGACAGTTCGAGCACCTTGATGTGTTGTCAAATGAGGCCTTGCCCTCTGTCATACAGGCACCTTTGATTTCTTGACATCTTTCGCTCAAACTCACGTTACAGCTGGGTAGCGTTTCATCGAGATCCTCTCTCAACATACTGGGTTTTAGGTTCCCAGGTAGCCTCTCGTCACCTTCACAAGTACCAGGACAGGGTTGACATTCGACGTCATGCCCTTGTTCTGCTTGGACATCTCGATTCTCCTCGGTTGTCTTTGTGTGCAACTCTGTAATTGGTGGGCAATGCATGCTACCAGCTAGCTGTGATGTTTCTGGACATTTGAGTCCAGCATTACGGTCTTCCCTTGATTCTGATGATGAAGGCAAATTAAGTGTTTCCAAAATTGAAGTACTCTCAACAACCTTTTTCTGTTCTGATATCTCCGTCACACTTGGAGTTTGGTCCTTGCATGTCACACTCACTAGCACTGGTCGTTCAGTACCTGTACTGTCAGGTGTGGAGGATATTCGTTCATGTAGAATTCTGCGACTGTAATTGGGCGTCTTACAAGCTTCGTATGTCGAATCACACCTTTCAGTGTTGGAAGGTGTAGGATCTGACACTGAAGAAAGCACGTCCAGTTGAGAAGAGTCTGCACTTCCCAAGCTTGATATCTGTGAAGGTTTGTCTGTCGTTACACCTGTAGCCTTAATGGCTGCTGCACCGGGTAAATTTATGTTGATGTGACTCAATGCTTGAGGTTCCTTTGGATGGGATTCTAGGGGTACATTCCGCATTGCCAACTCAAAGGCAGAGCTTGTGGTCACAATGTTCGAGGCAACATCTGCGCTGTTTGGGCATCTGGTGGATACAGTGCAGTCATAAGGATGTTCTGTTTGTGCTTGCTCCTTATGCAGCAAAGCCATACTGCCCATGCTGTACAGCAATTCTGGTGCATTCGATATTTCAGTGTTCAGTTGACTAGTAGTTTCAGTAATGTCACGGGCACAAGCCGCAGACGTAACAGCGAATGTTTTGGGCATGCTTGCTATACAATGTTGAAGTTGGCTTACGGCTTCAGCGCATGCTTCTACAGTGCCGGTAATTGCGATGTCTGCTGTCTCCCTATTAGATTCGGCTTGAAAAGCACTGCATTCATCAGCTGTAGCTGTAGAGCTTGAGAGGTGGTTGTGTGCTTCTCGAACAGCAGTTGATTCCTCTTTGTCAACCTCAGTGTCCTGCTGACAGGTAGCACTTGTGTCTGCTGTCGTTGCTTGAAGAGTTGCCGCAAGAGCTGCACTGGCTTGGTCTGTGACTGTGGGCTCTTCCTCTGGTTGCACTTGAGACCTGGAGGTATCAACTGGTGCCTGATTTGAGAACTGGTAGTGGCCCCCTTCAATAACAGTAGCAAACTTTGGACCTTGTTGGCTAGTAACATCGCTCTCCATAATGGTTGCCTGAAATGTTGCAATAGAAGCTTTGCTTTTAGTAGTGTCTGTGGGCTGAAATCCTGATTGCACACAAGAAAGCTGGCATACATCTCTTGAGTGGTTCTGCATCTGGCACTGCATTCCGTCAGTGACAGACGCCTCTTTCTTTACAGCCTCTGTGTCACATTGGCTGCTGGAAACATCACTTTGTATGGTAATTGACTGATGTGTTGAAATCAGAGAGTCACCGACAACGGTGTCTTCAAGCTGATCTTCTGATTTTACTTTAGAAGCCTCACAAGCAACAAGGGTAGCATCTGTTGATGAATGATGTTCTGTATGTAACTGCATTTCTTCAGTGGCTGCCAACCCTTTCTCTGAAATTTCTGCATCTTGCTGACAAGCTGCACCAGTTTCCACAATGTTTTCTTGAACTATCATAATTGGAGCTTCACTGGTTGCAGTTGCAGTATCCATGGGCGGATACTTTGGTTCCACTTCAGAAAGCTTGCAGGCATCAACTGTAACATCTGTTGACGTACGCTGGATTTCTACTGTGGCCGTGGGCTCTCTCTTTGCAACCCCCACGTCTCGCTGATTGGCAGCAGCAATCTCTATGTTTGTAATGGGGATAGCACTGATTGCACTAGACCTGTGCTCATAATCCGATTCAGAAGCACAAGAATGGCACCGCATTCCTTCGGTAACTGCCCCATTTTCCTTTACCATCTCTGTGTCCTGGTCTGTCTGTAGCACGGTAGTTAAAGTTTCAGTAATTTCCGACTCTTTTTCTGATTCTGCTTGAGAGGCCTTGCAAACGTCTCTTGCATCATCCACTGATATATGGTTTTTGAGCTGGTCTGATGGTAGGTCAGTGGTAGATGCTGCTTCTGTGGCAATGCCCATGTAGCATTTGCTAGTATAGCCAGTCCCTCTCATGGCCACTGAAGGTGTTGAAGAATCTTCTAATTTCACAGAATCAAGATGGTAAGCATCACTTGCTGCATCCACTGAAACATGGCCTTGATATTGGTACTGCATGCTTTCAGTGCTAGTCGCTTTTTCCCTTGCAGTCCGTCCACTTTCCTGCATGATATTGCACGTTTCTACTGTTGATGCTGGTTGGGGCATGGTGCTTTCACAGATTGTTGTGTCTATGGGTTCTTCTGACCCCACATGACAAGTTTTGAAAACATCAGTTCTATCATGCACCAATGCATCATCTTGGGACTGTGCTTCTTCAGTGGCAGCCGCTTCTTTGGTTATTTCCAGCTCCCTAATAATGTGAAGGTCTTCTTTGTTTGCCTGATGCATGGACGCTTTATTGACTACAGTACACTCTTTTTCCATATTCTCCCGAGGGGACACATCTATTGATGCATAGTCTTGCGACTGGTACTGAGCTTCTTCAACGGCCTCTTTGATTACAACATCTGCACCCTGTTGCCTGGTGATGTCAGTCTCTGTCATTAACACATCAGGCTCTGAACCTGCGATCTCAATGGCTGTAGGGTGTGTAGATGTTTCTTCCAACTCTGCTTGGGAAGTGACACAGGTATCATTTCTTGGATCCACAATTGTGAGGGCTTGGAACTGTACTTCTGCAATGCTAGTTGTTTCCTCCCTTTTAGTCCTTGTATGCTGTTGAGTATTCACACAAGCCTCTAGTGTGGTTCTTTCAAGCATCTTGAAAGGAGCTACAGAGATTTGTGTTGTAGAATCCTCTTCTGGTAGTACCTCTGAAATTTTAAGATCATCAACTGTAGCATCCACTGGTGGATAGCCTTGAGGCCGGTTGTCTCTCTCCTGCCTTGCTAATATGCCAGGTTCCACTGTGTTTGCCTGGAGTTCTGGGGTTGAAGCTCTAATTGATGCACTGTGCATATACTCAGCTTCCAATGTAATCTGGGGAGACATACAGACATTTATTGAAGCATCCACTGGTGCATTGTTTTCCAAACAGCTTGGCATTCCTTCAGTAGTGGTTAACTCCTCTCTTGCAACATCTGTCTCCTGTGGACTAAGAGCTTTAGTTGTTTCAAAAGTCTGGTCTCTTCGTGAGTCCACTTGAGGTGGCTTGCAGATATCATTTGTCAGATCTATTGATGCATGATGCTGAATCTCGTACTGCATGTCTTCAACAGATTCCTTTACTCTTGCGACCTCTGTATCCTGTTGTTTTGTGAGGCTGGTCCCTGCTGTAGTTGTTTGAAGTGATGTAGTCACTTCACTGACTGTGACTGTGGGCAGTTCTGCTTCTAGTTGAGGCTTGCAGGCATCAATATAATATGTATGCTGTACAAAACACCCTTTTTCACTGGCAGCTGCTTGTTTTTGTGCAGGCTCCGTATCCTGTTGTTTGGTAATATTGGCATCTTGTCTGCTTGCCTGTGATTGGCTAATGGAAGCCACATGTGTCTCCAGGTGCTCTTCCAAACTTCCTTCTATGCTTAGGGTAGTTCCCAGTGCTTTTCCTCCAACGGGGTCTTCACTGAGATTCGAACAAGGTGCCGAGGCACCAGAGGGAGGATCTGAAGATCTACGAACTGTGCCACTGTCCACTGTAACCTCAGGGAGTGAAGTCGGAGCTTCAACTTGCACTTCATCTGCTCCTACTGTAGAATATGCCAGTTCTGCAACGTAGGGCCTCTGCTCAAGTTGGTGCAAGCAGGTTTTTGGAGACGCATCGTGAGTGTGCTCATCATAGTTCTTGTCTAACAGTGCAACTTCCAGTTTTTCATTTGGATACTGTAGCATTCCTGCTAAGTTGCCAGTCGAAGCTGTCTCAGATAGCTGGGTTGAGCACTCTGCAGTGGAAGGCAGGCAGCTGTCAGCATCTGCAAGTGCTTTATCACTGCTCTTTTCCGATTTTTCGTTAGCTGTTGTTAGTGACAAGCTGACTTCATGTGAATGAAGGTCAGACACTTGAAAAATGAAAGCTTGTATTTTGACTTCTTGATTTGTTGCATTATTGTCTTCTTGGCAGGAAAATGACCTCATAGTTGAACTGTCTGAAGCTTCTGAGAAGGTTGACGTCACGGGACGGAGAGCTGCAACGGTTTCAGATTGAATGGGTGGTGCTGTGGTATGGGTTGCTTCCTCCGTTTGTAATGGAGGCTGAGCAGGTTCGTCCAAGAGAACCTGCGTAGCAGGAGTTGACGGCTTCTCTCCATTAGAAACTTGAAGTGAGGAGTTCACTTCTGCGGCCACTGGTTTGAAACCTGGTCTTTCAGATGCTGCTCCCACTTGGCATTCGCTCAATACTACAGCTGCTGCTGAACTGTCTTCTTTCTGTTTTTCAAGCGCTGCTGTGTAATGAGGCTCTTCTGTGGAGGTCACTAAACATTGCTGACCCTCGTCAGCTGGGGCCATCCCACGGTCTTCACTCAAAGGTATTACGTCCGTAAGGACAGCACGAGAAGTTTCTACCATTACTTGCTCAAGTTCTTTGTGAGTCTCATCCTCTCCGACTAAATGCTCTTGGAGGTTGTCACATCCCAGGAGCTGCGAGTCTGCTGCTTCTGGAACTCTTTCAAGTCCTGCTACGCAATCCTCTATAGCATCTTCGGGCTCAATTGACATCTCCTTCAGCAGGCTATCAGTTGCATTGTCCACTTCAAGTTCATCAACTAGGTTTGGTGCAGTGTCAAGTGCAACATGACAGTGTACAGCCGCAGCGGGGATGTTGACCGCCGTTTCCAAGATGGACTTCACTGCACTTGTCATTTCAGCTACGGTTAGAGGACCCCGCACAGGTGGCTTGGAACGGATTCCAGTCGCCGATCTTATACTTGAATAGTCCAGCAAAACGCTGTGTTCTTCAGTGTCAGAAGTGCTGACTTTGCTCACATCTTCCAGTTCATCGGGACGTGGACCAGGTGTGGAAAACGGCATCAAAATAGTGTCAGGTATACTCCCCTGGTTTTGGGAGTGTTTTTGTTCTTTTAATGTCCTAGAAAACTCAATAGGTGGTTTGTCTTTGTTGAAAACAATGCAAGACTCTCTTTCAGTGGCCATGTTGAAAATGTTCTTGTTGTCTTTGGAACATGGTGCAACATTTGGACTCTCTGAAAATACTTGGGAGCTTTCCCAGGATACCAAGGCGGCATTTACAGCCTCCTGGGAGTCCTGCACATGAGTCGCAACAGGTATTTTGTCTTGACTGGACTCTTGGCCAGGTTCCTCGGAGACAAACTGCATATCTGCCGAGGCAGGGAATGAACATGTCGGTGTACTTTGCTGGATAAAAGGCACTTGGGTAGAAGGAGGAGCTCCCAGATCAGATGAAGTGGTTGCACTCACAACTTCCTTGGGGACGGAACTGTCAGTCGTATTTACAACATTGCACTCTAACGTGACATTCGTTGCTGGCATTTCTGAATGCTCAAGCACTTGGCCACTTTCTGCTCTCGTGTGTCGAAGAACATGCTTGCTGATTTGTATCACTGATCCCGTGTCCCTAGCCTCTTGTGGAGCTGGTGTGACGTCCCTACTTTCAGGCAGATCCAACACAATGGTACCGGTTTTGGGTGGAGCTCTAGGAGGCTTCCGATGGGCACGCACTGTGTGTGTTGTGGAATCATTCAGACTCTTTTCCAGAGGCGCGTTGCTTTTCCGCGCCTCCGAGTCCCTTTGTTTTGAGCGTGGTCTCGCCTCTGGAACGGGCCCTTCTTGAGCGTCCAGGCTCGGCTGTACCGTCCCAGACTCCTGGAGGTCGCTTGCTGTCAGCTTGTTTGTGTCATCTCCCGTGCTGGTTAGACTCCCTTCCTGCGGCAGGTTCTTTGCACTCTCATCACTGGAGGACTGCCTCCTGCGCGATGGATACCGTGGAGTCTGCAGTTGTTCCAATGGTCGCAGGAGCACAACTGGTGCCATGGCCGCCTTCCGTGGTGACCGGACGACACGTTGGAGCATTCCAACAGCACTGTGCTCTTCCTTGGGGCCCTGCAACCGCTTGCAAGCATCCTCCTCACTCTCGGAAGGCAAACGCGTTGGGCTCGGCTCTGCCAACTGTTTCCTTTTTGGGGGATGGTCGGTGGGCGAGAGCGTGTGGCGCAGCTGTCGAGGCTCGCTTCTCGCTTGGCCTCTCGCCTTGGGCTTTCTTTTTGGTTCAATTTTGACTCGAATGTGCAGCTCGCTTTTGAGCTCAGTGTTATGCTCAATCTTGACCTCGCTCTTGAGGTCGCCTTGCCGCGTGGAGAGGCGGGTCCGGCGGGCTTCGGTGGGAGCGTCTGCCTCGAGCGGGGGCTCTCCGCGAGTGGGACTCTCGAGCAGGCCACCCGGATCGATGGACGAGGGGCACTGGCGGCCCCGTTTGCGCTCCCAGCTCTCACGCTTTGCCCGCTCTCCGACGGCCACTGGGAGCTGCGGGCCTTTCTGCCGAGGAGCTGTGGGGGCTTCCCTTGTGGCACTGGGTGCCTCTGGAGTGCTGCCAGATGCCTCTGCAATGAAACAAAGGACCAAGGTATAGGTGGGCCCTAACCCCTGGGGTGTCGGTCCCCGAGTACTGCTGTTTGTGCGCAGCAATCGAGGCTGCCCAATGTATACATAGCTTGCACTCGCGTCACATGTTAAGACAATAAGCGAGCTTCTGCTGCGTTAACAAGGCGCTTCTGGCCACCAGAAAAAAGGGCGGACTGATGTCACATATAAGCCACGTATGCTGTGACCGTGCTATCTAGGTCTGTCAGAGGCTCAACAGTGGCTCATGGCAGGGGAGATGTATGTCTGCCATCTCTCGGTTGGCTTGGGCACTTGTCGCTCATTCAGTTGTTTTTGCGGTCTGCAAAGCCCTTACTAGTCAGTGAAGCCAGGCAATACACCACTTATTGTGTCATATGCAGAAAACATCACATTTGTGCGAGGTCTCTTTTGTACATGATAGTAAAACAAATTCATATCACACTAGGAATTAGCAGTACTCGTTTATTCTGTCATCATAATAGCCCAATACCGCCCGCCATAGTTGGGGTCCCCAATCACTTCTGCCAGTCCATGAGGGGTCCCAAACATCAGTGACTGAAAACATTTGAGAGTTTTTCGTCCAAATGAAATTTGCATTGTCCGCGAGACCTTATTATTGCATATCCTTAGGCTCCAGACTCGATCATTGCTCCAAGATACATGCCCTCGACGATGTCACAACTCAATGTCACCCTCTGCGTAACACTTGCAGCATGAAGAAATTTCAATTAAAAGAATTTACTCAATTGCCAAAATATTTGTGAACTTGACTAATGTAAAATGTACTTTTTGACCACAATACTTTTTTCCTCAGAGACTCGCCTCTGAAGAAGCTGAATCTCTTGGTGAAATATTGGTTGCCAAGAAGGCTCCGGAGAAGTTTAAAATTTTTTTTTTCTTTCCTTCCTTTAAGTTGGCTCATTCTGATGTTGCTGGCTTCCATTACCAGCAGTAATTTTCTCTACCAGGACTAACACACCCTTTCCTGGCATATCTTTTCATGGTGTTCCAACCAGTTTCAAGGCTCAATTACAAGTATCGATAACAAAAATGCTTGACAATTGCAGAAAGAGAAAAAAAAAATTAATTTGGCCAGATTGTTGATGTTTATCGTACTGAGAAAAACCCCGAGAAAAAAAAAAAAAAAAGGACAAATTCAATATTTCAGTAATGCTTACAATGCTTCCTAAAGCAGCTGCTGCAACTGTTACTTAGTATAGGCATGCCGTAAAGAGTATCCCAGTTATGTATATGCATTCCTTGTTATGCAGGTGACCTTTTTCTAGTATTCATGGTGACTTACATGTCACAACAAACTATAAATTGACAACACACTAATTGACCACACACATTGACACTATGTAATCAAAGGTGGTGTGCTTCTGATATAACTTTTCTCCACGTCATGACACTGGACTCGTCTCCCATGAGCATGTGTACATGTAGCAACCGCTGAAACAGCGATGCGCTACTTTCTGACATAGCATTAAAATTATGCTTCTCTTGCATTATTTAAACACAAAATGACATTATGTTTCTACATTTTAAATGCTTACGAATGCTCACACCCTCCCCTCCCCTTCCGAGACCACTAGCCTCTCGAAAACGATCCGCAGCAAACCGGACCAGTGCCCAATCCAGTTTTACGTTTCACGCAAAAATACTGACCCTTCGATTAATTGTAGCAATAATCCGGATCAATACTTGCAACTAACGTTGCAGCGACCGACAATTTGTCAGCAACCCCAGAATTGCAGATAAAATTGCCCCATCGACTACTACGAAAAAAGTAGCTGGCTCTGCTATAGTAGCAGCCAATGTCTTCTTTTTATTTCATTTTTCTCCATTATTAAACAAAAAAAGAAAAGGAGCGCAAAGGCGTTAAAGTAGTATGTGGACCAAACAACAGCGTGGCTTCACCAAGTAACCGCATCGCTTTACTGCAATCTCACTGCAAGCAAGTTGGTGCAGCTGACTGATGGCGGCACTGTGGTAATAATCTTCATGTTGGCGTAATATTCTATACACAACCGCAGGCAGTCTGCAGCACACGCACTCCACAACGCATTGGTGGCGGTGACGCTGGTGCGGTCATGCGTTTGTTCAGTCCTCGAGTACCTGAGTGAGTTTTTAACCCGTTAATGCCACCAAGTGGCAATGCTAATAACTACGGCACGCTTGGCCCTGCCAGGCACGATGACATTACGGGAACACCAGATCTCCCGAGACGAACTGCACGTTCTTGGATCGTAGATTCTGAAGTGCTTGCCAAAATCCGGCATTAACAATTAAAAATATTGCAATCCGCTCAAAGTGCAGGCATGCGATTATCATTTACAGGGCCTATTGAGCCTATTCAAATTATTTCTGAACGTTCTGCATATATATAAAGTTTCGGTTGGGTATCCTTTTAACGGCAGAGTGGAATAATTGCCCAGTTCGTCATGTTGTTGGCTTTTCCATTTCCGATCAATGAACGATGGTGCATGCAAATGTGTTCATCCTTCAATGGAGCCATCTTTATAGTGCATAATATCAATATGATCATTTGGGTCTGCAGAGAAGTAAAAGTCGGCATGTAAATAAAATGCCAGTGTTGCTGGACAAAGCTCATGACTCCATTGAGCAGACAGATTTTTTTTTGCAAGGTTTCCAATATCATGGAGCACAAATGAGCAGATGAGTAAACCATATAGAGTGCCACGATTGTAAACAGCAAATATTCATATGGCCACAGTGTAGTCTGAACCCTTGATTTGTCTCGAACCAGAAAACTGCTTGCTGCCTAAAATTGAGTGGTTGTCTATTAAAGGTCTGCAATATTAACCTTTAGACATTTTAGAAGGTGGTGAACTGCATAGTACAAAGATGGCCACTTCATAAGAAAATGCAGTCGGTTTTCGAGGCAGTTTTGCATCATCAAAAATTGGCGTTTTGGCACAGTGGGGCCGTCAAAGCATCAGCACACCTTCATTCAATCTTCAAAGCAGTTAACTGAATGGACTGGCCAGTAATTGCACCGAAGGCTGTGTTTGCGCGCTGGCTTACGTACGTAGCTCTGTGAGTCGGCGCTCCTTGAGCTGCATTGCGAAAGTCTGTTGTTGGGCAGCCAAGTACTGCCGCACGAAATCATTCTGACCGCCCAGTTCATCCTGAAGCTGCAATCAGTGGGGCAACAGTCAGTACAAATGCACAGGCTCTGTAGGAATATATCGTAGCAGCTTGGGGACTTACTGCAAGGTTGGGGACTTGATCTGCAACAAGAAAGGAGAATATTGCATGTCGGGTGAGGACCTGGACACGCGAATTCACAATCTAAAATCCTACCTTTGGAGTCTGCTGACTCCTGTTGAAGCTTCTCAAGTTCCAGTTGCTGCGGGAATGGAATAGAGCTTGCTTAGTTTCATGCGATTTAACAAAACGTTTCGATCACTATTGACCCGCGGAGTCGATATCAAAACAACTACGGTTCTGGAGCGCGTAGAGACGATGCCTACAGTCCTGCTGGCACGCTCGGAGGCTGCGGAAGTGCGCTGCAGGCCAACAGCCTCGGCAAGTTTAGCGAGTTCGCGTCGAGTGATCGAGACGAGCCAGCCGCAAAGGTTGGCAACTACGCACAGCGCCTGGAGTTTGAATTGGGGGGGGCAACACAGACCAATCCAGCGTTTCAAGAACTCGTGAACGGGCCCCTTAAAGTAACTCCGTCAACCTGGACAGCGTCGACGGGACAGTTCGCAGCTGCCACTCGCTGAGGCGACCCGTTGGGCGGGCCTGTCTCCAACGGGTCCGCCTCGGGTTTGTTTACATCGCCCAGGCGGCACGTGTCGCGCCTTCGTAGGCAGCGCGAACCCGGGTTTCGCAGCACGACCCGAAAAAGTGAATCCCTGGGGTCTCGCGGCACCGGGCCGCACGGGAGTCCGGGCTCCGCGGACGCGCCACGCGTCTGCCGTTGCGTTTTCGAGTTGACCTCCCTCGCAGCAGCGTCAGCGGGTCAAGTGCGCGCGCGCGCGTCGGTCCGAGCTGGCCGCGCGGTCCGACCGCTCACCAGCTTGAGGCGCTCCACCAGTTCCTTCTTGCTGCCGCCTTTGGGCAATCCGCGCTCCTGGAGTGCGTTCTTGAGGTCTACCACACGAAGCGAGCTCAGAGGCTTGCCATCGAGGCTCCCTTCGGATTTATCCGCCATTTTTCGCCGTTGCTGCCGTTTGCCCACTGAGGGCTGGCTGTGAGGCTCTTTTTCACCCCTACGCGTCGTTTGGTGTTTGCCGGGGATCTTTAGAAGCACTCGGGCCAAACCACTCACTTTCTTCCCCTCTCCGAGCTCTGGTATCCTGTCTTTCGGTTTGTTTCGCTATTTAGATCCCGTTATTGAATTTTCATGCGGATTTTTTTGATCCGTATGCCACTGCGCCATTCTGAAGTGGCACAATTCAGGCTGTTTGCTGGCGACGGCTGGCGGCAGAATGCGGCTGCCGTCTGCTTGCTTTGCTCGCTTTGCTCTGCTCAGTGGTTCTGCTGCGTTTTTATTTTTGCCGAGTTTGCACACTTTGCTACCCTCTGCTGGTGGCTTGGGAAACTTCCGACACATCAGACACATTAACACGATATTTCCGACGTTATCCTAACACAAAGTACGTGAGCATGAAAAAGCGACTGCGAAACGGCCCGTTCACTTTGTATTTAGCCGAATGAAGCCACGACTGCATATGTCAACGTTGGGGTTTTGCTAGGGCGTTGCCTGCTGAGCAAGAATGGACGAGTGTCGAGTGGCAAGAACGCGCTTGATTGCTTGGCCTAGCCGGTGCCGAGCCCTAACCGCACGGGCCCAAAAATCACTAGTGCGGAGGGCGGGGCTGCGGCGTTGTTAGGGCTGCTTCCTGTGGTTGTACTGGCTGTAGCGTGTAGTTGACAGCACTGTGGTTGACAGCTTCTAGCTTCTGCCTAAAGCCCCTCGCGTTTACCGCGCCCCCACCCCCCCACTGCCCCCACCGTTAGTTGGCAGCACTAGCAGTGTCATGAAGCTACGTGAAGCCACCCCAGGCCACCCTAGTGAAGCTACGCCAGGCTACGCTCGTCTAGGCAGCACCTGTTGGCAGGCGATTGCAGCGATTGCAGCGTGAGATGCGTGAGAAGCTAAAAGCAAAAATCGTGATCGGGGTGACGGCCAATCAGGTGTTTGAGATACGGCCGATGCGGCGCGTTTTCGCTCATATTCGTGGAATGTAGGTGTCATTTTTGTTCTTATAGACGGACTTATCGCTGGTCGCTGCTCAACTGGTGTGCTACGTTCCTTGGTGGGCAGGAAGATGTGCGACCGCTTTGGTGCCCTTTTGAAGCTGGTGTCTCAGGCACTCGGCCAGGACGACCGCAACGAGTATGAGGCAAGTTGGGTGCCATTCAGTTGGTCGAACAACGCTTTAGCGAATGCAGCGCGCGCCCCCGTTATTCGCTAAAACGTCAATTCGCTCAAAGGACCGCTCTTCGTTAAAACGTCATCCGTTTATGTGGCATGGATCTTATCCGTCGTGCTGAGGGCATGTTGTTTAAGCATCCATTGTCTCTTCCAGACTGCCTATGTCAAGTATGTGGAGAGCTTGGAGGCTGTGGCTGCGAGCTTGCTGAATGACTATCAGTCTCATGGTGAGTGGGGTGCTGGCTGACTGGTTGCTGCAGCGTCTACCGTCGAGGGTGGCATTTACTTTCTCCCTCCTAACAGGGATGCCAGAGACCCCTGTACCAGTGAACAATGCGAAGAAAGTGGTTGCCATTGCCAGGCAATGCCTGGACAGACTGGAGAAGATTCTGGGTAGGCCTCCTCTCATCTTTTTTGCTGCTCTGAGCCAAATGTAATTGGATGCCGCGCAGGAACGTCCCTCAACATGTTTTATGCGGAGCAAGAAAGATTCAATCAGACATATTCGTGCCCTGGCGCTGATTCGATGGACCCGTTTGACTGCGGCCAACTCGGAGAGGCGGGTCTTCCACCCGTTACTTTCGTGGCCCCTCGCCTGTTGACTCGCCCTTCTAACGAACAGTCTTCCACACGGAAGTCTAGCGAGCCATCAGAGACAACGGCACTGCTCCCCAATCCTATGTTTGCCACGCAGTCAGTAAGGTAAGTAGTCTCCTCTATCCTTTTCATTTTCTAAATGAAATTCTGTTATAAATGTTCTAAAAACCTGCAACTACATCATCACTAAAATATGTTTGTTATATCAGCAGTGTCTTACTTGCTGTTCGAACCACACGTTTTCTAGCATCATTGTACCATCCGGACATCGGGGGGGAGGGGTTCAGCATTGCTGCGGTGTTCGACAGTTGTCGTCTTTCGGTTTGGTTGCACTGCCGATGAAGGATGTCACTTCACTTTCCTGGAGCTGCAGATAAGCTGTAGGTGGTACTAGGCAACCTGATAGTTAGGAACTTGCACAACATTTGTTTGCTCATCGACTTTAATGGCACTGCCAACAGCCTAAGACTCTACCCAAAATGTTCTGCAGTATGTTTCTGCTTTCCTTCTTAATATGATTGTCAGTCTGCCATAGACCCAAAATATTGAGGTGAATGTAAATACAGTGCAAACATAAGGATTGAGATAAAGAAATAAGCAGCAGGAGGAGCACTGCACCGCTGCTTCTTGGTCTGCCTCTTTAATTTTTCTATTTAAAACAACATCACTCGTGGAATAACTTGCTCTTATTTCAACCTTGATGTGTAGGCTGTTTCAATCAAGGGCTTTTGGCAGGTGCCATTTTCAGCGTTCATGCATATGGCCCATGCTTCACTCGCTTTCCAAGGCAACAAACATTCGTTTGCTGGGCTCTGAAGGTTGCATGCTTGACTGTGGATTTGTAATTGTGGGGGTCACTTTTAAAGGCCTAAACTCTGACAGGTCCCACCTCACCAGTTCTTCGGTGGAGTGTACATGGTTAGGCCAAACCTGTGACATAAATTACGAGCGTTATAGTTAGGGCTTCGTGTTTTCGGAAAATACCAATAAACCCCGATCTGGTTTTATAGAAATTGAGGAAAACCTAAAAGACCCGAATTGGAGGTGTTCTTGAACAAGAAAAGCTTTACTTGGTGTTGGTCGGTCGGCTCTACTGAACCGACCGCGAGGCTACCTCTCTCTTGGAACCGTGCCCATTGCCTCGTTTTCATCTCGTTGGTATTGTCGCGGTTGGGCAGTCAAATATTTGAGTCACACATAAGCACACTTGTGCCCATTACTAAAAAAAAAAAAAAGTGCCAATTAATTATAATGACCACCCTAAAAAGTAATAAATTACCATTACAAATTACTCTCCCTAAAAAGTAATTAATTAATTACTCGGTTACTTTTGCGTTGCTCTGAGAAACACGCAAAAGATCTGCAATGTCTACCGCGTGTTTGATGGGCAAAATTTGTGTCGTGGAAAATAAAAAGCAAATAACATACACTCGGTAGAATCTACCTTTTATTTTGGGTAAATAATTTGAGGAGGACTAATCTATAAAGTCTTGGATGAACCAAGTATTCGAGGTGAATGAGTCTTGCACTGTTCAACCGAGACAGAGTTTAATGGTATGAACACTCAACGAATGCTAGTGAGCACCATTGGAAATAATCAGAGTTCGGTATCTGCAAACTGCAAGACCGCTGAAGATGCTGTGGTTCGGTGTGGTTGCTGCATATTGCTTAAATAAGGGTTGTTTCATCCACCTACTGGCAGTGAGACCAAGATGTGGTACTTGCATTTGAGTACATTTCCAAGACTGCTGCTTGATGAAGGTTGCTGTCTGACCGAGTGACCCACTTGATTTTCTTTCTTGGTCACCAAACTCGCCAGAACCAACGCTTCACTCTAAAGACATGTTCACACACTTGGAACCGAGCAGGACCGACTGAGGCAAGACCAGTTTTTAAGCCTCTTGCGACGGCAGGCTTCCACGTCTCTCACACAATTAGAGCTGCCCTACACTGTCTCAACTCCAGTGTTCATGTCAGCCACTGCTTATTCTTAGCCTTCCCCCTCCCTAAAGTTATCGGTAATCCCCGCATACACAGTCCACAGACGGCATTCTCCTTTCTAAGAATATAGGATGCAGCTTCAAAGTCTCAAGCCCTTTGGGCTTTTCTCCTCTCTAAGCTCATTGCCTGCTGTCAAAAACTTATGATACTTGAGGTTCAGCACCGATCCCCGTTTAAGCTAACAGCACGATTGATGCTGCATTTCCTCTGTTCCATTAAATGGCTGCGATCGCACCCCCAACGTTTCTGCCTGCAGGCAGCCGCTAGTGCGAAGTCATGTGGCATGAGGCACTTCGCTGGTTGGACCAGCCAGTATTTGGCTTTTACAGCACTGTCAGGGGTGAACAGGGGCCTTTGTGTGTTTGTGGGGCAGGCGCATATGCAGTAGCAAAGAAGCAAGGACTTCCCCGGGTTCTATATTGTTTCATGTCACAATTGCAACAAAAAAAAAAGTGCAGAGTGATATTGGGGGACCAGCACTTTCCTATCCCCAGACGAAAATTCGATGGGCCATTATATTTCCTGCGCTCGAAGCAGTCCATTATGTCTTTGAGAACTTGAGGCCTCGTGCCTTTATAGACAGTACAATCTTCCTGCCCTGACTGGGCGTACAGACAAGCATGGGAGCGGGGACTCCAGGCTGTCGTGCTTTCCATGAATTTCTTTTTTTTTTTTTTCTTCGCTAGCAGACCCTTGGCTTGTGTCGCCATATCTACCTCTCCTTTTCGCGGAACAGAAGAAATGTAACGAGCAAGTGTTCGTAATTAGTTGTCCAAAAAGAGAAAATACATTACTAATAGCATTATCAGAAAAGTAATGGACATATTACTAAATTACAAAAAAAAGTAATAGATTACAAGTAATTCGGTTTCTGGTAACAGGTTACTTCCATGTCTGCGCATCTTGGAGGTTGGGGAATCCCATCAACCTAAGTCACGGTAAACGTCTATTTCTTGTCTGGCACGAAACAATTTATACCGAAAAAGTCTGTGAGAGACAATAAACCCCATGAAAACACCCCCGAATTGGAAAAAAATAAAAAAAAAAAAAAAGCTTCGAAAACATGGAACCCTAGTTATAGTGCATGGATCTCCCCTCCCCCCAAATTATCAGTGTTTTCGTTACTGCTCGAAGCTTCTTGGTAGATGTTGAGGATTTGTGGCCTCGAGGGGCAGCTGTGTCTGCCCACTGGGACAAGGTGCCCCTTGGTTGAAAACAGCTGGCGAGGTCTGGAAGAGGTTGCATGACCGCCAGGTGCCGTTTTCTCTCTGTCATGCTGCAGGAATGCCAAGGCAGCTACCCTATTACCCATGGAGCAAGTGCAACAAGAAAACAGTGTGGTTTGTAAGCGGTATCAGAGGCTCATTCAGAGAACGCGGGACCCAGCTGTCAAAGAGAATCTGGTGAGTCATGTGACAGAGGCTCATGCATTCGGGAACTGGGCTTCCTGATTTTATCCTATTTCGTCGTCTAATTGAATTCACTTTTTTTTTTTTTTTTTTTATTCAGGTGGATTTGGTCTAATCTGCTTTTTTTTTGATGCCGAAGGACTCTTTTTAACTCCCTTGTTGCCAGTAGGTTTGCTGTAGAGCAGTGGTTCTCAACCATTGATGTTTTGCGGACCCCTTGTGAATCAACGGAGATTGAGGATTTCGTTCATGGTGAGGGGAAGGGAGAAGGGTAATTATGATAATGATTTAATAAATGGATGTAACTAAGGGCTGTGCGAAGTAGACTTCTCTCATAGACATACACGACAAAGCTCGCCCGAAAATTGGAATGTTCCTTCCCGATTTGAAAAAAAAGACACCTTTTATTGCCGGGCTTGACTAATGGGGGCAGGGCATTTACGGACTCCTAGAATGCCTTCGCAGACCCCAATTTGAGAACCACTGCCGTAGAGCATCGCAGAAATGATTGGAAATTTGCATCCTCTAGCAATAACTTTGGGGTGTCTAGTCATTTCTTATATACAGTCGAACTTCGTTAATTCAAACTCAAGGGGGACCGAAAATTTGTTTGAATAAAGCAGAGCTTGACCGGGAGCTGTCTCCCATAGAGGTGCATAGGATGGGACCTTATGTTAGTTTGAATTAAGAGTGTTTGAATTAATGAGATTCGACTGTATATAGTATGGCAGTAAGCAAATGAAGAATGCTCTTAATCCTTTGAGTTTGGTTAAAAACATTTTGGGCGGTGCTTTTGACAGAGTTTGTCGAATAGGTTGGCGTTGCTGCATTGCAACCTGCTTGAGCCTTGCGCAAAGGAAGAAAAAAAAGGTCGCCGACTGTGGCAGTGCCTGCTCTCAGTGGGATGAGTTGAAAAAACATTCAGATGGATAGTGAACCTCCGGCATTATTGTTTCTGTTTCGTTAATTTTTTGTTTCTTGATTTCATCTTTGTCGTTGTGTGCAGAATATGGGTTCGTAGTAAGTGCACTTAAAACATAAAACGCTAAGAAGCATTTATCTTTGTTGTGAATCCCGGTATGTGAGAACTTTAGTTTCTCACCCCTCGATGCATTATAAATTTACCTTCCGCTTACAGAGGTTGTATATTTCCTCTTGTAGCGCCTGGAGCTTCAGCGTCGCCTCGTTGACAATCTGACGATGGCTCGTGCAAAACAGGCTGAGGTGAGCTGTCAGTGGCCTTCTCATTCTGTTCCTGTTTAAGAGACTGCATGATTTTCTTGCTTTTATCTTGTAAGGAACTGGGAAGAAAACCAAACAAGTCTAAGCCAGTGGGGTGTCATTGCCAGCCCAATTCTGCATATTGACTACGGGGGGCTTTCTTTCTCGGTGTGGAGGGACAGAGATGGAGTGTGAGGGAGACCGCATCCAGATAGGGCCATTTTTATCAGCCCAACCCGCTATCAGCAGATGGCTTTAGCCCTGAGCTAGATGATCTTGTCTGGTTCTGAAGAGATAGCCCGCTGGTTCTTTCGCCGACTCTGGTTTCTTAGCGCGTGCTTGTCAGTGCCATCAGCTGGGGGTGAGTGTGGGGGCCAAGGAGGGGGGGGGGGGGGGGGGGGGGGTCGCATAATGGGTGCTCTCTCTCTGGGTCAGCATGCCCGCCTTCTCTCTGCAGTACCTGAGGCAGCTGAAGGAGCAGGAGAAGAGGACTGCGGACATGGCCTGGAGGTAGGCCCTCTAAAGCGCCTCTCGGGGCCTCTCGAGCGGTGTTTACACGCGACTTGTTTCTACCAGGAAACTTCAAGGAGCTGGCGAGTGCGCCACTCCCGAGGACAGGGAAAGGCGAGAGCTCTTTACCAGGATCCTGCAGTACGAGGACCAGCACGTGAGTGGCCGGACCTTGCTTGGCTGGTTTTGGTCTCGTTACGAGAATCCTCTCCCTGGGCGGCTGTCTGTCTTGACCCCACAGCCGCCTTTTCCAGGATAGTGGGTGGGCGGGGCGGAGCTGTAACTGATGTGCCACCGAGGCCGGAGAAATTAAACTGGGCCCTGCATTTCTGTTGCTCAATGGTTGCCGTCTCTAGTGCCATAAATTGAGTGAGGGGCTCAAGCACCGGGAGCACAAAAAAATGCTGCTACCGGTGCTCAATTATCGCCAGCACAAGTGGAGGTTGAGACAGATTGGAATGTGTTCCATCTTTGGGCACTATTTAAAAACAATAGTTACTTTTTTTTTTTCTCCTTTTTTTGTTTGTTGTAAACATTGTTTTGGGATTCGGAATCCTCCTAATTTCCAAAAGGGTAGAAGAACTAGTGCCTTAAGTAAGCGTAAAATTTCTTTGTGATCCAGAATTTTGATATTTTTTAGGCTTCCCTCGGATGACACATTTTCCTTATTTTCTGGGGTCTCGATTTGTAGCCTTAATCATATCTGATCACCCACAAGGTCAGGTTGTTTCTGTGTGCAGTGTTTCGAGTTAAACGTGCAGTTAAAAGCAAATTTATTTTGACAAAGTGTCGCCTTTTTTAGGAGTGGCCACCAGATTTACAAAGTCTGGTGGAGTCTCATCCCAAAGGCCTCAAGGCAGCGAGGCATCTTGTCATGCATATTCTGGGGTGAGTGCTTTTGAGAACTTTCCGAAATATTACAGTTCTATGCAAAACATTTGTACTGTCTGAGCATTAATTTTTGTTCTGGTCCTTCCTCATCGTCTTTCACCGTCTAAACATCTAGTTCAGGGGTGAGGGTGCCTCATCTGATATCATTAATAAGATGATGGCCGATAGGTTGAACTATGGTTTAAAGTAGGGTGACTAGATGTTCCGTCTTGGCCGGGCCAGTCCCGTTTTAGAGGTTCATTATCTGCTGTTCCATCTCTTTTATTTAACAAAGCCTCGTGTCCTATTTTTGTGGGAACATGCATGGGTTGTGAAATCAGTGCTGAAGCGAATGGAAGAAAGCAGAAAAAATTTACACTTGTTAGAGATGCAACGTTATAAAAATAAACATACTACAGTCAAACCCGTTTATAACGAACAGCATGAAACGCTACGATCAGTTCGATATAGCAAAAACCATTCACAACGAACTTCCACAATGCATTCGTTTTGATCTCTTCACTTGCGCCTTGTAGCAACGCACTGTAAAGATCTTTTTTTTTTTCTTTTTTTTTTTTTTTCGTGCAGTGTTTTTTTAGCTTTCTCCTCTTCTGAATCGCTTCTCCTCGCTCAATTTTGTTCACAACTTGAGCTTTTGGAATTTTCTTTCTTTCCTACTACTTTTTGGGGGGAAGGGACAGACTAGAAGACGATTGTTTGCGCGTTTTTGGAAGTCTTCCCGGGGGAAAAGTTTGAGATAGCCAATATGTTGTTCCTTATAAAAAGTACTTTTTACATGCATTTTTATTTAAATTTTCTGCGAGTTCGATATCGACAATAATTCGCTGTACGTGGGTTCATTCTAAACGGGTTTCACTGTGCATACCTGCGAAGTCTCCCGTATTAGCCGGGAGACTCCCGAATTTTGACCAATTAGTATGGTTGTACGATCAGTGATCATACGGTTGTATGATTGATGGCAAAGCCCAGCTGTATCTCGCTAGCATCAGCAATGCAATATAAATGTAATGAAGTTGTCTTGAAACAAATTTGTTGTATATTTTTTTTTTAAAAACCGCTCTCGCTTAGAAATTTTCTGAATTTGGTTTTCCGAACTGGGCAGGTATGATACTATGAAGCATACTATATAGTTGTATCTACTATACTGTTTCACCTTAAATTTTGTACTGGAGTGAAGGCTATAAGTGCGAGCTCATAGCGTTGGTGGCAGCTCTTAATGCACGAGAGCTTGTGCCGCTGACCTGGGGGCAAGGAGCTCCCGCTTGTATCCTTCCTTTCCTGCGGTACATCATGAGGTGAAATAGAGTATAATAGATTCTGTTCACACAAACATGTGTGCGGGAGGCTCTTATGTATTACTGAATTTGACATGTTTCGGTTGCAAACATTTCCCCATTGCTAATAAATAGAAAAGAAAAGCACTTGTGTTCTCAATGAAGAGCTCTGAAAAAATGTGCGTGTTTACGTTCATGTGAATTGTAGCGGAGCTTTTTTTTTGTTCCTCTGCCTCGCTCACCTCCTGTTTAGTTTTTTTTACTCCGAGGGTTATGGTCGCCCTAGTGTACAGGTGTGCGCGCATGACCTTGTATGAGCCGTTTCTGCAACTGAAAGAGGTATTCTGTGTCAGACGGCAATGTATAAAAATAGCTGCACAGGTGGAGTTGCAGATGTCATGCGGGCATCAGTCGGTGCCCTTAAGGGCAGTTGCGAGGGAGAATGCAGTGCAAAGTTTCATTTGTGTACATGAATTGTAAAAGAAATTATAGTTGTTTTTATCAGGAACACACTGACTTTGTTTAGGAGAACTATCGTTAGAAAACTAGTGTAGTATCCAATGTTTCTCTTCCCTAGAACTGCAGCAGAATGCTTGGAGAGAACAACTGAAAACAAAATTTCCAAAAAATAATTTATTTCATGCTAACATTGCAGTAAAAATTCAAACAATTATTTTGCCTTTTATGTCGTCGACAAAATCTTAACATTTTTTATAAAAGACATCCAGAAAGTAGAAATACAATTCCACAGTTGCATTGACCCATAAAATTTCAGTTAGGAAAAACAATGAGTGAGTCTTACCTTTTGTCCCACTAACAAACAATAGCTTTCCTAAAGTGAAGTGCTCCAACCTTTTCTTTAGCATTGGTGGACTGTATATGATTTATAAAAAAATTAACTATGCAGTGTAAACTAATGAAACTTTCTGGGTATACTCTCTAGATGTTGGTGGATGTAAATGACATTTTTCAAAATCAACTTTGTTTGCAGATTTTTCTTCTTTTTTTTTTTGGGAGGGGTAGTGTCCCCCCTTAGTCGAAGAGCTGCTCAATGGCGGTTCCCTTTCAGTCTTACTACACTGTTCAGCCAAAACATTATGACCACCTGTTTAGTACCGTGTTGATTCACCTTCGGCATGCAAAACAGTTCCTAGGGTCGTCTGCTGCTGAGTCCTATATCAATTAAAGCCCGATTAACTGTGCTCAAAAACACTTGTACCTTGACCTACATTGTATCTAGGTGTCAGTTGAGCCACAGGTAAGCTGCCTATTCTGCTTCACCAAGCGGTGAAAACTTTCAATGTCTCCATTCTGTGATGACGAGGAGTGGAACCTCTTGGCGTCTACTAACAGTTTCACCGTCATTCTTCCAGTTTTGATGGGCACTAACGACAGCAGCTCGTGAGAACCTGACAATATTTTCAGTTTCCGAGATAGCACTTGTTCTGAGCCGTCACGCCATCATGATCTGCCCTCTGTCAAAGTCTCCTAAATCGGCAGCCTTTAGTAATACATGCACACATAGTCTACAAAATGCTCCCTCTGTATCCCTGCAACCGCAGCAAGTGGTGTATAAAGCGGATGGTGCGTCAGCTAGATGTGCCAATTCACAGTGTAGGGGTGGTCATAATGTTTTGGCTGATAACTGTATATGCATATACAGTCAAACCCGTTTATAACGAACAGCAAGTAGTTCGATATAGCAAAAACCATTTTCAACGAACTTCCACGATGCGTTTGTTGTAAGGCGAGAGCTTCTTTCTTTCTCATCTCTTCACTTCCGCCTAATAACAACACGCTGTAAACTTCTTTTTTTTTTTCATGCTTGCAGAGTTTTTTTTAGCTTTTCTTTTCTTCTGAATCGCTTCTCTTCGTGGGCAAACGCTTTAGGATGAAAAAAAATTTTTTTTGTGTGTGTGTGCATGGAGAGTGTATTTTTTAGCTTTATCCCCTTCTGAATCGCTTCTCTTCGCTCAATTTTGTTTGCAACATGAGCTTTTGGAATTTTCTTTCTTTCCTACTTCTTTTTTTGGGGAAAGGACATGCTAAAAGGCAATTGCTCGTGAGTTTTTGGAAGCCTTCCTGGGGGGAAAAAGTTTGATATAGCCAATATGTTGTTCGTTATAAAAAGTACCTTTTCCATGCATTGTTATTTAAATTTTCCGTGAGTTCGATAAGGGCAATATAATTCGCTGTACGTGGGTTCGTTCTAAATGGGTTTCACTTTAATAATAATAATACAGTCTGTGCAGGTGAATTATGCAGCCAGGGGGACATAATACGCATAGAGGGACAATCATCGTAAGTCGGTTCATTCACTAAAATTTGTCTATTCACTTTTTAATTGTTGAAGATAGATATGACTCCAATTAGAAGCTTGCTGAGTGTAATAGAAAACCACTAAATAATTTTAGAAAGATTTGGGGCGCATGGGAAGTGCGATGGTGCTCTAAATTTACAACTCATGCAACCGGCGCAAAGCTAATGGTGCAAAGACGCACCTGCGCAGTTTTTCTGTTTCTTGTCACCCGCGTTTCTGCACCAGTAGCATTGCACTCCTTGTACGAGTGGTAACTTTAGGGCACCACCGTGCCTCCCAGGTGCCCCAAATCTTCCTAAACTTTACTTATTTAATGGTTTTCGATGATGTTCACCAAGTTTGTAATTGATGCCCTGTTTATTTTCGCTAATTAAAATATTAATGATAATTTGGCTAATAACCCGACTTGTCTCGACAATTATCCCCCTATAGTATGGTCCCCTGGCCACATAATTCCTGCGCAGAACGCTGTAGTGCAAGTTTCACGGCTTTTTTTAAAACAATTCTGTAAAGCATAAAAAAAAAAAAATTATAGGGATTGTTGACAAAATACCCAGTGCATTGATATTAATGGCTCTGTTGATACCCTACTGTGTGTGTTTCCATATGTGTTTGCCCCTCATGCTTGGGCCACTTGACCTGCACTATACTTCAATAAATAAACAACAAAATAACTTGTTTGGATCATGGACCAAATGCCCCCCGATGGCATCCCCTACCCCTGTTGGTGCATATGAGGTGTAAGGTTGCTGCTTTGCAAAACGAATAAATTTCTAAGGGGTCAGTTTATGCGGCTGTGAATCGGCATCTGTGCCATTCTCATTGTAATCTTTACTAATCTGTAATTCGCTAGTGGACTCACATTTTTGGGATTCTCAGAATTACTCATTACCCGGCTCAATGGTTGACAGCGAAACAAATGTTTTTCTCGGTCCAGAGTCTCCACTAAGCCTCTCGGAAGTCTAATAAGCAGCACTCTGGATTGTGAAGGTTTTAGCAAAATCACAATATGGTGGGGGGACCAACCAGTCTTGCTACCCCCCCTACCATTTCTTTTTTTTTTTTTTTTTACAAAAAACAAACAAAAAATTAGCATTGCCGTCGGGCATTTTAGCAAGGAGTGGGTTTTACAAAGTATTAATAAAACATCACTGTACCCCAGTCAACAGCCCTCAATGCTGCTTTTTATTTTTCTGTTCATTTTTGGGAGAAATGAAGCCTTATTCGTACGAACGCAGGTTTCATCTTTGCCCGAGTAATTATGAGCCCTGCAATTGTCAAAACCTGTCTCAATCACCTGTTTGCGACACAAAACAAAACAAAAAAATGAGCCGCAAGTGGTGGGAAAACTGATTCGTGCAATCGGGCACATCGACTGGAGGCCAGAACAACATGCCGCATTCTCGGTGCTTACTTTTCAGGGACGCCAAGCACCCGCTCAGCCAGTGGTTGGTCAAGGAGCGGACGGGGCTGCAGATGAAGATGGCACAAACAATGGATGCCATGGGTCCAGGCGTGGTGGCCAAGGACGGGACCAAGGGGGAGGCTGCGCTCTGCTCGGAAGTGGTCTCGGTGGTCCGCACAGCTGTGCTGATGCTGGGGCTGGCCTTCGAGTCTCTGCGGAGCGACGAAATGTGGGACGTCTGCTACGGGGTGCTGGAGGACCACTTCACCTGGCCCCTCTGGCCTCAGCTTCTCGGCATCCTCAGGTGAGTTGCAGCGGGGTCGCGGACGAGGCGTCTGGTTTGCTGCGCTCGAGATCGCATAAAACGCTCGTTGCTCTTTTTTGTGGCTCCCTCTGGCTCGGGGTGCTTCAGCTCTGCCAGCTCGGCAAGTTTTTGATAAGAAGCTGACCTTTCTTTCTGTGTTAAGAGAACGAGTTGGCACTAACTTGTATTCATTTTGCATGTTGTCGTGCTAGTCGGACTCGCTTGGAGAAACAAGCTCCGCTGTGATCTATCTTGACATTAGTATATACCATAAAGAGGTGCTGCAAACAAAAATGTATTTAAAGTAATTTTAAAAAATAAACAAGTTAATGAATTTTTATGTCTCAAGTTTTCTGCGTGCTATTCATAATAATATTCAGTGTGCATTCATCCGCTTTCCGCCGTGAGCTAAAAACTTGTAAAATTGTAACTTTCCTTTTTCTGGCCAAACACTGGCCTAGCTGACGGTGGTTTTGTATTTGATCATTGCACCAGTGAAAGCCTATGAAGCAGTAGCATAGGAGACCCTCCATAAAATTTATCCAGGCCACTTCGATCACTATCGTCGTCTGGGTATATGGCATACGTGCCTTACTAATGGCGACCTTCTACTGGCTGATAAAGGGTTCGAACCTGTGCCCAAGCAGAGGATCCAATTGCCAGTTGAACAAACAGGTGGCTCTGATTTTCGAAAACGCTCAGGTTTTGGGTCAGTTGCTTTGACACTGCCTGGAATTTGGGAGGAGTTGGTGCTGAGCCAGTTAGGCCACCTATAATTTCTCTGGTTTTCTCTGTTGTGACTGTGAACCGTCGTTGAGTCTTACAGAAGTGGTCCAACAGGTTGCAGAATTCCCAGGCGGAACAGCGGGTGGCCGTAGTAATGGGTCAGCTATCGCAGAAAACACCCAAGGAGATGCACGTCCCACCATTGTTTTGGCAGCATCATCAGAATGTGCTCGAAGAGACCATTCACATGCTTCGTACTGTGCCCAGGCTCAGCCCAAGCCAGAAGATAAGGGTGCTTGGTAAGTGGAATGGTCAAACTTTAAACCCCTTGGGCAGTCTTTTGCCCCTTTTGATTGCTCTTGCTGTCTTGTCAAACAAAAGCAGTAGAGATATTTTGCCCAACATGATCCGAGGCGGGTGGATCCGACTCCACCATTATTGTTGACGGCTCGCTCCCAGCAATGTCCTTGCTTTTATCTAGCCCTTTGGCATTGGGCAATTTTCGCACGTTGACTTCGGAACTCTGTGGCCTGACACTTTTTTCTTTCCCTTTTCCTCGGTAGTGTATGTCGTGAGGCTGATATGCATGGATCCCGCAAGCCCTGAAGGGATTCAGGACAAACCACTGTGAGTGTTTGTTGGTAAAGCATGCATTCCAAAGGGCAAAACACTGGTTTACATGGAACAGTGCCTCATCTGAAACATTAGAATCGTGGTTTTAGCCCTTGTCCTATAGTACCAGAAATTTCTGGGCTGCAATAATGTGGTCTGCGGCATGAAAATTTCAGCTGGAGCCATACTCGCTACTATGTACTTATTTTCACCTCAGAAACAATCGTAAAAAAAAAAAAGATTAGAGTGTTGTTATGTAATTTCCGGTGGTCAACTTATTTCTAACTTCATCAAAACCTGCACATTAAGCCTCTCATTTTTCTGTGACAACCAGATCTTGCGAGAATTACTCTGCACAGCAAATGAACTACGCGCAAAATTTGCTTTCTTCATGGGGTGACGAGTATAGTGTCTTTCCGAAAGCTTGAAGGGTGCACAGCTTCAGTGCAACTGCTACCATCTGCAACTATTCAAGCTTTCCCGGTCGAGGTGCCCGCAATCTGATGGAGGCTTATTGCGGAGGAGGCGCCATGTAACCAAGCTTTCGGTTGCACGTCAAAAGATCCCCAGGTGGTCCAAATTAATCCTCAGCCCTCCACTGGGGCTTGCCAGATGCCCGTCGTTGGTTTGGCACGTAAAACCCCCAAATTTGAACTATTCAAGCTTGATGGAGCACTCTGAGGGCGACAGGACGTCCAGTTTTGTCCGGGACAGTCCTATTTTAGAGGTCTATCTCTGCTGTCCCGTCTTTGTGGTCTAACGAAGCCTTGTGTCCCGTTTTCGTGGGAACATGCATAGTAGCTGCGAAATCTGTACTAAGCGAATGGAAGAAATCCAAAAGAATGTTTACTCGTTACCGATGTAATGTTATAAAAATAAACATACTATGACACATACTGTAGTTGCATCTGCTAATACATTTTGTTCACATAAACATCTGTGCAAGAGACTTCTATATTACAGAATTCGACGTGCTTCAATTAACATTTGTTCCTCGCTTTTAAAAAAATTAGGAAAAAAAGCACTTTTGTTTTCAAGGAAAAACTTTGGAAAAATGTGTGTGTTTACATTTATGTGAAGCGGAGCTTTTTATTCTGCCTCACCCCTCCCTTACTTGCATGTGAAAAGCAATCAGAGTTAGCTAGTTGATACTTGGATAATCTTGATATCATGCCACAACTTTTTAGCATTTGCTCTACTTACATTTATTTGGATATCTACACTGCCTGAAGAGTCATTTGTGTTAACAAGAAGGGAAGGGAGGGAGGGGGGAAGCACATACAGTAATGCATTGCAAGTTACAAGACAAGTAAACTGATGTACAGTCCTTGTCAGACTTATACGGAACACTTGTGGAATATTGAATGCCGAAAAGAGATATAATATGAGAGAACTGCGCATATTTATGTGAACTGAAGGTATGCTGCGGACATAGTGGCACACAAAGAGAAATAGCTTAGGGCTAGCGCAAGCTATCCACGCACACATAGAAAAAATAAAATACAGGTTGATTCAAGGAGAGGCCAGTCTCTTTAAATCGACAGCAAAATTCGGTTTCTTAACCTATCGCACTACAACTTTGTGCAGCGTTGCCCACAGATGGTGCTTTTTTTTTTTGTAAAATTTGCAAAGAGCGAAGTTACCTGAGGAAAAAGTAAAGAAAAAAAAAGGCTTAGCTCCTATGGAAACGCAGCGAAGCCACCGGTCTTCAAACACGGCGCCGTTTCGCACGGGAGACAAGTGATGGCGCAAGCGGTCGCGATGCCAACTGCCGCCAACGAACGAGCATACGACGCCGAGAGCTGGCGTCTTTAGCAGACAAGAAACTGCAGTTCCTTGTTGTTATTGCGCCTGTCGCCGCCTGCGGAACGCACGCCACTTTTGAGTCGAAAAGATTGTCTGCTAAATACGCCGGCTCTCGGCGCCGTATGCTCGTTCGTTGCGCCATCTTTTGTCTCTTGTGCAAAAGAGACAAGAGCACAAAATAGTTCACACCACATTATATAAAATTAAAAATGCATGGTTTAAAATTTAAAAGAAAAAAAATGTAAAACAACAGCTTCAACAGTATCATTTCTACAGTGATTGGGTGGCTTATTCCAATCTTTAATAAACCGTGGCAGCAATGGCAATCTAAAGACATCACTTCCACATTTAAATTTACGGTATTCTTTCCTTTGCAATACATAAGCAGGCTCTAAAATTGTACCAGTATTGTAAAAGTTTGAGGCAGAGGCACTGCTGTCTGAAACTATTCTCGTCTTCCGTAGCACATCACCGCTATTGAAGGCTGCTGACAAGCTGCTATACTTTAGTCATGCTGCTCAACACCAACAGTTGAATGGCATTCACAAAACTGTTGCAAACGTGGCTGCTGCTTAAAGATCCAATACAAATTCACTCGCACGATGATGAAAACGAGCAGATCCGCTTTGCCGTTGATTCCAACGCCAGTGTGAATGCAGCTTTACTGTAGGCATGCTTCCTCCATTCAGAAGTTTTACGGGACACACTGTTTCTCTCTGCAGCGGCGCCGACGACCTAGTCCCCACCTTGAGCTACGTCCTGGTGCAGTCTGCAGTGCCTCAGCTCTACTCGGAGTGCCTGGCCCTGGAGCAAGTACTGGACTCAAGGTTATGCTTTGTCCCACATTCTTGGCCCTCGCCGAGTTATGGCGGAACCTGCCTCGCAATGTGGCTGTACATTCCCTTGTCCTTTCTCTGCTCTGCAGGTACATGCTGGGGGAGGAAGGCTACTGTCTAACTTCGATTCTGATGGCACTGAAGTACCTGGAGTCACTGAGCTGAGCCCCTGTTTCCACAGTCATCTGCAAGCAGTGCAAGACGGCGATGTCTTGTAGAACAACCATTGGACGCAACGAGCTTCCGGCACATAGTTGAACAGTGCGATTGCGCTGCTTTGCAGTTACCATTATTGTACAGTACAAAAGTACCGAGGTTTGTCCACTTGACCACCAGGTTTAATCGCCTGGAGATGTGCACTCTACAAGGTGCAATCAAAAAGTTGCGAGACTTATTTTGTAGCATGAAAAAGAAGAAAGCAGCAGTCAAGGGCAGGGACCTTCCTGCGTCATCATGCCAAAAGGCGTCATTCTGTGAACATTTGGAGCTGCACTACACAGGTTTTTGTGACCACGAGCACAGTGTCGATTTCACCGTACTCTGCAAACCCGAGGGTGAGCAAACTGCAGCTTTTCATGAAAGTCTGCAAATTTAAAACAAAACTTTGAAATTATTCGGCAGGTTTATGTCAAAAACCAGTGAATTGTGGCATTCACTGAAAGACTAAGGGAGGTAGGGCAACCTGCTCAAACCTCTCTTCGTCTTTTAGTGATGTTCTGCCATTCTTGAAGCGCAAGTGCTACTCAAAACACTTTGCACTGTTCACTGCTTTTTGACATAAACCGGCGGAATAATTTCAAAGGTCTGTTCAAGATTTGCAGTTTGACGGAGAATTGATGTTCCCTCTTGCTCTGGTTTGCAGTCTATGATGAAATCGCCATTGTCCGTGGGTCACTAAGACTCATCTAGCACAGCTCCAAATGTTCACAGAACCGACGCCCTTTGGCATGATGAGACACGTAGGTCCCTACCCTGCCTTTGACTGCGGCACGTGCATCACCGTGCTGCCCTCTCTTTCTACACTGCAAAATCGGTCTCGCAACTTTTTGATTGCACCTCGTACATATAAGTATATTTTTGTACAGGTCACCTCCTAATGTATAAAAAGTCGAAGTTGTATATAGAGCACTAAGAAACTGGCACGCAGTACACTATAATCTAATTTACGCACAATAAAATAGTGCTTGAAGTGAGCGTGGTAGAATTTGAGTTCCGAGTTGACTTGTAGACTGAAAGTGATGAAGACTGAAAGTGAAAGCACCGTTTCCTTTTTGTTTGCCGATTTTAGAGACTAGCAAATGGCCAGCACAGTGAGACAAAGAAGTGGAGGACTTGCTTAAGGCACCACTTAGGAGCAGTACTCTCATTGAGGCTGCTTGATCCAACCGCTTAGCGCCGACTTGTATTAAATATTTATGTAGTCCCTACACTACACATGGGTGATCCCTATGGCTGTCCTCACAAGATTATTGGCATGCTGCACTAACCTACAATTTTTGGAATTCATGGTTCTAAAGCTTGTGGTGTAAAGATTGTGGGCTTCTGTTCCACAAACTTGTCGGCAACCATGACGGACTTTCAAGCGAGAGAGAGAGAGAATCTGGTGGAGTGCAGAAGTGAATACCGAAACCTTCTGAACTGGTGATTTCTGAAAATAATGGACTGATCATATTCAGTGCAGTTTAGAAATGTCAAACCAGCTCCTCGGCCAAAGGGCCGAGGAGCTGGTTTGACATTTCTAAACTGCATTGAATCTGACTGATGTGGTTCACAAAAGTGTTACTGCTCGACCAAACGTTTTTGAAGGGACCATGAATAACTCTGGCACAAAAGAAGTGGATGATTCGATCGCCCCGATGAGATGTCCTTGCGACATCACTACAGCGCGACTCGTACAATGCTAGACATGACCCCTTCCTACTCGGGTCAAGGCTTTGTGGCCCCATTGTAAGGTATCTTCTGCACCACCCCAAACTCTTAAATTGAAAAGTTTGGGCCAAAGTTTGCAGTGTGCACCGATTGGACTTGCAATGGCAATGTCATGCTTTTGTTGCGGGAGTCTAAGTGCTGCATTCTGCATACTTCGGCTCCAACTTTGTGTTTGACGAATCTAGCGCCCTTTTTAAGTGAAAAAGGTGCTTCTTGGTTTCCAATGACTTGCACTGCAGTAAAATATTGGGTCAGTACTCGCAGTAGCGAATGTCCTCCATTTATTTTTTTATACTTATTGGCAACGTAGATTTTTTTGTTTTCTTAAGTAAAGGGTGTTGTGAAATCTAACTTTCCTTTATTAATTTTAGTTCTCGCGATAATGTCGCTGTGCATGCAGGCACAGTTTTTCCAGCTCAAACCCGCGAGTTGGCTGCAAGAATCGGAAGTAGCAAAATGGTAAGAACCCAAGAAAAACTAGGCATGCTGGCCAGTAACCATTGTGAAACACACCTTCACAAGATACTTGTAGGTAAAAAATATCCAGTCAATGCTAGTTTTGCTTTCGTAACGCAGTGAAGCAAAACATGCAAGGGTGTCTCGTGTCTTCACACGGGAAAGTTGTCACAATCTTCGAAGTGCCAATTTGTTTCATAATTAGCTTGCGATTCGGGGTTTCTACTTGCTCAGTTTTCGTGGTTTGCCACTGGTTTCAGGAAGACCACTGGAAGGAAGATTTGTAATAATCGGCATTTGACACGCCTCGCCACAAGGATGTCTTAAATACCTTCACTCTCCGATAATTTTGTACCTAAAACATGTTGAGAATCGACAGAGCTCGAGAACGAAACCCTAGCGTGGCTATATCACATAAGTACGTTGACGGCCGCCAATGCCTCCGGCAACAGCACCAAGCGTCAGCGCGAAATGGTGATGACTGGAATGATGCTGCAGTGGCGGATCGTGTCCAGCTTGTCCTCGAGCTGAAAGAGTTGGTTGGTGACGCGCCTCAGCGTCGACGACACGTCCTGCACGAGCTCCTGGGAGCGGATGAGTCCCTGTGTGACGCCGGAGAGCTCGCGGGCCGCGTTCTGGTACGGCTGGCGCGCCACGTCGGTCAGGTTTCGCCTCAGGCTCGCGTTGCGCTCGCGCAGCTTGCGGTGCAGTAGGCTTTGGTGCTGGCTCGGATCCGCGGCTCGTGGCTCGCACGGGCCGTCCGTCGCCACCTCGCTGGACGCGAGCTCGCTCGCCGTCGTGCTCGAGCAGGTCGTCTCGTCTTCGTCCGATTCGGATGCTTCGCCGGAGACGACGGTGGCCTGCTGGCTTCCGGGACACGCTGGCCGATCCGCGAGGCGGGCCATGAAGACAGGCGAGTGTTTTCGTCCGGACTGAGAAGGCAAGAAACACGAATCAACAACGTGAACAACCTTGGGGTTGCTGCTTGGGCGGCAAACACTGATCTCTATTGTAGTAGGCTTGGTAGGCTGGACCGCGGCCTCGGTCGGCAGCTGGGGCCGAGTGTCGCCGTGTCGCCACCGGCGGCCATTGATTGACACCAGCCAATGGATGGGACTCAATGGGAAGAACGAGAAAAAGTGCGTTTTCCCCTGTTTCTAAGCTGTTCTCGGCACTGAAACTTTTTTGATGCTTTTCGATAAGCCCATCAAATAGCTTGCGTGCAAACATTAAAAGTGACAGCCCTCGCAATTCTTATAAATAAATATTTTGTGGTCGAGAGTGACTCCGCAGTAGTGCAGCTCAATGATGCGAGTTACCTAGAGTTACCGCGGAGTCGGTTGCGGTTTCGTTGAGTTGGGTTTAGCAGACGACAAGCTCCAAGGCTTTCGTCTGCTAAACCGGCTAAATTTTACAGAAAAAATGCACCATCTGTGGGCAACGCTGCACAAAGTCGTAGCGCGATAGGTTAAGAAACCGAATTTTCCGGTCGATTTAAAGAGCCTGCCGTCTCCTTGAATCACCCGGTATATTTGAGGGCGATGTTTAGAGCGCATGCTCAGAGCAAGCTCACATTAATAGCCTGCTAAGACCTGCAACCTTGATGGTGCTAAATGCACGCTCCAAAAGGACTGCGGAAGCTCGCCGTCAGCACGCGCTCAGCAGCAGCGCACACGGATATGGCCGCCAGTGAATACTCCCTGTAGAAATCGCGTCCCGCGGGCAACGGAATCAAACGCGAGCTTGAATTGTGAGCGTCTGCTATTTCATGAAGGAAGCAAGTGACAAACCGTGCTTTATTTGGAGGTTTTAAGTTGCTCTGTTGCCGTACAAACGCTGAAATATACCAGTGTGTAAAGAAATGCTCAGAACAAACACATCAGCGGCCCCCGAGATGTTTATCACTAACCATGTGCGGGGGAAAAAATTGAACATCTGTCGATAAAATTCCCATAGCAGAAACCTCTGACTGCCCAATAAGCAAGCACCAGAAAAACCTAAACATAGTGACTTTACCCGAGGCTTGGGCAACGTCATGTTTAACATTTACCTACGTCAGCTAACTTGCCCCGTCGTATATCGTTCGAGAAAGCTCTCGTTCTCGACGCCCTCACCAAGGCTAATATCTGATCCACCTGTAATGACGATCGAAATCGAAAGTCCCACGAAAAGTTTTGCTAAATATTCCAACAGACTAGTTTTAAGTAGGGATGCCACGAACCACCCTAGGTTCGAATTCGAAAGGTGTCGATATTTTCGAACCGAACTAATGTTCGAAATCGAAAAGTTCCGATATTTTCGACCGTAGGGAGGTTCGAATTCGAAAAATTCGCAACTTTCCAAAATCGTGGGGTTTCGATTGCGAAAAGTTCGAAGCTTTCACGGTTTCTAAAAGTTCGGGTTAGATTATTTCGAATATTTGTTTACTTGAGGTTCGATAAATTCGAAGATTTCGAACTTCCCTAATTTAAAATTCGAGAGATTCGAATGTTTCGACTTCTTTGGATCTAATATTCGAAAAATCGAACGTTTCGAATTTTTAAAGACATAAAGTTCGATAAATTCGAAGATTTCGATTTTTTTTTCTACATAAAGTTCGAAAAGTTCGAAGGTTTCGATTCTCTTTTAAAGCTAAATTCGAAAAAAAAAAAAAAAAAACTTGGAAGGTTTCCGATTTCTTTGAAGTCCAAGTGCGCAAAGTTCGAAGTCCGGTTTTCATGTTCCACCACAGTTTCAGTTTCAAATAACGTTTTCACGCCTCACAGGTTTTCACGAAATCAGGTTTAGGAAAGTTCGGGTGTGATATTTAGACTGCGCGAAGTTGGTCAGGCAATTAAATGAGACGACGAGTGCCCCGGATGTGCTGGAATATTTGCCAGTGCAGTGACGTGTAACAATAGATCAGTAATTGTGACCGCCAGCCCGGGGTGGTCATTAACGTGCATTACGAACTACTGATCCTACAAACGCACTGTTATACGATACTCATCCAGTTCGAAACGGCCAGGGGCAGGCAGGTGGTTGAGGTTCAGAAAAACCTTGAAGTGAACTGGCAAACTGCCCCCCTACCCCCTTGCACGCTAGTAATCCGATCGAACGCCGCCCGAGTGACGCTGGCATATAGTAAGCTTAGTTTGTACATGATGCAAAATCCTGAGACTGGGAAGGAAATTTGAAAGAAAAAGTGTAAGAAGACAGAAAAAAAGGGGTCAGGACAACGTCTCAAACTCAACTCAGCTGAAAACTCAGCTCAGGACAACGTCTCATACTCAACTCAGCTGAGTTTGAGACGTTGTCGTGTCCCCCCTTTTTCTTTATTCTTACACTATTTCTTGCGAATTTCATTCCCAGTCTCGGGATTTTGCATCATGATCAACATGCACCAGCTCGCCTGCACCTTGGCAATTTTTTTGTTTGTAATTGCTTTGGAGGTTTATTTTCTGGGGCGGAAGAAACGCCGAGCAAAAAGCACATAAGCTGACGCAACTTGATGTCGAGGAGCGTCCTACCATACCAGTGCCGTCGGAAGAGGAAAAACGGGGGGGGGGGGGGGGGGGGGAGGGAGGGGGGAGCTCCAGTCTCTCCCCCCCCCCCCCCCCCCCCCCCCCTTCCAGATATTTCGGACTGTTAAAGGAAACAATACGGGGAAAGAGGGCATGGTCGAGCTAATTTTAATCTGAAATTATTTATGCATATGTATAGTTACTGTCGCTCTTCACTGCATAAAAGATCGCGTAGATGGTCATTGTTAGGGCCGGTTCTCACATGCAGCGAAGCGCTGATTTAACGCTGCTCACGTGCCGTCAGGTGCTTATCGTATGCCATGAGCAACAGTTTTGACGGTGTAATACAAAGTTGGTGAACGCTTCCGT